AAAAAAAAAAAAAAAAAGTTTGAGCCCAACGCCCGGGTATATCGTACGTGAGGCCATTCAGGTCATAGATGGCAGAGAAACAGGTATAGCTACTGCCCTTGGGGGAAAATAATTAGTAGAGATTGCGTTATCGTTGTTTCTTGCCAGCAGACTTTTTAGACCCCTTGGATGCGTCTGATCCAATGACGTTGATCACTCGCTTGGCTAGTTCGTGAACGTCAGCATCGGCGTCGTCCAAATTATCTTCATCGCCACCGTTCAATAAAGTGCTGTCTTCCTCAGCTCCCATGCTTGCAATTCTTGAAATAGACTGAACAAGATCTTGCGCTTTGCTTAATTTTTTGATCAATTCTTTATCTACAAAAATCGCATTAGCTTCAACCATTCTGATCCGAGGTGACAACAAAAAAACCCCCCTTACCTCCACCTTCCAAAAATTGAACCAATGTCCATACGCCGATGTGTTGAAATGCGGTATCCTGACCTTCATCTAAGAAAGAAACAAGGTAGGCGTGGAGCCCACCATTAGGTGATTCCCAAACCTTGATAAAAGGCGCGTAGTCTTTGACTAACAAGGCAAACATGGCATTAGAACCATCACGACACCATCAAACGTCTGAAAAGTTTCGGGGTTTTACCTTTAGAGCTTAGGTTACCAATAGCAGCCGCCGAATTGCCTTGAACTTCGAGATTGGAACTGTTGGTTAAGGATACAAGCACCGAGAGAATGCCCATGTTCAATAATCTAGGCTTGAGTTCGTCAGAAAGCGCAAGCACAGCAATAGCAGCTGTCATTTCACTCTGAACGCTAACAGGAACGGTGTTCACCAATTCCTTAATACGCTCTACAGCACCGGCATCCACAATAGCCCGTTTGTTGCGCTCTGAGCTGGCAGCAAGGTTGCGAAGAGTAGATATGGCATGGCACTGAACTTCTTCATTGTCGTCATATGATAGCAGTCCAATCAACGGGTCCACAAACCCAGCATCTATAATAGGCGACTCATTGGCTGTGTGAATGGAGATATTTCTGATGCACGCCACGGATGATAGGATGAGAGCCAAAGATCGAGTTTTTAACAATCGTAACAAAGGCGGTAGTCCTTTCAACCGAACGATTTCGAGCTGGTATTTTTCTAGTGGCAAAAATACGATAAGAAAAAAAAAATTTGCCAGCGCATGACGTGTCTATGCTTCTCAACTTACCATCGGATGCCAGATTCCGCAGCGCCAAAGCGGCTTGACATTGAACTTTGAGACTCCTCGCGTCCATCAAAGATATCAACGATTGCACCAACCTTGAGTCGGACTGGGCTAATTTTTTTCTATTTGCAGCTGTTTTGGACATGGCACTTTGGTCAGTTATCACGGACTTTACTAGCACTCTGATCAAATTCCTTACCATCAACAGCAATGTTGCTTAATGCAGTGGTGCAGTAGTATTGTACATCCTGGTCGTCGGAATTGAGTAAACTGGTGAGGACGGGGATAGCATTGGCATTGACAAGCTGCTGACGATTTTCCTCTGTAGTGGGGTAATTTATCAATACTGGTAGCCTACGAAAAGAAAGGGGGTGCAGCATAAAAGTAGACATCATTCTTACGTGAATGGGTCATGTTCAAGAGGGCGCCAGTAGCATTTCTTTGAACTCTTTTGTCTTTTGAACGTGCTAGATCAACCAGTAGTCGGAGAGCGTCTGACTTTGCAATCTTTGCCTTGTTCTCATCTGCAAAGTTGATTCATGTTCATGTCTTGATAAAAGGGTGCACACTCTTTTACAAAAAAAAAAAAATTCCTTACCATGTGTCGCAAGGTTTGTGATGCACCCAACCGCATTACATTGAACTTCGACGTTTGGACTACCCATTTGGCGAATAAGTGGATCCAAACCTCCCAGTTTGACAATGAGAAGCTTATTCTCCGCTAGCAGTGGGATGGATTAGTCGCTATCACCAGCCATGTATTTTTGCTTGAATGTATCGTACGTACCATTGACAGCCAAATTACCTAGAGCGGCGCTGGCGGCTCTTTGAACTTCAACGTCATGAGACTGCAATAAAAACATGATGGGTTCCAGCGTATCGCGACCGACTTTACGAACATCTAAATCAAAGATTCACGTTGAGTGGACAGCGCACGTACTATAAATGACAGACGACAGCCAACCTTTTTCAGTTATCTCTGCAAAGGCAAGTGCAGCTGATCTCTGAAGATCCACATTATCTGAGTACGCCAACGTCGACAAAGCGCGTAGAGGATCCCCGTCAAAGAAATTAGTTTCTGATCGATCTAGTGTGGTAAGGATTACGTTAGCACATGGTGGTCTTTATGAAACTGCGTGCGCAGGATTTTGCCAAAAACTTATGGTCCCGGGCCCCATGGGTGCGAATGAGACATACTTTCCAAGTATTGTAAGAGTTCAGCTATAGCATGTCGCTCATTCTCCTGTAGTAGCGGCTCATAGAGTCCTGTTCGACTTCGTTCTTTGAAAAGTCAAACATGGTATGGATTAGAAGATGGCGTAGATTTCATGCTCCCCATGACGAGCTTTACTTCACTTACTTGCCCAGCAATTCTGGCAACAGCTACTGCAATTTCCCATATTGCTTCTCCAGCTGTCAAATGGGGGCGATGGCCGGTGGAGGATTTGACGGTTGAGCACCAAAAAAAAATGGGAAAGAGAGACGTGGAAAAAGCGGTGGAAATTGCAAACTTGGCAGACGAAAGTCACCTGAGTACCAGTTTTGCACATGTTGCTCTTTTTCCTACCAGAAAATGAAAAAAATGCTAATTTACATAAACTAAGCTATGTATTTCGAAATTATGGCTGATTTTGTACCGCAAGTTGTAATTAGAATACCTTGCTCGATCTATTATGCCATTGCCTTGATGCATATAGCCGTTTGGTAACAAGACGTTAAAAAGAGCTTGTGCTCATTCGACACGAATGCTTTGCATATCACTGCTTACTGTTCCCTTGCTTGTAATGTAGCCAAAGGGATGCTTCATATATACCTTCTCTGTAAACCAGTGGTAAAAATCCATATGTAAGAAAGATGTCACAGCTCGTCCTGTGGAAGGGATGGGCTTCCTGAACGGCTCCATGCATCGTCAAGATAAAGAATTGAGGGAGGAATGAAAGTATTTGCAAGCAGTTTGACCTTGCTCTGCCCAGCAATAGCGTTCAACATGCAGTTTTTCACGGCGACCAGACATGATTGGCTCAGTCGACGGTTGAGACTTATTTTGACAATGGACTGACTTTGGGATTTATTTCGGCCGTCAACCATTATACTTTGTACCTGAGGCACTCTCGATTCGAATATATGGCTCCAATGGATACTGATATGCATCGTATAGACGAATCCGAATACGGAACGGTCAAAATTTTCTTAGCCCAATACCTCCCCTATTCCGCAGCCATCTTGACATGGCTGACTCGAGTGCACGCTGGGAATCTCCCTGGACTGGGCTCATTTGACATTTATAGCTCTCAGCCTGATTTATCCACTGCGCCTACCAAGGAGCCGGTGGTGATCATATGCAAAGAAATAGATCGCCTGCGACCTTTTGTCAGTACCGAAGCCTACCTCAATCAGGAAAACCCTGTTTGGAATGGCGAAGATGAGATTGGCTTAGAAAAAGGAGACTTCCAGTTTGCCTCTGAGAGCGCTAGATCTATTTATGAAACAAGCCAAACACTGTTAGGACGAGCTGTGCAGACACTTGGATACGGTACAGATGGCCGGTTTCTTCATGGAATTTCTCTCCTTTGGTGTCCCGTCCTCTATAAGCTGTTCAATCTTGGCTACAACGGACCGTGCGTACGCTATGTTTGCCCTATTGAAAATTATTTGGAAACAGAGGCTTTGCAAACACTTACTGTTAATGGGGAAGAATTAAGGGTGGACGATGCCACCGAGCATGATGCTGAATTGGTATGTGTTTATGGGATGTGATACGGTGCTACTCTTTGCCTTTTCTTACACGTATGAAACACCGCTTAGATCAGGACATCCAACAAGGTACCGTTTGATCCGGCTTACGTTATTGAATGCTGCAAGCTATCAAGTGTATTAAGAAAAAAGGATGGAGAGATGGTTGCTTGGGCATGTACGCATGCTGATGGTAAGTTGGAGCTCAACCAAAGAATCCTGATGCGATGAAAGGTAACTCTCTAATGTTCTCACTGTCTTCAAGGTTGCATTGCTGCGCTTCACGTCCGACCAGAATGGAGACGCTTGGGTTTGGCACAAGTTGTCGTCAACTCTCTATGCCAAAAGCAAGCGCAAAGATTTAAAGATCTTCAAGCTAATTACCAATTATATAACCAAGCCGTTATTGAGAACTTCAATAGTGCAAGTGAAAGTATGTTCAAAAAACTTGGCTGGACCAAAACGGATGTCGGTGTGACATGGATAAGATGCGTTCCTGAGCAATCATAATGTGGCACCGAGGCTTGCAAACAATTGATTTGAAAGCAGACAATTAATAATTTGGTAAATAAACCTTAAACCCTTTATTAATCCCTTGGAATGACCATGTACAAATTCGAAGTGGTGGATCTAACAACGAACAAGAGTTTTGAATTTGACGCTGAATCCACGTTAATCCTTGGTCGCGGAGATCCCTTTGGTATACAAGATCGCACTGTTAGTCGAAAGCAGGGTAAGATCTACTATACTAAACCGAGATTATGTAATTCGCGTTGACCATCACTGCAGTACAACTCGAAGCTCTAAGGGACGGGCGCTGTTTCGCGGAGAGAGTGAGTAGAGTTGGACACCGCTGATAAGAGTCTTGAATACCGACCTCGTGATTGATATTGCATTTTTACACACCAGCTTTCAGAAAACCCAAGCTTACTGGGCACCAAGTTGCTACCATTGAAACACAAGGTTGAAGTATCCCATAAGGATATCATCAGCCTACTTCCAGTAATAGCACAGCTTTAGCCTCTTGGAACATATAGTGTTTACAAATCATGCTAAATCGAATCACATTGTAATTACAGGGGAAGTTCCCATTCCAGATCAATTTTCCACATCACTTCTTAGAAGGTTCCCAGGAAGACACACAGCCACTATCGAACAAAGTGGAACCTCCGGTTATTTCAGATACAGAATCCCCCCATGATGAAGCTGAAAGCCACAGTAGTGACCAGGAGGACATTGATTACACCATAGAATCAGGACACCCGGACGGCTTATCGTTCTCCGAAGAATCAAGCTATTTGGGAGAGGTTTCTGATGCAACAATTTGACTGAAAATTAGTTCCCCCACCAGTCAATTTTGTGAATTCTCGGAATAGGCAGCATTCTATCCTAAAAAGTGTTTATTTGCTATTTCCGGTTTTTATCAAGAGGTATTGCTTATGCGGAAACAAAGTTCTTGACATTTTGCAACCATTGCAAGTACTCTTTCTGCTCCTTGTATTCGACATAGTCAGGCAAAAAGTTGGCAAGGGCAGTGTTGACGCCACGTTCTTCAAGATAACGTTCGAACAACGTTTGTACACCTTCATCCAACTCGGAGAACTGAGGTCCAATGTACAATCCGCGTCTTTGCCAATCAGCTTCAGCAGATTGCTCGGTGGCCAGCTTTCCATCTTTGTAGTAAAGAACGGATTCGATTACAATTGCGCCATCCTGTGCGACTGTGTCAATGGTGACAGCACCCTTTCCATCCTAAGCCAAAAAAGAAAGTTTCAATGCGTGCCGAATGAAGGGCTTTATCCACCGTTTCGAATCTTTTACCTTTTCAACGGTGACAGAGGCACGAACGGGGAAGGAAACTGGGGCAACATCCTCCTCATCTCCCTCAACGTCGTCAGCTGGTACATCAGCAAAGTCATCCTCAGCAGCATTGTTAATGTCCGAAATAGCAAACAATACTCGGATCCTGAAAAAAGGAATTAGTCAATGTTCGGTTGAGGGTCCAATTTAGTAGAGTCTTCCCAAAGCAATCAAGGTGAAACATACTTTTCGTTTCCGAACGTGCGTGTCAGAGTGACTTCGTCCATACCGGGTTTATCTTCCAACTGCATGAAAGAATTGGTTAGAACCAAGGTAAAAGAAAGCCATGGCGTAAGGCATAACATTTACCTTGAAAGAATTGGCTTCCAAAAACTCTTGAATAAAACCAGGTTGTTCAGGTTCATCATTGGATTTTTCATAAAGAATCTCCTCATCCAGCTTGTGTACGAGTTCGTTATCAACTGATAACCGGTAAATAGATTAGGAAATAATGGGATTTTTTTATGGGGGTGGGGAAATAGAACTTACTGGTTCCAGAGCCGAAGCATGCGCGTGTGCCAATGGAGAAAGGGCGGACTGGAACATTAGCGAGAATGGAAGCACGAGGAGCAATGCGTGCAGCTGTCAAAGGCAATGAAGGTACAGCACGCTTTGATAGAGCGCGCAAAGAGGACCGTACGAGTGAAGCAGCCATAGTTACTATGATAATAAGGCGGGTAAACTTTCTGTTGTGCTATGCAATGCGGGCAATTTCCTACGGCCAGAAAAAAAAACTCAAGGCAAGAAGTTGCACGTCACAAGAAAGCGGGGAGTAAAAGATGACAAAGCCTGCCCACAATTTGTCAAAAGTCCCAGCAACAGTGGTGTAAAATAACAAGCTGAGACTGGACCAATGATGAAATGTGCACCTAAGACAAATGGAGAGCATGTCGACGGGTCGTCTAATATGGAAGCACTGAAACTCTTTTCAGCCACTCCTAACGTTGGAAGCCTCAGCGCTTAGCTTAGTGATGATTCATTACGCGGTCGGTCCATTTCCAACCGAAGTTGATGGAGTGTGACGCAGCGGAGTGCCAATCCCGAAAGGCTTATTTGGCAGCAAAGTTTATTGCTGGTGTGGCTGTGCGTCTCACGACAAAAAGAGCTATTTTTGTCAACCCATTGATTGTTAGCAAGCAGAGGTTGCCAAAGTGTCCATAATTAATAAATAACCTGACATCTCTGCACCTCTTTTCCCTTTCATTTCATTTTATCTTGAACTTTCCTCTGGGAAAACCCATTTTATAAAAGAAACAAACTATGAACTATACAGAGTATCTCTCTCATCAATACAGTATTCCTGTCTGGCCATCATCCGTTATTCCTTCTCCTGTTTACACTCCTCCTGCTTCTGTATCATCACCATCTCTTTTTTCTGACGAGTTAGACGACATGTACAGCTTTAATCAAGGTTCCACTACCTCAACTCAACCTGAATACCCATCTCCATTATTCTCTCCTATTCCTTCTGCCTTGGAGACCAATGACATGAGTCATGTTGCTGCTGCGTCGTCGTATGCCCCACCGCCTTCCATGTTTTATCCTCTACCTGGCAGTATGGACAAGGAGTTTCAACACCAATCGTCGTGCCTGTACCATAACGCTCCGTCTCTACCACCACAATATCCTTTGGCTTATCAATACACTGGCAATTTAGAACCCGCCACCACTCAGTCTGAAATATTTTATAATCAGTCCTATCAGGCGTACTCCGCGCCTCTGCAGCAGACTGCAGGCACCACGGTTCCACTAACGCAAGAAGCCATGCCACCATCAAAACCTGCCTCTTCCAAGCGCAAATCATTGACATGCCATTACGAAGGATGTAACAAGACGTTTACTCGCCACTACAACCTTGTTTCACATATGCGAACGCACACATCTGAGAGACCTTTTCTATGCCCGGACCCTTCTTGCGGAAAAGCATTTGCACGTCCGCACGATCGTAATCGACATGCTAAGCTTCACCTTGGTATCAAGCCTCATGTCTGCACGAACTGTCGGAAACGCTTTGCCAGAGCTGATGCATTAAGTCGTCATTTGAAGGTGAAGAATGGTTGTACGCAACGATACGACTGAGACTCCCACCCCCCTCCCATACCAAATCATTCTGTCAGTGCCATCATCACTACTCTGTAACTATAGTCATTTCTGCCTTACGCTCATTTGTATATACCTCTATGTCCTCTTCGTGTAGACCCCCCCATCATCTTTTGTTCTTCTTTAACGGTTTATTAACATACATAAAGCACGCCTACAGTAAATACCGCATCCTATTTTTCTTTTTGCGTCTATACAAAGAAAGAAGCTTTCTCAATTTAGCATATTGGCACTTTGGAAAGTTTTGATTGTGTATGATCAACATTGTTCCATCGTCTTATTGTTCGAAACCGATGCATTTCCCCTTGCCGAATGCCTTTGGAGGTCCGCACTAACAGCACCATGTCCCAACCTGTTTGGTCTGAAACTTGGATGGTTGTCATGGCCTCGTGTTGCCATGTATTTAACAAGCCATCTCGAACAGCGTCGGCCCATTCTTGTTGGCCATGGAGTTCATCATGGTAGGCAAGACTAATATGATCAATACGCTTGGGTCGGACCTGGACGTTGTGCTGCGAGGCCATCTTGTGAGCAAATAAGTCAATGGCTGCGTAGTAAGGTCTTGGCGCTTGCACTGGCAAAAGCAAATGCGGAGTTTCCTTGGCGATCAAACCATGTTTGACGTGGACAGCTCCCATGTCTCCTGGTATGCAGTCACCGAGCACATCCGCAACTTGCGCAGCATGATCGCTGTAAAAAAACCCCGTCATGCTGCAATGACATTCATAGCGACTGGCAGTAGTGTAATGACGTTGTAAAAAAGAATTGACACCTTTCGTCAATGAAGAATCCGCATTGGGTTCCAAGTATACAATGAGTTCCACACCGGTTCCTGAAACACCACCGTTGGACATGGACAACAGAAATTTTGGGTTACGTTGTTTGTTTGGGGTCCGTTGAATTGGACAAAAAAAAATTGGGCCTGCTGCTACTATTTACAAAAGAAGATTTTTTGAAACCAATGCGTGTTTCATCTAATATGCTTTGGTTGGGGAGTCAATGCTACGTATCCGTTGCTATCCTTTCAACGTCGCTCATGACGGCTGCGAAACTGCTGGGGACTTTGGGGTCTTCTGGTGGTGTATGTCCCCAAGCCGATGGTGTAGCTTTGGGTTGGTGAGTCATTTCAGGACTGCTCGCTGTACTCCTGTTGCCCCCTGAGCTATGCTTGTTTAAATAAGATGATGCGAGAACGAACATGGGTCGTTTTTGCCGAGAGGATCCTGAACTAGGCGGCGACAGAAAGTTCGACGGCGGCGACGGCGTTGACCCTCGTCTCTCTGAACCAGGTGTTTCAGCCGCAACCGATGTTTCGTTACTTGATGCCTTGTCTTCGGACGGTTCTACCTGAGACGTTTTTTGGGTAAGGGCTGTCCTGGCACTTTTATTATACCGTGACACCTTTCGTTTGGGTTTGGTGGGTGGCGAACTGGGGAAATGGGATGACATAGGGGATGCGCCGTCTCGCTGAGGCGTTGACGCTACTTCATTCATAAGGGAGTGGCTAGTGTCTTCAGCCATGATTTGATCAGAATAGAGTCCATTAAGACCCATCAATTCATCCTCGCTGAAAGGATATCCTGGAGTTCGTGTATCATCTTGATCATCGTCCGCTACATTGAATCCATAATCATCGCTTTGTAATAATCGCTCTAACAAGTCTTCCCTGTCCATCACGCTAGAGTCCATCAGCCGTGGTCGCTTCCAGCCTTGAGTTCGAGGGCTGTTTTGAATGTGCTGACCTTCACTGGCTAGCCTGTCGGATACCTTGGATACTGTGTATGATTCTAACAGCTTTGTCAATTCAGCAACCCGCGTTTCCAACTCATCAATTTGCGAATGTAATTTCCCGCAGTACCCGTCGCAGTGCGCCTGGCATTGAGATTTGGTGCCGACAAAATTACAGCCTTCTTCTCCATAGTCGCACCGGAAATATTTACAGGTATCATCGTGATGCTTCTTGTTTTTCCGTAGGAACGGCTTGCACCTCTTTGAGTTATTGGGACATGGAAGTAATTCGAATCCGCACGTTCGAACGTGTTGCGTTAAATTTATTCGTTGGAGAACCTCTGTGCAACCATGCTTTTGGTGTGGACATGCCTCTGATTGAAATTGGCACTATAAGATTGTTCACATTAATACAAAGTCTGAAACATAGTTTGCATTTTTTTGTTGAGGGAGATTCACTTACGGTAGTGGAATGGTTTTCAGACACAGGACCTTGATAATTGCATCCCTTGGAAGCATTCGCACAGCGAACTTTCAAGCGACCAATTTGCCGCGCCACGAATTTGGAAGCCTGGTAAAAACTTGTTATTTAGAACCATCCATTTGCATAGCAGCATTATGTACCGGCAAAATCTTACCTGAAATAAGTTCACGTCAAGCTCGACTTTGCATAGTGGACAAAACGTTTTGCCCTTTTTCAGGTAGTCATGTATACAGTCGTGGCAATAAATATGGTCTAAAATGTTACAGAAATGTTAAGTTCGTCGACTCCAATGGTTTCTCGCTCCATGCGCGTTATGTGAAAAACTTTACCTTCTGCACATTGCACTTGAATTGGCCCATCAATGACGTCTATGGAGTTTTGTAATTAGTATAAGGCAACTGAAATACTTGGATATCCATGAAACTGCGGATACCTGTGCAAATGCTGCAGATTAAATCTAGAATTGGAGGTTCCAGGAACAAGTCCTTTGGAATGCCCATTGAACCGCAAGATGAAAGAGGAAAACTTTAGTTTCAAGTATGGCTGGCAGTTTGAGCTGACTCAAAGAGGAGAATAACAGTGCAGTGAAGAAGATTTAGGTATTGAAGAGAGATTGTCAACTAGAGACGATTGAGAAAAGAAATGAGAAACACAAAGTTTGTACGCGTTCATTTGCACTGATGTGATGAATTTTTTTGAGTCGCGTTTTTTTAATTGCTCGCGGCGTTACATTTTTGTTGTTTTTCCCATCAAAAATTCTAGACTCTCTCTTCACGACCAAGTGTTATTCACGTACTGTTCTCTTTGCTTGTAATATTACGGCAGACCGACATATATAGCGATAATTTAACAACGGTAATTTACTAAATGACAGATAGATAGATACTATTCGATACACACAAGGCACTACAACAGGTTTTAATCTATGAAAAGTCACCAGGGGCGATTCTAGTGCATCCATATTCTGATCGTCCAGCGTTACAATCAGCGTAGACTTCGCAGCATCGAACACAGTAGCGACTGTCATTTGGCTCAATGAGCTCTACAAAGTATGGATAACCAATACAGCTGCTGTTAATAGGCTTTCCGTTACCCTATAATGATAATGATAAATTGGTCAGTAAAATTTTGAAGGCAAGAGTTTTGAAAACAAAAAAAGTACTTACGTGGTCATCATATTGACCTCCGCCATCTTTGGGATCCAAAGAGTACTTGGAGACATCAATTGCTCCTGTGTATTGAACATATTTTCCTTCGCCAGTACCACTGAGAAAGTGAGTAGATTTGACGAATCCTTCAGGCAGTGCCTTAGCACCAGGAGCGGAAGCTGTGTTGTTGCAGAAGGCAATGGCGGTGGCTTCAGAAGCAGCAATTGTTTCTCCAGGCGTCTTAGGCATGAAGATACAGAAAGAGTCTGCTGTAACGTTCAATGTCTTTCCATCTAGATGTGGTCTATCGGCAACATTGGCGGCCAAGGCATAAGCCGCAAGTGTACTTAATGTGACAAGAATTGAGGCTCTCATGGTATAGTATAGTTTAGTGGTGAAGAAAACAATAAAAATAAAAAGTGCCCACGTTCTTATAGCCTCGATCGGATACTCGAATGAATGAAACAAACACCTGTTAAAGAGGTCAATTCTTTCTTCTAGGTGGAGTCGGCGTTCGAAACAATCACGTTCGCCTGCTCCACCGGATGGGGCACGCATATCCGCAACCATCATCTGAAAGCAGATAAACCTTCCTCGATTCTTTTTCATTCCTGGAAGAAAAAGAAAAAATGTATTTGCCAGCTCCATTGTTGACTTGACCTGTCCGTGCTCTTGGTGTAACAATATCGTGAAATGCTTATTACTGGAACCGCTTGTCATTTGAGGCTCAGGCTGCAAGAACTGAGGTAAGAGGACGATTTGCGCATGAAGGGATCTAACTCTCTTGGCAGCCGTTTAGCACGCTGAATCGGTACGTCAACTCGGATTTTCTCAGCTTCGGAGGATTGATGCCCCATGAAACCAGGGTTATCGGAAGACGAACAATGATACTTAAGATCTAAACGCCCCATTGCTAGCTCGAGCCATAGACTTATCTGTTGGCTATAGTTGCATCGTGATAGATTAGATCGTTTTTGATCAGAATTCTGCCTACATTGTTGTTCTGAAATTACATTTTCAAGCTCGCTTACCCATGATCAGCCACTTACTTGTTATCGTTACAGGTCCGCAAAATTATTACATGCCTCTCTCCAAGACCATAAATTTCCCAACACTCCGATTCCCCTGTCATGAAGCAGGGAAGAGGTCTTCAGTAGTCCGATGAACGACAATTGTAAAAATAGAGTGAGACAAATGCGATGAAAAATAGATACTTGGTAGTGCGTTTCACTGCTGCTGATCAGATCTCTTGGCGGTCATTTGATATAGGCAAGCAACGAATGTTTTGATGATGACTCTGGTAAATTATTGACCACCGACATGTTTAGCATAAACCATCGACGCTAAGAGTCCAGTGTAGTGTGGCTGAGCTGATTATGTTAGGCGATGCGGATACACAGGATGATGAAGTAATGGGATGTATTTTTTTTCCAGCTTTGTTTTTGCTAATTTTAACAAAAAGAAACTGTCCCGCAAAATATAGTTCAAAGTAGGTTTCGGTCAGTCCATGAAAGGTTTTGAAAGCTCTCCTTGAACTTTTTATGCTAAAAGTACTAGACTATTGAAGGAATTCTATAAAAATAGCAGACTTACATGCAGTGAAATACGTCACATTTGCTAGTAAATCCAACCATGATTACACTTTTGTCTAGCTTAATAATAAAAATAGTGCTATGGCCAAGTTGTACAATCTGAATGAAGTCACCAACGTAACTGGGAGTATTGTGCTAAATTCTTTTATTTTTGATGTTTGCTACAAGCAGTGAAAATTCAGATGGAAAATCAAGAATGAAAAGGTCGCCCTTTTTTTGGATGTAGACTTTTTGCAGTTACAAACTGCTTGACTGTCGTTCACCATTTTTATGGGGGATTTTTTTTTTAAAAAAAAAATTAATCAATTACTCCTCCAGAATCAATAAAAATAAGCATCGTTAATCTCAAATTTGAATATCGAAGGATTTCTAATAAGAGTATCTATTCAGTTTGTCATCGATTATATTTACAAAGGTCAATTAGTGTAGCAATTACAATTTGTGGGTAAGCAGGGTAAAGCACAAATTTTTCATAAATATCACACAATCAGGCGTTTTTCAAGGAAACATCAACAGAACGAGCTCAATAGCTCAAAAAAACTTCTTTCGATTTGATATACGTAGAGTTTCGTGAAAAAGTAATATAGGTGGCCATATTGTGCTCGGGAGGATTCTGAAATAAATGCAGGCAACAAAGATAAAGTCAGCATGTTCCAAAAACCAGCGACGAAGAGGCATAAAAAAATAAATCTAAGATATGTCTTTCAATTGCTTAATTTTTTTTTTCTGCTTACATTAGAATTGAAATATGAAAGTTTGTTTTTTTGGATGAGATGAAGATTTATTACCTCCCCTCAGCTTGCGTTAGGTCCCCGTGTGACATGATATGATGTTTTAGAAGACGGGTTTTTGCCCTGAAATAAATAAATAACTTTTTTTCAAGAATAGTGAATGTATCTATAACGATATAAATTTCAAAATACAGCTTGAAGCATGCACATAGTGATTACATTAGGGATATATAAGGAATATCCAAAAATAGATAATATTTATTAAGTTTTGGTCCACATCAACAAGAAGCCGATCTTAGCTCAGTTGGTAGAGCGGGAGACTGTAGTGAGCCCCCAAAAAGGGCTAAATTGTCATCTCTAGGTCGCTAGTTCGAATCTGGCAGATCGGAATTTTTTTGCTATGCTTTGAATTTTTTGAGATCCCGCTGACGTTCTTCCCTGCCGTTCGACTACATGCGTTCGGTTGAACTAAGATTTTTGTAACGACATATCTTAGAGTGAGTGAGGCAGGCTTCTTTGACTTAGAGGATTCCTTTTTTACTCCATCGTTTAAACCCATATTCTTCTCAATTGTTTGCCCGTCTGATTTTTTCAATTTAATATGCGTTTCGCATGCACACAGTCTACATCACGGCAACCGTGCACAAACAGAAAACGTCTCAATGCCCTTCCTATGCAATGTTTGATTGGTAAATGAGCAACCGGGAAATGATATTTTTGATTTTGTTGTATACAAAGATAAATTATTCTACAATGGTTTGCTGAATGGAACGAGCTAAGCTATAGGGGTCGACCCAAAACAAGATGCTGTTTGGTATGGACAATTTACAAGTTCTTCAAGACAGCTTCAGTGACCTCGCTAGTGGTAGACTTGCCACCAAGGTCAGGGGTGAGGATGGTAGCTTCGCTAAGGACCTTATCGACAGCACCGTAGACTTGAAGAGCTTCCTTGGTGTAACCGAGATGTTCCAAGAGAAGAGCAGCAGATCGAATGGCAGCAACGGGGTTGGCGATGTTCTTGCCAGCAATATCAGGGGCAGAGCCATGGACGGGTTCACCCATAACAAAGTTATCACCAACGTTGGCGGAAGGAACGACACCAAGGGAACCAACAAGGGCGGCAGCACCATCACTACGCACAGTACGGTTAAAAAACCACTTGCCGTACACAAATTAGAAATGGAAGATGTTGACTTACCTGATGATATCGCCGTACAAGTTAGGAGCAACTACGACATCGAAGGCCTCAGGTTCACGGAACATACGGTAGACCATGGAGTCAACCAATTGCTCCTCCATATCAACACCAGCATATTTCTCAGCATTTTGCTCCTTGACACCACGAACGGTCTCACGCCACAATCCATCAGTGACGCTGAGAACGTTAGACTTGTGAACAATAGTGACACGAGGCTTGTGCTTCCAGAAACGTTCAGATTCTGGCTTTTGTTGACGAAGGCTCTCGCGGGTAAGGGCCATGTTGAATGCCATGGCACCAACGCGCTTGGAGGCATACTCAGAGATCTTACGATCAGCCCAAGCAACCTTCAATCCAGTCTTGGGGTCGACTTCCTGACGCTCTGATTTGATGTACTGAGAAAAGAATGAGATTTAGACATGGTACATTAATGGTTCTTCTTACATGTCGTCACTTTACTCACCAAGCACTCAGTGTTTTCACGAATGATCAACATATCAAGTTCTTTCTGGTTGGGGGTGGAAGCGGACTTGACAGATGAGACAGGGCGAACGTTGGCGTAAAGGTCAAGGTGCTTGCGCAAAGCGACAATTGGGGATGAGTAGCCAGCAACCTTGTGGGATGGCGAGCTGGTAGACAAACGCGGTATTAATATTCATCACCCGCCTATATCTGTGCACATGCCAATTACACCAACCTGACAGCACCGAAAAGAGCACCATTGCACTCGTTCTTCAAATGGTCAATGGTTTCTTGAGGAAGAGCAGTTCCAGTCTTTTGGAAGTGCTCGAATCCAGCATCAAGATGAACAAACTCGAACTTGGGGCCGGAAGAAAGAGACTCGAGAACACGTTGGGCAGCCTATGTCAAAACCAAAACACTGGTGAGCTGAACTGCTATGCTTCATTACCAATTTTTCAAAAAGTTAAGCAAAAATCTTACAGGAATGACTATCAGATCAAACGATAGAAGGTGACGGAGGAATATCTGCATTAATGACAAGGTGGTGCCATAACATGGTCAAGTATGGACGGTACTCACCTTCACGACCAATGCCGTCAGCGGGCAATAAGCCGATCTTAAGAGTCTTTGCAGATGTAGAGGTTGTCAAGGTACGGCGTAAAATGTTGGAAGCCATGTCTAAAAGGTTGAAGGACAAAGGAGAAAGTGAAAGGGAAGGGTGCTTAAAAATCGCAAAGGACTTGTCTTAATGCCTGTCACAGATGAGATGCGGAGATGATCTTTTTTTATTTGAAAATTTACAGTACAATTACTACACGCAACATGTGCATCCGCTTTGCTCAGCAAACGGGTCTTGGTTCTTGTTGTTGCCCCAGACTGAAGGCACTAATGTGTCGTGGTTCGTTTTGCAATACTCTATCAAACTATTGAAACGGTGATGAGCAATCAACTTCTATCTGCAGTGTCCTGTCCCTAAAACTTACGATTTACTAGCATCTGAGACTGGTATGCGCTGAACTTCAAGTTGTTCCTTCAACTTATCGTTGGTCTCAGTCATCTTGCGAAGTTTTGTTTCCGACATTGTCTGTCTGACCATGATGGGCAATGGTTGCAATGGATGTGCGTGTGTTCAAAGAAAATGTGATTGCTTTTATATCCAAAAAGAATATTTCTTTTAAAGGTCAATATGTAGAAAATAGTGGAATAAACGCTCAGTGTCTCGTTAAATCAAAGATAGTGAGGGACTGGAGTGCTTTGAAGGGAAGAGAAAGAGGTTTTGGTTGATCCTTGTGCATTGAGTCGGGGGTTGAAGATCGCCTGTGTGCTGTGCAACTTGCAAACCTGGAATTCCCTGTTTTGTGATATTCTTTCCACCTTCATGTTGCACTTTGGAACTGAAACGGGAGGGATCATTCTCTCTTATGTATAAACCTGTGAAGCTTGCTGCCTGCTTCCTGTCCCAGTATTTCTTTCAGGTCTTCAACGCTAACCTTGCTAAGGTCCTCGATGTTTTCGACTTTGCTCATCACTAACCGGAAGTTCTTGGAGTTGATACCTGGCATGCTTCGAAGTATTTCCTGTGGCGTCAGGTTAGTCATGCTGTTCACGTCGTCAATGCTTTCTGCTCCGATAAGGACAGCCGCCTCCACATCAGGTTCATCGTGACTAGACTGTATTCATCGCGTCAACTGAAGTTCGTTAAGAAAGACATCAACAATATTTATTTTACCTTCAGATCTCGAAAGATGGCCGCAGTTTCGTACGGACTGGAAGACCATATAATTCTCAAGTTGGGGAAGGACAACGTCAAAAGCACCAACTTGGATGACAAGTCAGTTAGAGTTATATCGTTCTTCAGGTCTGTCGAGGGCTGAAATTGTATTCAAATTTCAGTCAGCAAAACGAGTGGTTGTTAAATGGGCATGCCTTCAATCGTGATTGATGCATACCTGCAAGGAAAATGATTTGTTTTGATCAAATTCGATCAATAGAACAGGTGTTTTGTAATGCAAAGACATGTTTTCGCATTGGGTATATCTGTAGTGTGATATATTTCATTAATGGTACGTATGTAATCGTCCTTGTCGCTTTCACTATACTTACAGACGGCCAGAGCTGAATGAGCTGATTAAATCAGTGATACTCTTTCGTTCAACGCACAATTCAGGGCTCAGGATATAGTCCCCAACTTGTAATGTACAGGGTGCTATCCTCATTCCTTCTTTGTGTAAAATAGGCGGGAGAGAGCTGCGGAATTCACGCATGTCCACAATTACCTTGAGAAAGACGATGTGAACAACAAAAGTACAAACTTAGGACCTTTGAATATTAGTGTGGCACACTTACTGTTGGCGCTCCAGACTTTAGTCGAGTGCCACCGCCAATTCGTGTACTGATCGTTTTAAGAAACACGTCTTCTTCGCCCGGTCGCTTTCTGCTATCAGCAATGGGAACAGCCATAATCTGGGAGCATACATTTAGACGGCTAACAAGAACAAAGAACAGTAAAAAGCATATTGTTTACCGATTTTTCTCTGATCAGCTTTTCAAATGCTTCTTTCTCTTGTCGAATTGAGCTGAGATATTGCTGCTCTTCTACTGAATTGTCGTATATCATAAAGTACACTCTAACCTCTCTGTCTGGATGTGAAGCACGATATAACTTGGAATAAAACGGGGCGTTAATCATAGCACGTATCCCCATATGCAAGTCAAAACATAACTGTACCTCTACTCTGCGAACAAATGCTGGGTTTGGATCGTACATTATGATAAATTTGGGTTGCAATTGCTCAAGAAGAGCGGCTTCATCTTCTCCAACATACTGACTAACTGTAACTACCTCTGATGGTGCTATTTCGTCAAAGTGGGGTAATATGTCTTTGTGGCTCATTACGTCTGTGAGGTTCGCTGCAGGATCAAGTGGTGTACCCATATCTATGTTCTTCATCACATTTTCCTGATCAAGCCTGTTGAACAATGTCAGTGCGATGCTGTTCATTATATACTGAGAACAAACTGGTGCTCTACTTACGCTTCAGCATTATCTGTTATATCTTGTTGGAATGTATCAGCCAATGGACGATTGAAGGCCATGGATGCCGCTGCTATGGCTGAAGCTCCACGAACTCTCCTTCGTTTGTTTGGAGGCGCGCCTCCTCCGCGAACATTTGATGTGTATTGTCCAGAACCACCCCCTCTTGAAGTATTTGATTTGTCCTTCAGTTCTTCCTTTACCTGCTGATTGATCTGTACAATGCCTGCTTTCCATCGGAAGTAGTTCCTAGCAAGCCGAGAGAGAATGGGAACAATACTGGAATTTTTGGCTATTGTACTCTTTGTTGATATGTATTCTTTCAATTGCGTGCACGTCCGCTGCTCATCTACCATAACCAGAATAGTCGCTAAATGAAGCATCAGGCGGATTGAGCATTTTTTTAGGGAAGTAACGTACTCCTTATAACCTTACCATCCCGAGCATTTGTGACGGCAATATCATGCTCTATTTCTTCCAGTATATCATGAAGTAGCCCCCACTTTGGTTGCTCTTCAAGGACAAGTTTCGTTTTCTTGGGTAGACCAGGGGTGGGTGTGTGCTCGTAACTCTGATACTCCTCATCTCTCTCCTCTACAAAGAACCGTTTTTTACTCAGCTAGTAAATATGATTAGTTTTGCCACCTTACATTTCAATTCCGAAAGGATCATCCTTACCGAAAATATGACATTTGCAGCATCCATCAACAGCCATGGTGACTGGTTGGTCAACAATTTTCCGTCCGAAGGAGTATTACTGGCCATAATAGTTTGAAGAAAGCTGTAGAATGTTATGCAGTCGTAGCCTGCCAAATATCTAATATCGAAGGTTAACAGATGTACGATCATATCGCCAAAAACCGTTCACAAAAACGTACGTAAGAAGATGCCGTAGAAGCTTAAGGTCTCCTACTAACTGCTTTGTCTTGATAGCCACACGATGCCAATTCGGATCCAACTGTCGCCGTATGATGGTGTCGAAAGATTTGAACATGGAGTTTTCAACAGTAAACTCCTGAAGGTCAACCTAAGGATGCAGGTTCAGTCAAAGTTCAACTAATTACAAATGATAGAAGAACAAAATACCCCAGTGTTTGATCTTTTGATTTCAGAAAGGCAAGCATCCATACATTCTACTATGCTATGCTGAATTTTATCCATCTTTTCGGACATGGGCTGCCTTAGTTCTATGATATTTTCGTTTGAAGATTCAAGGTCATCTGCAACCATAACGTGAAATCTTCCTTTTCGAATGAGTTCGAGAACATATTTGTAAGAGACGCACTGGGAAGCCTTACCTTGGCCACAAATGAACTTTTCTCAAAAACAGCGACTTTAGTGTATTTTGCAGAGGTGCGAATCCAGTAACGAACGACTCGCTTTGATCAGAAAATGCTTTGATAAATCCTTGCTATCGATGGGTTTAGTATTTGTCTTTGATGCTAGTATACATTCCCTATTCATTTTACCTCGTTCTCTTCACGGTACAACTGTAGAATGAAAGATTCCATAGACGTAGCATTAACGCTGGAAATTTATGTCAGACACTCAATTTCGTACTTGGCTGATCTTCTATGGAAACGTCTCGTACCTATGAGCATAATGAACGACGATACCGGAAATGAGGTGCGTTGGAATTCGCTTGAGTAGCATATCCACTGCCAAAATACGAGATGTAATCGAAAAAATGCCGCTATTCCTATACATGTCACTCCTATTGGCGAAATTGCTTAGTTCGCATGGACCCCCAACAACAACCAGTCCGACTCATTACTTACCGAGTCTCTGCTGGAGTTTCATACTCAATTACTTTCATCTGCCTTTCAGCCGGAACTCCCATACATGCTAGTTCGTCATTAATAGCAGTATCGTCTGCAGGAGTGCTGTTGATAAGCAGTACCAAATGGCTATTATCCGTGTACAATTTCAACAATGAGCATAGAACTTTACGAAGTCCGAGTCCTCTTGCAAGGATGAGGAGTCCATCTTCGGCCACAATTTCTGTTAAAATTTCTCTCTGGAACCCTAATGGCAGTTCTGTCATTGCGCGCAGTACCGCAAAAGGAGTTGCAGAAAGTTCATTCACGGCACGCTGGATTCAAAAATTTCCAGCTCACCTAAAAAAAAGTCACTCCAGTGGAATGAGTTGTTCTTCTAATACAGAAAGCTCATCAAGTTTATTTCGACTTAAACCCTCAAGCTTTCCTTCAAACAATCTCTAGTGGGTCTTTATCCACAGTACTGACAATGATTTCTATATTTTCTCCAGCCTCTGTTTTTTCATTGCTTAATTCCTTTGCTAACGCAGGCTTCAATACCGCATCCAAATAGCCTCTTTCTGTATTGGAGTGTTCACCTAGACTATTGTGTTAGCGGTATTTTAGACAACGGGGGCTTGAAATGAATGAACTTACAAAGAATAACGCTAGTATCCCGCGCTAATGCAGCAAGAACATCGTGATGTCCCATTTCCCCTGAGAAGTACAAATCAGCTTTGACAGGAGCTAAAACACCTGATCCCGAGCCTGCACAGATGGCAACCGTTTTGATAGCTGCACTATTGGAGCTTGTGTGAGGAGAGGCTGTGGCTACTCGAACTATAATCCCGACGGTGTTACTAAGATTGCTATCTTGATTTCATTCTCGAGGAAGATGCCTCACCATGCTTTAGCCCAGTCAGAGCCTTCACCCTTTCAACTACTGATGATAGACTGACAGGCTCATCGTATGTAAATATTCTTCCCGAACCGCATCCCTCCTGGCCTGAAATAAAAAAAAATCAGAGGTGTTAAATATGGCGATAGATGCTCGGACAGAGCTTCCAACGTAAAGCTATACCTTCAGGAGGGGATTGGTTTAGGACGATCGGTTTGCATGATCCTTTACCAAGCCCACTGGCCAACCAGTCATTGACTTCAGAAGAAGAGTTTCAGTTTGCACGTTTTGGTATTGGACTCATTTTTCCGTCACAGCGACCACCTACCTCCTCCTACGCAATTATCGCAAGCAGTATGGGGAGAGTATATTCCCACACCCTTTGCAATCGCTTTAAGAACAATTGATTGTTTGACATCTTCACTAGTGAGGCGTTTCATGGATTTGAAAATAGGGGGATGATATGAGACAATGGTGCCAACCTGTCAAGTACAATCATGATTATGATCAGTAGGTATGCCAGCATATACAAGCTTTGCACTGAACGACAAACCTTTGGATCGGACAGAGCTTCCTCCAAGACTTGAGGTGTCAAGTCGATGGTCAGAAAGACCTTGTTTGCCTGCTGTTGTGGATATGGTGGTTCTAAAATGTCGCGTTGGCGTTGCGGATCAAGGACTTTAAGCCATAGGGTGTCAAATTACATACCTACTAGCACGCCAACATTGTCCCAAGAGTTCTCGGCTATCTCCAACGGAGCAATTCTCTTCATTGCGCGAGTAACCTTTGATAGTAGGGACATTTCGAATTTGGAATTTGATTTAACAGGTTAAGATTTGGTGAAAGAGTTGCCTGGTATCAATTTGCAAGTCCTGGCAAGCCGGTAATACCAGGTGAAAATGCGTTAAATTTTAGGTTTGTCCGTAAAATTATACTTGCGCGGATGTGCACGCAACAGCCAACCCTTTATGTGACCATACAAAATGAATATCCATATTTCTACGTAAAATAGAATACTGGGTACTGAGAACAGACCTAGACCTGGTTCTATTGAGTTTGATTTGGCGTTGTCGCATCATGCGTGGATGAAGTAAATCGATTCATCGACTTGCAAGAGGGTCGTTGAACTGTTGAGATAGTCACTTAACATAAGCAATGAAACGAACTATTCCAAATGCAATTGAAGTAATTATGACAATGAACGAAGGCTAACATCTCACATCATACATAGCGATACCTTTGAAGTTTGACAACTTAACTTTATTATTCAATTTACGGAAGAAAGAAGGTACTTCAAAGAATAGAATCTCATATTCAAGTCTCCTATCTGTTTACTTGTCTCAACTACTCTTGCGTATTTATGCCAAGGTTACAAATGGATTTGACCGAATCCCCTCATGTTGCTTAGCAACATGCTGCTACATAACAACCGTGCGACATCTCGAAAAAACTCCGTTGCGCGTTTCACAAACCAGAATGTGGAATCTGTTCACCGTCAGCTTGCGCCACCACCCAAGATTAGCATAAATATCAAGCTCGTTTTTTTCACAAATGTTTCCATAAGCCAAACTCAAATAATGTCTTGTTTTCGCCGTTCTAACGCTCGCTTACGCATCCTAGTTCCCAAAGATTTCGATATCAACTCCATCCAAAAATGTCCAATTGACTCTTGCTGCAATTTCATTCCTTTGGACGACGATGCCCTGAAAGAAGAACCAGATTTACCATTCGTGGTCCTTCAACAAGAGTACTTCATTGCGCACCTAACTGGACGTCAATTCAAATGTGATTACAATTGTCGAAATATCGTTCTGTCCAAGTTATACGGGTATCGAACGGCTTTTCTGCCTTACCGGGCCGAATCTGCCGCAAAAATGATCGACAATAACTTTGGGCTTGAAATTATTCACGATACACTTCATAACAACGAAATACCTCGTTTGATATTTGCCCAGGAGGGGTTGCAGTTCTCAAATGTAGTTGAAAATGGCACCAACTGTATAATGGAAAACTACACCAGTTTAGATCTACAAAACCTTGCTGAAATCACCAAATCCAAACATTGCAATCACGACTTCTTTATAGTATATCTTGGACCGTCAAATGATTCCAAACATCCAAATATGTGTGCGAGCCATCAATATATGTGCTGCAGTACGAAGACACTGGAAACGTATGAATACAGAACTGCAATACAGTCTCGTGTTGAAAAAATGCTGTACGAGGATGTCGAAGCTTGTATTAAGAAATGGAAAGCGGAAGATCAGGCTCTAGAGTTGAAAAAACCAGCGAAAAGAACTCCCAACTTTCGTTTAGTAGACATCCAAGGAAATCCGGTAGAGGAAGATACTGATTACTTACTTCAAATGTACGATCAGCCTGAAGATGTTATCAAAGACGGGGACTATGGATCAATATTCTATGCCACGTATCGCCTCAACCGATCAGAAAAGATAGTTGTTCGCTTTTGCATCATTGATGGAATTCACTACCTCACTTACAATGGCAAGTTTTTACAAGCGGATGATACCAACGGAGATGAAATCGGATACACGGAGGAAGAGGAAGTACCTGAAAAAAACTACAGGTTGGAATTCCATGTCACTGAAAACAACACCTTCAAGACCGCTAAATGGGATAAGAACATATGGCTCAGATTCGAAAAGAGAACTCTCAATCACAGCTATTTGAACTTCAGTGAGATCGAAGAGGTTATGAGATGGGGTAAACCTCTGGAATTAATGTTGAAAAGAGTATGAGCACTTTTATTTAATTTGTACTGTTTCTATCTAATTCTGAAGATATATCTTCTTTTCTTATCCAAATTTATTTTATCCTTTTCATCTTGACAATATAATGTTTCAGTACAATGGATGGATTGTTTCTATGAGATGGCTTTAAAAATGACGCCTTCACAATGGTTCTATGTAATCAACGTAAACCTCACTCTTGAAATGTTTACTTGTAGTATTGGTAGGATATGTTTCTACCAAATAAAATCAGTTGGCAATGACGATATTCCTAATCTTGAGTTATTTTGAAGCGACTTGAGCCGTTAAACTTGAAAACGCTAATGGCACGTCACCCTTTTGTCTCAATATATGGACACCATGTCACGCATCGCGGTATATACCGTAAATTGCCTGGATTGCTCCTCGAGAAACTTAAACTTCAGTACAGTAAGTGTTTCACTAAAATATCCATCAATAATGGATATTAAATTTCATCGAAATGAGTGGTCCAGCCATAGCTAAATCGATCCCAACAGTTGTGCTTATGTGTGCATTTACCAATATGGTGTCTAGCAGCCTTTGTACGGGTGCCTCAATAATAACCGTCACCTCCAATATCCCGCGCAATATTGCCTTTTAATATTCGTCAGTGGTTGTGGGATTAACAGATGTGAGGCGCTATTTTCAGTCAAAATGGTATTAAGGTGCATGTTGCGGCTACTAGCTCTTCGTTCAGCGACTGCAGCCAACAGGGCAGTTGTGCACCGTTTGTATGACCTTCTCGCCTTTCCGTTCGTACCTTAGTGTATGTTTGTTTTGTCAATGTACTGGATCTGCTAAGAATGATTTTGTCTCACTAGTAGCAAGTATGTGCAGTGCGTTGTACAACGGTGTTTAATTCCTGCACAAAAACGACACGCGCATATTCAGCTTTGGAAAAATTTAGTCTATTCCCACTTGAACTGCGATGGTACTGTTACTGAAGCTCAAGTTTACATCGGCGTACTATACAACGGGTTGACTATGAAATTCTCAGAGTACCGTATTTACATTTACCTTAAGACAAGGGTCCGTTCTATATATATTTCAGTTGATACAGTACGTTATTTGTGTACATTTTATGGCCATGCGATGCTTGCGCGATCACAATGATAGGGAAAAAAGAAGCCATCAATATAAGTATGCAGATGAAATGCTGCTATTTTAGTTTTATTTTCCATTCACACTTTCTTGATCTGTTCACACATTGAGCGGGGATTCAATATTCAAGAAACAATGTTTACCAAATATAGAAATGAAAATCGTCAAGACAATGCGAACTTTCAGCGGCGATGACAGCATGGCTCCGTCATAATCCTCAGCTACGTCAGGGAAGAAGATCAGTGGCAAAAAAAAGTAAAAAAGTATATAAGTGAAACAACAAGAAGTGGGGAAAAGGTTTTATCATACTTTTATATTCTCACACAATGTCCAATCCCCAACAACCCAACAACCACGCTTTCCAAGCCGGATTTTCCAAGGCCAAGGATGAGTACGAGGCTGGATACAAGGCTGCTATTGGCCACCATCACGGAGCACCTATTGCACCCGGCCAGCAGCAACCAGGTCTTGATCAACAGCAACAGCCTGGCCTCGGTCAACAGCAACCAGGTCTTGGTCAACAGCAACATCCTGCTTTCGATCAGCAGCAACAAGGTCTCGGTCAATCTGCTCTCGATCAGCAGCCAGGCTATGGCCAACAGCAGACTGGTTATGGCCAACCACAGACTGGTTACGGACAACCACAAATGGGCAACCCAACTGCCGGCAACATGCAACAAGCTGGTGGCAACGGTATGAACAGTGATGTCCAAGGTAATGCTTACCAGCAACACAAGCACGACTTGAACCAAGACCCTGGTGCCGGAGGTGCTATGGGAGGAGTTCGCCAGCAAGCATATGATGAGCACAAGAGACACCTTGATCAAAACCCAAGTGCCGCTGGTGGTGTTGGTGGTGTTCAGCAACAGGCCTATGATGAGCATAAGGACCATCTCGACCGAAACCAGAATGCAGGCACTGACCGCATGGCTGGTGGCCCCGGTGCCGGCATCACTGGTGGAAATCTCAACAACCAATTGGAGCAAGAAGCTGCTGTCCACAGCGGTCCTCCTCATGGTCTTGGCAACAAGATCAAGTCCAAGCTCCCTCACCACTTCAACGATGGTACCAAGGTCCCCCGTGAACTTCGTGAAGATGTCAGCGGACAAAATGGCCCTGGTCCTATGTAAATTTAAGTTCACTCGACCCTCTCACATCAAAGCATTAATGCTATAGTTCATGTACAAATTATCCCATTACTTTTACATATTTTATAAGTAAACAACAAATTATTAGCACAAAATCGATTCAGCTTTATTTTTAAGTCGTGGCTCAGTCTCAGTTACTGCATTTATTTGGGAAATGGCACGTGTACTATAAGACAACTGCATAGAGGATATTCTGATATTGATTGGCATAATGCATGCTAGATAGAGGATGGGAAGAGATATATCGTAAAAAAAAAATACATGTATAAACTATGTATCGGCTGGAAACCTTGTAAAGACGACAGGCAAGCAATGTGAAATAACCAACGATGTACTGTGTGTGTGAACCATGGTGTCATTTATCGCTATACATTGAACAGAAACCGTTTGATTTAAGAACGCTTGGTCAATACAACACCTTTAGCAGGAGTCAATTGAAGGAAACCCTTTAAGTGTGTGAAAAAAGCTTGCGGGTTAGTCGGCTATTTGTCAAAGTTCAAAGTGCATTGTGATACATTACCATAGCCACACGGTTTGGCGCGCGCTTTCCGTCCTTGGTATCAGGGGAGATATCGTAATCTTCAAGGATCTTCGCAAGCAGATAACAGATCTCTTGACTTGCAAGGTATCGACCGGGGCAGGCGTGGTATCCCAAACCAAAGCTGAGCAAATCCAGTCCAACAGAGGTGCTTTTCTTGGTCTTGCGCGAAACAAATCGTCTGGGGTCCATTTCGGTCAAGGGAATGTTATTTTCACCAACATGTTGGATAGTTGGATCGTTATGGACATCATCGACGGCCATTCCTACACTCTTTCCCTTGGGTATGATGATGCCGTTGCTGAGTACTGTGTCCTGCATGGCCTTGTGGTTGATACCAATGTAATCGCTATTCAATCGCAACGTCTCACGGAAGATGGAGTCGATGATGGGCATGTCTTTAACAACTGCAGGGGTCAATACACCATGCTTCTTCTTGGCTGCCTCGGTTTCCTGTCGGATCAGCTCTTGGATATCGGGACGATCAGATAGTAAATGCAATGCCCAAGTCGTGAATAAGCTCGTGGTGTGAATACTTGCAAATGAGATGTCTTGCAGCCAAAATCCTGCCTCTTCAGGCGTAGGCTGGCTACCATCTGCATTTGGCATATGTAGCATCATGTGCATAAAGAAATCTGGATCCATCTGACCTTCCTTTTCCTCTTGTTCTTTCACTTTTGTGAGAACAGGAGTAATGTGTTTCATAGTAATATCGATCTGATCACTGATATCGAGATAATTTTTGGTAACGAAGTCGGCGAGATTGGCTGGAAGAGAGGTATATGCAATAGCAGCTTTGAAGATGGACTGTGCATAAGTAGCCATTGCCGTAATAAGCTCTTCGCTCTCGCCAACTTCCCGACCTGCGAATAACAAGGCACTAATGCGTCCCACCATATGTTGAACTGCGTCAATTTCGAGTGTAGTTGACTTCGCTCCAGGTTCGAAATGAATATCCAATTCTAATCCTCTGTCGACGGCATACTGCATTCGATCTTCAAAGATTTTAAGCTGATGTGACTTGAAATTGTTTCGTACAGCTTTGACGATAGGGCTTTTGTTTTCGTTTTCATGCTTGACTTCTTGACGCTTTTGTTTATCATAGCTGATGTTGAGGATACGCTGAAGGGGTAAAAAGTCTTCAACGCCTTCGTTGAAATCCAGATATTTGTCTCCAAGTCTAAAGCATTCCTGAATGTATGGACCAGTCACCACGACCATGGTTTTACCGAACGTGGTACTATGACAATATTATATCGTTAGCGTGGTATGGGGGGCTTGGGGAGGGTTTTTTTTCAAGAAGTTTACGCTTACATTTGAAAGATGGGGCCATATCTTTTTTTGCACTTGTCGATAAACTTTCTAGGGTCTTTGCTGAGGTCCAGTCCATTACCAATGAAAGGAATATTGTAAGGCACAATAGGTGGCGTGTTGGCTTTTCTGCGCGTCAGTGTCAGCCTCCATATCGCCCAAGTTGCGGCAACGGCAGCGGAAACAGACAGCACAGGGGATGGAGGGTCTTTTAAAATGTTTTGCACTCTATGAGAAATATGCTCGATGACTTCGTTTATGTTGTTGTTCATGTTGTTGACGATATACCAGGGAAAACTGAAAAGAAGAAGAAAGGGTTAATGGCAGTGACGACCGTTTATAAATTCAGAAGCCAGCAGCCAATGAACAACTCAGTTTTTATAATGTGAGGCTTTTGTTCAAAGACCTCCGCCCCAGTCCATTACACGAGGAGCTGGATCAATAGATTGTCCCACCAACCTCTTCTCTTTGATCTAGACTTGAATAAGCAATATCTCGATGGGGTAGTAAGCTATATCATTCTTCTGAAATATTAAGAAAGATGGTAATAACTTCGGTATTCCCACCCCCGAAGTGTAATGGGAAATGGGCCGATTTTCAATAGCCGTGTTCACTCTGAGCTATGTCATTCTCCGATCGCATAAAGTCATAAAAGGTTCAATATTGTCTTCTTAGCAATCGACAATTCTGTTAGACAATACACCGAGCGGTTGATTAGAATAGTCTGGAAAAAGGTCGTGGCGTGTAATATCCATATCTTGGCTCAATGTTGCGGATGATATCACTTTTACATTCTGCCACCATTGATTCAAAATCGTGATTTTTGAAAGAAAGAGAGGATAGTCAAGAATAGTCAATCACGTTCCATTTTTGATTTATGGAATAAATTATGCAAATATATAGTACATCGATTATCTTTGCTATACGGTGTGTTGAGCTCGCTTGGTGAACCTAACATGCTGTGCAGGTACCACCATGACCATTCCCTAAAAAGACACAATAAGAATGAAACATCAGATGGTGGGACAAATTCAAATGTTTCCCGGCCTGGTGAAGTACTTACCAGAGCAAGTCGATTAGGAGCACGCTTTCCGTCTTTGGTGGTGGCAGATATATCATACCGGTCGATGATGGAAGCTAACAGATACTTGATCTCGACGCTAGCAAAGTAACGGCCAGGGCAAGAGTGGTATCCTACACCGAAAATAAGTAAATCTGGACCTACTGCAGTACTCTTCTTTGATTTCCTTCCAACAAAACGGCAAGGGTCAAATTCACTCAGAGGAATGCCGTTGGGACCAATTTCTTGCAACTCTGGATCCATATGAGCATCGAATACTGATAGTCCGATGGTCGATCCTTCTGGGAGAGTAATACCACTTTGGAGAACAGTCTCCTTCATTACCTTATGGCGGAAACCAACATAGTCACTTCCAATGCGGAGTGATTCACGGAAAAAAGAGTCCAGAATTGGCATTTGACTGACTACCTCAGGTGTAAGGGTGCCAACCCTTTCTCTTGTCTCATCCATTTCCTTTCGTAACAAGTTTTGTATATCAGGGCGGTCGGACAGATCATGCAAGGCGATACCTAGATAAATACTAGTGGTATGGATACTGGCAAGCGCAATATCCTTCAACCAGAATGCGGCCTCTTCAGGTGTGTGCGCATGATCGTCGGCGGCTGGAGTATGAAGCATCATGTGCATAAAGTCGTTTGGTTCCATTTCACCAAACTGATCTTCCTTTTGCTTTATGTCCACGACATGAGGAACCACTTCTCTCATAATCACGTCGATGTTTTTGCCTACCGACATGTATCGTCGAGTAATGAAGTCAGCGATGGTTCTTGGGAACGTGGCTTGAACAACGCTTGCTTTGAATACACTAAGAGCAAACGTGGCAAGGGCTTGGATGAGAGGTTCATTGTCCGCATAAGCTTCACCAGCAAACACCTGAGCACTGATGCGTGCAACAACTGTCTGGAAAAAGACGCTGGCATCCACAGTTGTGGAATTCTCACCAGGTAGGAATGTAATGTCTTTGTTCATCCCTCTTTCAGTAGCATCCATGATCCGATTCTGAAAGAAACCAATTTGATGTGATTTGAGATTGTTGCGTACCAAATGAACGAAGGGATGCTTTGACCATGGAAAATCAGGGCCTTCAGGTTGCTTCAACTTGTCGTAGCTGATAGTGACGATGTGCGCCGTTGGTAACATTTCCTTGAGGCCTTCTTGAAAATCAAGATATTCATCGCCCATCCTGAAACAGTCTACGACCTCTTTCCCGGTGATGACTGTAAGCTTTTGTCCGTACGAGTAGCTGCAGGAGAATCAACAGATTTAGCATAACGTTGTCGTAACTTGAGATATAATGCGGGTCAATGCCAGCCACGAGAGAGACTTACATCTCGAAGACAGGACCATATTTCTCCTTACACCGCTGAATGAACTTGGCTGGGTCTCTGTTCATGGTGAGTCCATGGCCGATAAAAGGTACGGTGTATGGTACGACTGGTGGGAGGTTCTTGGGTCGTTTGTTTGTGGAGGAGAAAATTTTGTACACAAAGTACGACACGAATAAAGTGGTGGAAGCTGTGACAACTGGAGCTGGAAGCTGTTTGTAAGACTTTTGAAGTTCACCAGCAAGCTGCTGTAAGCTACTGTTGATGTAGCGTAAGCTCATAGAAGACAAACGTAAAACGGGCGGAGAGAAAGGAAAGAGAGGTTACGGATACGGTGTCCGCTAAAACATCAACTGAGCAATCCTGAGTCGGCCACAAACTTTCTGGCCACAAGCCCGAAAAAAGGGAAACTGCTGAGAATCCCCGAAAGCCATTAGCATGAAGTTTGCTGTTAAATCCGCGCCCACGCTCAACATAACTTTTGGAGGTAGATGATTCCAGCAATCACAAGGCATGTAGTGAAAGGGGGTATAGTCGACATGTCATGGACAATAAACGCTAAAAGGACTGTCCGCGGCAGATATCAATGGAAGATCGGTGTTATGAGCGTGGCTGAGCTTTGTGAAATTATGTGATTGTTGGCGTTGTCAATAACGTTCGTGTTCAATGACTTTTAAAATCGATCGCTTCAAAGCGGGACGTAACGCGCGAAATTAGATGGCCCGGTTGTCAGTTGAAACCGCGAAAGAAGCACTCACTGCACATTGTAGTTCCGGAAGCTATGCACCTTATTCACATGAAGTAGCATGGTTTCCATCAAAATACATTACTTTGAAATGATGCTTGGTAAAATCATGTAGGCTAGGTCATTGGCATCTACGCTATTCTTGTTAACAGAAAATAAAGGAAGTAATAGTGAGGAGGGCAAGGTTGATAAATGTTAACGAAGGAAAAAATGCACATTGAAAGTCAATCCTTTCATATCTCATTTCGATGCTGCTTTGGTATGGACTACATGAAAGCGCTTTTGGCAGATACATAATTATTGTTTTGCATTGTTGAAACCATCACATATACTCTAGTGAAGATTTCATTGCCATACGCTTGTGCTAGTCGTCAATATCATCAAAGCATAGCGAAAATATGGAATATATCGTACAAGGATGTAACCTTTTCTTATTTTGCGTTTCAAATATTTAGTAAATATAGTCGTATAATAATTACATAGAATTCTCCTATAATATGCGTGACACCTTCTGGGATCTTACACTCGCTTAGTGAGTTTAAACGGTTGAGCTGGTACCAATTTTATCATTCCCTAAATGATGTGCGCAAGGAAAAAAAACCAAAGAGAGATTAGACAATATCGATACATTGAAGACAATTGGTAATGAAGGTACTTACGAGAGCAAGCTGATTAGGAGCTCGCTTACCGTCTTTCGTGGTGGTGGAAATGTCATATTGTTGGAGAAGACAAGAAATAATGTATCGAATCTCCTGACTAGCTAAGTAACGGCCGGGGCAAGAGTGAGCTCCAACGCCAAAAATAAGGAAATCCGTACCAACGGAAGTACTCTTCTTTGAGCGTTGACCAACAAATCGAAGAGGATCTATTTCACTCAGAGGGATATTGTTAGGGCCAATGTCTTGAATCTCTGTGTCCAAATGAGCATCATAAACGGACAAGCCGACAGTTGCGCCCTTAGGAATCGTAAGGCCGCCTTGCAATACTGTATCCTTCATTGCCTTATGTCGGAATCCAACGTAGTCACTTTGAATTCTGAGAGATTCTCGCAAGAAGGAATCCATGATGGGCATTTTAACGGTAAGCTCAGGCGTTAATTCTCCATGTTCTTCTATCGTCTCGTTGATTTCCTTTCGAAGTAAATCTTGTATATCGGGACGGTCGGAGAGATCATGAACAGCGAAGCTGACAAAGGTGCTGGTAGTGTGAATACTGGCAAAAGCGATATCCTTCAACCAAAAAGCCGTCTCTTCTGGAGTTTGAACATGGTCATCTGCGCCAGGAACTTGTAGCATCATATGCATAAAGTCGTCAGGTTTTGACTGACCAAACTGATCTTCTTCTTCTTTTATACTGGTGACATAAGGAGTCACTTCTTTCATGATAGTTTCAATGTTTTTTCCAACAGAAAGATAGCGACGGAGGATGAAGTTAGCGACAGGAGTGGGCAAAACATTTTGCGCCATACCAGCTCTGAACATGCTAAGAGCATAATCTGCAAATGCCTGGATCAAAGGTTCGCTATCGGCATATTTCCTTCCAGCAAAGAGTTGAACGCCGATACGGGCGACGAGCTTTTGAAAGAAAGTACTGGCGTCTACTGTCGTCGAGTTCTCTCCTGGTTTGAAGACGATATCTTTCTCCAAGCTTTTTTGAACAGCATCAATTAACCGATCTTGAAACATAGACAACTGATGTGATTTGTAGTTATTGCGAACCAGACGGATGAGAGGGTTTTTGCTCATAGGATATTGTGGGCCATCTTGTTGTTTCATCTTGCTGTAGCTCACATCTATAATATGCGCGGTTGGCAACAGATCTTTGACACCTTCCTGGAAGTCAAGGTATTCTTCGCCTACTCTAAAGCACTCTACGACCTGTTTTCCAGTGACAACAATCAACTTTTGGCCGAAAGTGTATCTGCCAAGGACAAGTCAGGTTAGAGAAAACTTGAGAACCCGCGTGGGTAGTGTTGAGATAACCTACATTTCGAACACAGGACCATATTGCTCTTTACATCTTTGTATGAACGCGTAAGGGTCCCTATTCATTTCTAAGCCATTTCCAACGAAAGGTAAGGTGTATGGCACGACTGGCACAAGATGGGGTGACCTTTTCTGGGAGCTCTTAACATATTTCAGAACTAAGTATGAAGCTACCAAGGCAGCCGACACGGTGACCACAGGAGAGGGAAGTTTCTCGTAAGATTGTTGAAATCGATTGGAAATGGTTTGTAAGGTGCTGTTGAGATTATATGCACTCATATCGTTATAGTTTGTATGCGAAAGAAAGGTAAAGGGTGGGGCGGAGGAGAGAATCGAGACTCAAATATCCAGGTCCGGAGGGTCTGTCAGCCGTATCCGTAAGGAATTTTGTTAAGTGGTCACAACATGAGATGCACCGCAGATAAGGTAGCTATTGACCATGCTGCAATATCAAATCCCCCATTCCAATAAGTCATATCATAATAATAAATGTCATTGGTCCTGGACATCTGGTTTTGTACCTAAGCCTTCCTGTGAAACCCCCATCGCGCCTTTTTGCCTACCATGTCCTTTGGTAGGACGCACGGGCCGGCCTAAAGCTTTGAAAATTTCCCTTAACACTAGCAGTCACGACATCTTTCAGCTTGGTTTGACGACAACGATCGATCGCAAAATGCAACGACTAGTGTACAGACCAACATGGCATCGATCCTTCGCAACCTTGAACACGACGTTATGGAAACAAACAGCTATATTTGTAGACAATCTACAAGGTTTGTCTGATTCGAATCAAAGGTAGGATAAATTTTCCAGCGATGGTGTACGGGCAATTTCCTTACAGTGATCAGTCTGTTAACACCTAAATAAGCAGCCACGCTGAAGAATTTACTATAGAAGACGAGGATTTTGAATCGAAAGTGGTTCGAGGCTCAGAAGAAGCATCCTTTGGACGGAAGCGAATTGGCTGCGTACAGCTGCCAACGTCACTAAAGGCTGCTATCCAGGACACAGTTGCGTTGGCGGATAAACCACTGGTTCGAACGGATGCGCTGCGGATATACGAGTCGTTTCGGTCAACATCTAAAATACCTGTGATTGAGCCTACTCGAAAATTTGATAAACGCGCAAAAGCGGAAGTGGTTGTGGACGCTCACACCATAACATACGGAGAACGAGAGACCATCGCCTATGTTGCCGGCGCATTACCAGCGACATACGCAGCGATATACAATGTCATAAAGGAATTGAAGGAGCGAATATGCTCGTTTGAGCCCAAGACGATGCTTGATTTCGGAACGGGTCCAGGGACTGGAATATGGTATGGTAGTCAGATATTAGAGAACATCAGCAAGTGATATGCACTAACCACTATTGAATCATTAGGGCGGCTCGTGAGCATTTCAATTTAGAGAAAAGCGTAGGTGTGGATATTTCGGAACATATGTTGCGAATGGCTGAAGGTTTAATAGAGAGTAAGTAAAGAGGGGACAAATTCAAAGCACGGAACACACTATTCACTTTATGATTTACAGAAAGTGGAAATGTTGATTTTGCTGAAAGTACCACATTTCAGCGTTACTTTTCGTACAACCCAAAGGTAGGTGAATGAATTTAGAGGCAATGGGCATACAGTGCGGATAGATAATTTATACAATGTTGCCAACTGTAGCAACCAAAAACCGACTTGGTTCTGAGTGCATTCACATTGGGAGATACAGCATCAGAAGCACTGCGAAAATCATCTTTACAGTCGTTATGGGATCAGACTGGCGATGTTTTAGTACTCATTGAGAGAGGTACTCCAGTTGGATTTCGCATCATTGCTCAAGCGCGAGAGTGGATTTTGGAGAGCAATAAGGAGGACGAGAACGCTGTACATGTTGTAGCGCCGGTAAGAATCGAATCATATGGTGTATATCAAAGCGGAATTTCTCATTGACAGCTTGACGTTTGATAGTGCCCACATGACAAACCGTGTCCAATGTTTCGTGGAGAGCCTTTGCAGCCTGATCGAGACTGGTGCCATTTCTCGCAGAGAGTAGAGCGACCAAAATTTTTGGTAGGTGACATTGGTGCAATTTGTGCAGATTTGGATTCATATCTAACTTTTCACCATTTAGATGAAAACCAAACACAGTAAAATTAATATCGAGGATGCAAAGTATTCTTATGTGATTCTTCGAAAAGGGCCACGACCGGTATCCACAACAGCTGATCAAGAAGATTTGGAGACAGAGGCGTATACCTGGCCACGGCTGGTCACACCTCCTCTGAAGAAAAATAAACACGTTGTGATGGATGTCTGCACATCGTCTGGAGAAATTCAAAGAATGATCATCCCCAAGTCTCAAGGCAAAATACCCTATAGAGATGCCCGCAAAAGTACTTGGGGAGACCTATTTCCTCACACACCTAAAAATCCTGCTGTTGTTCGAATCAAACAGAAAGAGGACCCCGTTACAGAATAAAGCGCAGCATAACTAGTTATTTGGTTATCGATGAAAACTTGAAATCATACATACAGCTTCGTTCCAAAAACGATGCTGGTTTTGGCTCAGGGACCAATGGTAAATGATATGGCATGGTTTGGGTAAAGGGGTTCTAGAGACTATTATGTGGTGTATATGTAGAGGGAGATGATAGATGTAGACATTGAGGTAAACGACGATTCGTAAAGAGCTAGTGGATGGAGAGCATAGAGGTGGTCAGTTCTGCGTCATCAGAATCACTGTAACCCTTTCTTAAGGTTCATGATCCTATCTTCAAGATCGGTATCCATGGGCAGGAGTTCTCTATTGTTCTCTGATAATGGAGGATGCTGCACGGGTAAAATTTAGTTGGGACCTTATTTGTGAACAAAAAAGAAGTGGTTTTGAAGATACTTACTGCAGTGCTATTGAGGATCTGGGCTTTCAGCTCGTCTGGATAATACGCATGGGTTATTTTGCTGATAAGAAGGGCGTGTTGTCTCAACAGCCTTCGCCAACTTACCAAATTTTGACTCGCTCAAAGGAGAGAACTTGATCATATTGTTATCTGGAAAATGATCAAAGAGATAGGACTCGGTAATGGAGAGCTGCGCACATTGTTGAGCTAGTTTTGAGAAAATCTGTGGATCATTTCGATACCTGAGATCGGCAAAGTAAGTTACGGGACATAAACAGAACAATGTATGGAGACACAGGCACGGAGGAACATACAATCTATAGGCTTCTTTGTTTGGACAATATTTTTCCACTAAACCATCCAACACCACGCGTTTGTAGGCATTCTTGATATAATGTAGAATGTGAAAGATATAGTCTTGGTGAGGTCTCCATACCGGGAATTGTTGAGCGATGGAGAGTCTTCCTTGGGTATCGACTAATGGATGGAACATGTCGGTGAGGAAAGTGACGGTTGGAGGAGTATTCGGATACGACTCCGGGATATTGATTCGAAATTTGAAGACGCCAGAGCGATAAAAGCCTTTGTGTACAAAAAGAACTCCAAACCAAACTGTGTACATGCGCATGGTTTTCGAGAATAAACAATGTGTATGTGTGAGATAACTGTGTGACGGATGAACCAGCCATAAAACAACCTTACCATTCAGATTGTCAGACGATGGCATAACATAGACACCGAGTGGACAGTGGTTTGGATTTCTGAGGTTGGAACTGAAGGTGGAATGGATTAATCAATCAACCTGAAGACATTGATTCAGTCATGGAAGGGATTCTCACAACTCAATCATAAGTTCATAGCGTTTAAAGTATTCGGAATTGTTCTTGGGTTTAAGTTTCTCTTCTTGTGCGTCGTGTTCCATCGCGTCTATTACTGTGGATTTATTGGAACGGGATCCACGTAGTGACCCACTGAGTTGACGCGTCTTGGACAGGAAATTACTAACGCTGCTGTTGCTTCGTTGAAGATTGGTCCGAGAAGAAGATGGACCCTAAGAATTGGAATACAATCACGTTTGAGCTGATGCAGTATAACAAAACGTGATTTGCTTTAGAACTCACTGTGCTCATTTGTGGTGATTGTGTAAGAGTACGGCCAACCGCGGCGTCTGAAATCGTAATCAACCCATTTGGCAATGAACCCGGCTATATCTGTTTATCCGTTCGCGGCATTCCACCTGACATAGGCAGACAAAATCACGGCTTTGGCTAATATGGCGGCTGAAAATCGGCCAGCCTACACCCCCCAGCATGCATTCACAATGAAACCCTGATCAACAAAATATGGTTCATAGTTAATGCTCAAATTCGGATCGATATGAAACCAAAGCCAAACTGAACTGTTTCAGTTCCTAATGGCCATTGCCTATCTGCTACCAAAAAGCGGCCATTAATGTGAATTGAGTCGCATGCATCTACACTGCGGTTGACGTGCACAAGATGAGGATAGGTTAGATAAGGGGGGGGGGAAGGTTGGACAGGGTGAGGTGATCGCAATCGGACGAGATCAAAATCGATTGGAGAGCTCTCTCCTTTTCAAGAGAGTCAAAAGAAACCGCTAATGGCACTAAAATTTTTGGGAATTTCAATAAGGTTTTTACGTCATGAAGGAATTTTTGAAAATTGGCTTTAAGGATAGAGAGATGTATGGATAGAGTGGCGAATGGGGGGATATGTTTACATAGGAAGGTGAGATTGATATGCAGAAGGTCCACATAAAGAACTAATTTAGGTATTTTAAACAGCTTGAGGTATTTATTCCATTGCTTGCCTGCCGCCAAGGGGGACAAAGGTCAAGTGCAAACTAATTATTTATGTTATTTTTACAAATCCGCTTAGGTTTCCCCATGGGCAAGCGCAGCACTGGTTGCACGAGAAAGAACTTATATCTATGAAAAGATGGAGGCATTGGGCAACACAGTAATAAAATACATCAAAGTAAATAGGAAGAATGGTTTGTGCTGCTGGCTCAGGTGTTTGCCGGGACGGGCCGTCCTAATATCACAGGGACGGCAAAACGATTTCGGTAAAATGACCTTTTTTTTTTTTTTTTTTCTTCCTCCAAGACTGAGCTGACCTAAGTAAGACTTTAGTTTAAAAAGGTGTGATTTTTCTGTTCCTTTCTTTCATCCTAGATCAAGTAGATAACTACCTTTTTAAGCTAACAACTTGTTGATGGACAAAGAAGTAGGGTCTGGATTTCTCATCTTTCTAAGATATCTTTTTCGATAACTGGAGTATTTATTGGGAAGTTGGGCAGTTCTTTTTTTTCTATCGCTGCACAGGGAAGGAAATTTTTCCGGGACGGGCTGGGGGGAGTGCTGGCTATGAATTTTTTTGGACCATACAGATTGCATCCGTCGCTGATAGAGCGGAGACTTGGAAACCCTTTATAAGACAATGCCTCTTTATTCACAAATCCTGAACCTTTGTTGTATTACTTCCTCTTTCTTTTCCTTCGCTCGAATCTATTGAATGCCCAAAGCACACTGTTGACTTTGTCCTTATTTATACATATCTCCACATCGTCCAAGTTAATTCTTCTCAACTCCACCCACTCCGATGCCTACAGAAGTTGCGACTGCTACCGCTTGGAATTTCCAAATTCCTGTTACAGCTTCAGCTGAAGCTATGGACGAACCTTGCCCAGAACTATCATCGTCGGTGTCGACTCGCGATTCAGCTATTGACACTCGCAGCATACACTCGACCTATACCCCACCACGAAAGATGACATCCAAACTACAAGGATTATTTCATCATTCAAATAATGAACAGTCGTCAGGAAAACGACATTCTATGAATTTGTTTGGCAAAAGTCGCAGTTCTTCGCAATCGTCTGGATCCACTTCTCCATCGGCTATTCCTTCATTGAGCCAAAAGTATGGCTCGTGCAAGAAGGGTTTCGTCAGCGAAGGAGCTACTGCCGTCATTCGATTGGTCACTAAATCCAACTGCTGCTCCGACGTTTATTGCGTCAAGGCTTTCCACAAAAAGGCTAAAGACGATAGTGATCGCAGTTACATGAAACGCATGACCAGCGAATTCTGCATCAGCTCTACACTGCGACATGAAAATGTGGTCAAGACACTTGATCTTGTGATAGACGAGAAAGGCCGCTACTGCGCTGTGATGGAATATGTAGGTGTTTTTGTCTGACGCTGAATTTGAATTACCTCGTTTTTCACACCCAATGTATTAATCACTTATTGCCTTTATTTTTTATAGTGCTCTGGCGGTGACTTGTTTGAAGTTGTACGAGAACGTAGTCTTACCGATGAAGAATTGGCCTGTTTATTCAAGCAACTTCTTCGTGGTCTTCAGTACATGCATGAAAGTGGTGTCGTTCACCGTGATATCAAACCCGAAAATTTAGTCTTAACCTCCAGCGGTACTCTGAAGATCGCTGACTTCGGGGTCTCTGACGTCTTCCAGTCGTGTTTCGAAACTACTCCCCGAAACTGTAAAGGTGCTGTTGGTAGTCATCCATACCATTCTCCCGAATTGTTTGAAAACGGCAATGACTACGATGGTCGTGCTATGGATGTATGGAGTGCTGCCATTACTTTCTACTGCATGAAATTCCGTCGCCTTCCCTTCTTGTCCGCCACCAAGGACGACGCCTCCTATGCGGAATTCCTTGCAGCCTTGCCAAACCGCGATTGGGCCCCATTCGCTAATATGTCTCAGGCGCAACAAGATTGCTTGTATGGCATGCTTGATATCAATCCAAAGACTCGTTGGACTATCAAGCAAGCTCTAGAGTCTGAGTGGATGCAGTCCGTAGAAGTTTGCCAAGACGGAGCCTTGAAATCTGGCTGGAAGCATTACCACTATCTTCCTTCTCGCCGATGAGAAACCTAAGCTCTTCGAATCTAGAAATCCGAGAAGAAACAACTTCCATACCTAGACATGCATGATATCTGGTTTATTCAAAATGTATTATACTCATTTTTTCCTTTTTCTGTACCTCCCCACCCTTTCCTTCAACTCCATTTGTAACAATATCTGTTTTCTGTAATCATAAACAAAATGCAAAATTCCCCGTACTTTCAATATTACCGTTTGTCCCTTAGTTGATTAAATGCAGTGATAATCGAATAGCGCATCCTGACTGATTAGTGCAAGGTGGGATAGTGGGGATGGGGTGGGTACAGTAACTTGAGAATTTGCCAATAGCATATCAGGTTTGTGAAAAATTGTGTTTGTTACGTCGGACTTGAAGCAACTTTCTCAGGCTGTCTGAGCGGCGTGGGTTATTAATCTGAACAGATCACTCGAAATGCATCCAACCCCAAGTGTCACCAACCCCAATCGCACCAAGAAGGAATTCTATGACGACCTCCTTGATGAGGTCAAGGCATTTGTCGATGGCCAACGATTTTGGGTAAGTATGGAGTAGAAAACTTTTTGCTGAAGGCAGGGTTTTGACAGGCTGTGAAAGTTTTTTTTTTCCTTCACAACACTTCCACTTGCGTTTCCACATAATTTTTACACACGTACAACTAGCTCAAGTGAAGCACCTGTTTTATGCATCTTTGTAACTAATAATAAACCATCCATGCCTAGGTGACCAACCTTGCCAACGTCGCTGCTCTTATATACCACGGTCTCCACAGTTTGGAAGAGCATAGGAACAAGCCTGTCAACTGGGCCGGGTTCTACGTAACTGATCCTACCAACGATCAAAAGCTTATCCTTGGCCCTTTCCAAGGAAAGGTCGCATGTACGGAAATTCTGTTTGGCAAAGGAGTGTGCGGTGCAGCAGCAGTTTCACAAGAAACGCAGGTGGTGAAAAATGTACATGAGTTCCCCAGTCATATCGCCTGCGACTCTGCCTCCAACTCGGAAATCGTTGTCCCACTTGTTCTTCCCTCTGGAGTAAGTTTCTTCCTGAATCTCCGTATTACTTTGGCGTTTCTTGCCTAGGCATATCATCGGCTAAACTCCTTTCTTTCTGCTTTAGAAATTGATTGGCGTCATTGATATCGATTGTGAGGAACTTGAAGGATTCAATGATGACGACAAGGTCGGCCTAGAAGCAGTCGCCAAAGTCATTATTGACAGTTGTGATTGGTGGTAGATGGTTTGGGGAGTTTTTGTTCATACTTAGAATGAGTAACTTTGATCAAGCGCCATGTTGGTTTGATGAATAATACTGTTACTTTTGCAAACTTTCTGAGAATTGTGTTTTATTTGTTGATATTGATTATGCTGCGATTCTAGGGCACATCAGACATTCACCTGTCAATGACATGGTCGCACATGAATAACACCTTAGGCGAATGGAACGTTCTCGCTTTGGGTTTAGCTTGTTTCAATATGACTAAAATAAAGTGAATGCAGCTGTGACCCTGCTTTCTCAGGTCTTCCTACTTAAGAACGTTGTCCGAGTGTACCTTATCAGTCTTTACTTTTCAGTTTTAGCGCGTCGTAGGGACAGCACATGCGGTCAGGGAATGACAATGTTTAGTAAACCTTCTAGACGTCACTGGCCGGGGCAATTTAGATTATACGTATGACGAAAAGTCATACATTTCGACATTGACTATTACAGCTATTATGCTATCTTTGACACATGAATGAGGTTGCCGAGTCCGCCGGCTGCGGTGCATTCTGTTAGCCTATAGCTTGAAATGACCTAATGCATTGATAGTAAACGCAATAGCTAGTTTGGGAAGCGCATTTCAAAGCATTTGAATTCATATATTGGCCTTACGAGAAGAACCCAATACAGCGTTGAAAAGGTGTCAATTTGACAATTGGTCATTTTCATTTTGACGGGCACTACTAAACCAGAACTAGATGACAAAGCGCATTCGTGTTTCAGAACTATGGTGTAGAGTCCAAAGTAGTTTATGCCCATCTCTACTTTCTTCACCCAATCTTGTTTTCCCGAAGACAATACACTTCTGTTAGGTCCCTGTACTCGGAACCATCACTTGTAATGGTCTCTTTACCTAACAACGTAAGGAAGAGAAGAAGTGTTACTGATATCTACGCCCAGGGAAAGCATTGCACTCAAGGGTAAATAATATGGGTACTTCTTTGCGGTGATCTGGGTCACACTTTATGCTTGAGAATTAAGCTCATCGTAAGCTGTGTGACTTGGACCCCTAATCCCTACTTTTCACCCAAACCATTCTATCGCACTGCAGATCACTCATTGCTCTCCTACTACCCAACGCACCTCCCCGAACAAATAATCTAACCTGCTGATGTTTCATGTACCTGTGAATGTGCAATAGGGATCATAACTGTACCATGTCTGTTTTAACGTGGCAATGTGAGATAGGAGATGGGTTTTATTGGATTGACTAATTACGTCCCCTTCCTAGACTATGCCTGCCGCCTTTCACCCTCGGATGTCATGATTTAGCGCAGAATTATAGAGAAAAGGGGCAGCTAGCACAACAAGCTCGGTTCATAATTGGCTTGTATCTAATTGAAGTACGGAGGTGCAATGCGATAGTGTTCGAAGCAAGCGGGGAAGAATATCGACTTCGTGATGGGTCATTACCTAAAAAGAAAACCGTAACAGGAGGTGAGGCGACTTTCCATGCAGAGCCAGTAAAAGCTCAACCAAGAATAGGTCGCAATAAAGACAATTTCGCTTTCCAGCTGTTTCAGACCCACCACCTGCAATGTTTGTGCAAAGCACCATTCATACAACGTAGCTTGAGCACCTGGTTATCGCAAATATCCCAAGGAAAACCTCCTTTATCACATTCCCCATCCAGAAACACGTTCTCATTCCCCTCGACGACCTTCCCATTTATAAACAACAATGGCCGGCCGGTTATCTTCAAAGGCTATTCTACTACGCTACTCTATTTTGACCTTCCATTCATTTCGACTTGGTGCTACCCATTCCATTCCTTCTCGCACCTCTGATCATTGATGCTAATTTCCTTTAACTCTAAGCCCAAGGTATAGAATGATCTGCATTGGTGAGAAAGCATGAGGACAGCTTGAGGCTAAATTTATCTACGTTTGCTTTGCACAGATCGATATTGGAACCAGTCCTCATGTCCCGAAACCTTGCTTTGTACTATTCTCCAAACGAAAAATTCAACCTTTATGTACCTCAAGTTCCAAGCACAAGGACATGAAAAGGCAGACAACCGTCATCACACGATTGAGGGAGGTATTGAGGCTTCCGCATTCAATGCAAGGACTGGCGAGATCACTATCGAGCAAATCATCGTTGCCAGATTTAGTGCATTCGGCGATTTCAACCTCCAGTAGTGGTGACTCGCTGTCAACGTCTTCGTCGAGCTTGTCAGTAAAGGAAGAAGTCCCAAAATTGAAAAGTGTACTGAAGAAATCAGGCAAATCAGAGCCCGATTTACGCAAATGCTCCACTTTTTCTCGCAAACGCAATGCTTCCTTCCGATCTGCTCGTCTCCATCACGTCCAGTTCAACAAGTCCCCCTCTATTCATAGCACTTACAGCAAATTCCAGTACGATCGCCAAACGGATCAGTCGGCTACTTGTTTGAACCTCTCCTTGGACGTGGCTGGAGCAATCAAAGATGAGTTGAACAACTACAAGAAGACGGAGATGCAAGTGCATGAAGACAGCCGCATACACACTCACTTTTTCGAATAGTGAACCAGCCCCAGAACCATTTTTCTTATTATTAGCATACTTTATATCCTTCCCGTTACTCTGAAGAATAAAGATAGATGTGGATGGGCAGGCGTTGATCGGGTGATCATCCAAGTCATGTCATTTTAGGATTTATTTAGTTTGCAGCATCCTCTTCCCTGCTATGGTGTTGTTCCATGATGTTTCTATTTACTCTGGGGGTATATTGTAGCTTGAATGCAGCGTACAGTTCCCATTTTCGGTTTGTACATGACTATCAAAACGTTCGGTCCAGTAGAGAGCAAAGGACAGACCATGTGTGACAGAATCATTTTTGTGGTTGGGGAGAGATATCGATTGAAGGGAGATACCTCCTGGTATAAAGCGATTTTTTGAATTTTTACAAGAGGTTTATGGCTTGACATTGGCCGGTGCATTTCGTGGTTTCTTATTATTTTTTTGGACTTGACGAGCACGTTGTATAATGGCTATAAGGAAGGAGTAGATTAAGTTAGGTCTGTTCCAATCAGCCGTTGCCTATCCCCCGTCCGCCTACCTTTGCATTTTGTTCGGTCCAATCTATCCTCAGGACAGTCTTCAATCAATTCATTATTGCCATTGACACTATACAAGTCCACTCCTTCTTTCATAGCCATGTCATTCAAAAGCGACCATAAGCCCATGGCAGCAGTGTAATGCAAAGCCGACCACCCTGCAAATGTCATTTATGTTTTAAGAAATTGTTCCCATATAAAGTAGCCAGCTCACTCTTGTCACTGTGCAAAAGAAAATCTTGGTGTTCCTTACCATTACTGTCCTGATAATTTATATTGATATCTTGGCGAGAAAGCAACAAGCGAGCTACGTTTTCTTGATCGTTCACTAAAGCGATCATGAGCGGAGACTTGTCGTTTGCACCATGTCGGGCGTTGATTTTAGCCCCACGACTCAGTGCATCCTGAACGGCGTCAATATCTCCATTCATACAGCTATCAATGAAGACCGATTGAAGCGTGAAACGTGCTCTGCGTGTTCCATTATCTACAACAGTAGGAGTAGGGTTGTTGCAAGTTCTTGTTGGCGAAGGCGGTGGAGTGGGGATGGAGATGGAAGAATCCTTGGATCGTGGACGAGTACTTTTGGGAGGGGAATCAAAATAATCTTGAGAGATGGTGGACGTGATGTCGGGAGGGGTATGTGGTGGCTGTTGGCGAGCTGCAGCTTTTTGTAAAAGAACCGACGAAAACGACGAAGCGGGTGGTGAATAGGGTCGGACTTGACTAGTCAGAGCAAGAACGGTTTCTTCTTCATGACTGCAATCCAAGGGTCGCAAGCGCTGATCATTTCTTATATATGGATTGGCTCCTGCCTTTAACAACATCACTATAATTTCATGCATGTTGTGAAATGCTGCGAAATGAAGAGCGGTGTTTCCCTTTGCGCAACGGTGGTTGAGGCATGGTGATTTTGTACTTTGATTTTTACACACGGCTTCAATGATCATTAAAGCAATAAGCTCCTTGTTTTTCAGAATAGCGAGCTGCAATGCATTAACATGATCAAGTTCATCACCAAACATCCCTGGCTTTGTCAGGACGACATGGTTTTGCGTGTGACTAAATAACACGGAAGGATCGCCTTCGTCTAGAGATTGACGAACTTTCTCAGCGTCATTGTTTTCAATGCCGTGTACAAGACGCTTCCACAACGACAGTTCGTGCTGATCAATAAGAAGAGCCATTAGGAAAATTGATTACCGCGTTTAGTGGGAGAAGGGAGAGGGAAAAAAAGGAAGAAGAGGTGGGTCACCCATCGCATCGCACGGAAGTCATCCGTTCGCGGTAGTAAACAGTGACAAGAATGGATAAGCATTTGTATTTTGTGGGCATTTGTTTGCATCCACCTTATTTTTTTGGGTCCGCTGTACCTCGTCTTCCACATTTTCTTGCTTGATTTTTCCCTCTGGATAAAAAAGGTAGTAACTTACATGTCGTTTCCGGTATCGAAGTAACCTTTGCATTGAAAGGAGAAAGAAAAGGAGAAAACACAAAATATAAAATAATAAACTATATGCTGGGGTTATATTACATTTACATGAGGCTAACTGAACAGTCCTATCTAATCCAGCACATAGGATGACTGGGAACTGGTTCAGCAGCTTGTTGAAGTAATCCGCGATTCCGTTGTATGGTAACACCTGCATATCCCTCAGAATCATAAAGTTCATTTGCCGCCGCCCGCCTTACTTTCTTGTTCTATTGCCACCAACTGCAGAAAAAATGAAATGGGATGGCATATAAAGTGGTTGGGTGTTGACAGTAACGAACTACTTTATGTTGTACTATCGCGTTAAATGACAACATATCTCAGCATGGTTGCCAAGCAATATAATAATAGAAAAAAAAAATGGCATGACGACAAGGTTCATGATTTTGCCCCGGCCGAACTTTGTGCCTATAAATCTGGCCTTTAGCAAACGAGCAATCTAAAATGGCGGGCATACCCACTGAGGCTGGGTTGGGGTCCCAGACAAAGCAATGGAGGTTGCGTCGATCAATCATTATGTCACAGCTTTCTTTCTTGTTGCTATCTTAAAACTCAGTCCTCACTTCAAAGCTGTTGTTCGGCTTTACCTTTTGTATTTTAAGACTGATCAATTACGATAACGGGGGAGAGGAAAAAAATGGGTTGGGTTAGGCACCGCCTTCAAGGAAGTAACTGAGAATGGAAAACATAAAATGTACGGGAACAATAAAAAAACATATGAAAAATATATACAGCGTTTCTTTTTTTTTTTCTGAGGGGAGGAGGGAAGGGGGGTGGGTAATAATAGAGGAACATGGCACAGATAAAATAAATTGGTGGGCAATCAACCTTCTGTTCAGGCAAATTGTTCAAATTGTTGGAGGTATCAACCGGTTCATGCATCCAAGTTAATCAAGCCTATTTAGATAAGAAGGATAGTTCAATCGTTTAGAACGTCAGTTCATCCTTACGGACTACAAGGCAATATACTCACCATCGAAATCCTGTTCCAAGGCATCAGTCACAACATCGCCATTGTCACCGGTGACCAGCCAGGTGTCAAGGGCAGCGGTCGCATCAGTGTTGAGTGGCAAAGCGCTGCTCAAATCAAAGTAACCAGCATCACCCATCTTGAGGGCAAAGGGCGTGATGGCATCAGTGTCGTCCATGTACAAGTATGGGGATGCTTTGATCATAGGGTTCCAGTGACGGTCTTCGCCATCCGTCATAGGAGACGCAAAGGATGTGCCGCTGCAATATAAAGACGTTAGTTTCAGAGCGAAAAAAATGGAAAGAATATGCAGCAATCATTGGCGAGCAATTTATCTTCGCTGGACCAAAACAAAAACCGATACAAGGAAGTTATTACTTACACATCATCATCATCAATGAGGGATCCCATATAGATATCGGACGATGGTTGCTGTTGCTGCTTGAGGCTAAGTGCAACCATATCAGCAGGAGTAGTGATATGGCCAAAATCACTGGATTCAGCAGAGAGTGGTGGAGGAGCAGGTAGACAATTATTGGAGACAGAAGATACAGGAAGGGTATCTTGCGAGAGACTGGCATTTAATGCCTCATCATCCAAAAAGAAATCTGATGCCTGAGAAAGGTTGAAGGCGTCACTATGAGGACCCCAAACGTGGTGAGGATCAGGCGAAACATTCAAGGAGAAGCCTTCCCAAACATGCAAAGCGGGCGGTGAGTTATCATTTTGCTCTTCAACAAATACAGAGGTTTCGCATTCATCTAATGGTCGATTTTCATCAAACGCTGTAGTATCTTCATCTGTATCCACATCTTCTTCGTCCTCCAATCCAATATGCAGTTTGCGTTGCTTCATTCTGGTTTCAAGGTATGCGTTGTTCGCTTCTTGTACAAATCGATCCAACAAGCTGCGGTTTCCAGATTGTTTGGCTTTGATCTTTTTGAGTCTTGCTTGCAATTTAAGTTGGGCTTCAAGTGCGCCTGCTACCGTTTTGCCTCCAGTGGATCGATGACAGGATGCGGTGGGGCTGACATAGTCTCCTTTGCATCTGGGGCAAAAATATTCTTCTTCCAGGTGATCTTCATCCAGGCCAATACAATCTAAATGTAGCCATGATTCGCATTTATCGCATTGAACCATAGGTCCACTTTCTTCTTCGTCGTCGTCGTGTAAGCCAGCACAGATACAATTAGTGACAGCATCACGCCATTCCTCTGTGTCTGACTCATCGTCGTCACTTTTAGCTGCCTTATACAAGTTTTTCTTCTTCTTCTTTTGAAGCGTATTTCTGGATTTGCATCTTTCAGCATGATACGTTAAACCTCGAAGGTTTTTGTACTGTTTATGGCAATGGGCACAGGTGTAATCGAAATCATCTGTGAAAAAACAATCGAATTGAGTTAATATGATCTAGCAATGAACCAGATGCCAGTCTGAAAACAGAAAAAGACATTTTGCAGGCAAGTGTACAAGGAAACTCACCAGTGATGACCTTGGAGTTCAGACGGCGAGAAGATTTAGGCGATGGTGTTTGAGGGCATTCATCTTCAAAAGGCAGCGATGAGAGTGAGCTGTCATTATCCGTAGGCGTTGCAACGACTGCGGATAGGATGTGTGTGGCTTGCTGTTTGGAAATATGGGCAGGCAGGTTGATATGTCGACGAGGCAACTTGGAACGTGGGGTCACGACAATTGACATGCGACCATTAGCATCGGTAACGAGCTCCATAGCATTGAAATCATTATCAGGAAGGGGGCTGAAAATAGACTTAGTGGCCTCAACACGGTGTATGCGTTCATGTTCCTGGGCGCGAGGAGCCGATGCAGTGCGAGACTTAGGGTGCCGAGAGAAAAAGTTTTTGGCATTGCCAATGGTGGTATCCGAGTCGCCAGGTTTGTGAGTGGTATGGGAGAAAGTGGGGATGGTATAACGGGTAATTGATTTTTTTTGGCTAGTGAATACCTTGGACTTTGCACGAGCAAGTCTCTCTTTCAGCATCACGCTAAGCGGTTTGATGTCGGTTACAGTTATGTCAGGAACAAGTCCATGCGGCCAAATTTTATGACATGTTTGGAAAAGGAGCGGCTTGGTAGGGCGTGGCTCTAATTTGGACAAATCAACAGATTCAAGGGCTGAGCTAGAGAGGGGGGTCAATGATTTTTGACGGTGAGCAAGAGGTGATTCCGGTTCAGGAGGACGCTGGGCATACGAAGACGGTCGCTTGGGTGTAACCACAGTGGAAGATGGAGAAGATTCGTCAATGACTAAGTGCTGCTTCTTTGGCGTCTGAGGAATAGCAGCTTCTTCATAATGACGACTCATAATTTTCAATTGTGATTCAGATAATTTTTGAACTGGCTCTTCATCGGTTCTCATAGTTGCCACAGTCTTGCTTCCAACGAGTTTTCGCTTTTTCACTGAAAATACTTTGCCACCCGTGGTAGGCACAGAAGACGGTGAAACATTGGTCGCGTTGAAATCATGCAATGCTACTTTTCGCTTTGTCAACAATAATTTGTTGTCTAATAGCTGGGTGCGTTTCGCGGATGGAGTTGTTGGAGCAGCATCCTTGTAGTTTTTGTTGACAGCAGTGTTTTCGAGGAAAATGTTTTGGTTCTCATCGGTTACAGGCTGCTTTGATTTCTTGGTGGTGCGCTTTGCTGAACGCTTTTTACGCCTATGACGAAAATTTTGGGTAACCAGGCACGTAAAGCAGACAGGGGGATAGATAAATTTTCATCAACAAGAGCACGAAAGGGGAATATTGAAAAGTGAGAGGTAAAAAAAAATTGACAGATTGGAAAGGAAGAAAAAATAACATTGGTTAGTAAGGTTCGTTTGAGTGGCAACCTATTGGCATTTCAACCTACTCCACGGTAGCATTTCTCTCCTTGGATGGATGCTCATTAGGTTTAAGATTTGAGGCGTCTTTCAATGCAGCATTCTTGCTTTGAACACTCTCAGTTTGGTTGAGAGGGCTCAGAACGTTTCTGAGAGGCATGAACGGTGACTAACTATGATTCTACAAGGTGGTAATGGAGTAAAATAAAGCGTCGTAAGTGAGGGGCCGGCGTAGGGAAGTGGAAGAAGAGGTGGAAAGATAGAGGAGACTGGTTAGTTCGCGACCCAAATCGGCGGAGCAGAAAAAAGTCTTTTTCTCTGCTTTTTTTTTTCATGCTGTGACGACGCAAAAGTGCTGGCGGGTGTTTCTCTTTCTTTTTTTGACTTGTATGCATAGCTGGTTGATTCAGTCTACTCTACACCTCCGACTGAACATTAACTCGCAATAACATAAGTCTGCTGCATTTCTTGTTGAATGGCTGTTGGTGTGCTCTTTCTAAAAGTGGCGTGAATCATTCCAGATGCGGCTGATCCCACTAACGGCGTGTAACCACCCCATCGCAGGCTGGGCTGAGCGAAGCGAAACCGTGTTTTCTCTCTCAGTTTCACTTTTTTATTTCGTCCCTCCTCACTTGTAATACGCGATTTCATTCTTTCTTCCCCAACTCTTTTTTTCCTCTCCCCACTCTAGTAATCTTTCTTCAATACTATGGCGGACGCTGCACAGAGAAGGCCACATCCAACTACACCGACCATCAATACTGGTCGTATGATGATGACTCGCTTTCTCATCATGGGAGTTGTTTTCCTGGCTATGAACGTCTCCAAAATGTTCAAGACTGACAAGGATGTTGTTCCTTTGACTGCCGAGACATGGCCTCAATATATCGCTGAACATCCTTACCAAGGAAAAGGTCCCGTTACTAACCGTTCTCCCTGTCCCATGCTTAATACTCTTGCCAATCACGGTATTCTCAACAACTCGGGTAAAGACATCACCAAAAAGCAGTTAATCGACGCGCTCACTCGCTTGAACCTTGGACCTCAATTTGGTGTGTTGTTCACCGAAGGCGTGTTTTGGATGTATCATGATAAGAAGGCTCTTCCTGATTGGATCAGTCAGTTGAGCACCCTGGATTTAGCTCAGCTCCAAAAGCATAACGCCATTGAACATGATGTGTCCTACACCCGACAAGACTTTGATGTCGCTGGTGACGATGCTTCAGCAGATCCCAACCTTATCTTCCAATTCACTCAGTTTGCTAACGAAACCGGTTACATCGACCTTGCCCAGGCTGGTAACGCCCGCCGTCTACGTGAGCTTCAATCCAAGAGAGATAATCCCGATCTCGTCTATAACCTCTTCTATAAATTTTTCGGCTCCGGTAGTGAATGTGCCTTGTTGCTTAATGTTATTGGCAGAAACATGGCCGTTTCTGTAGATCACTTCAACAAGTTTTTCAAGGAAGAGCGCTTTCCCGATGACTGGACTCCACCGGAAGAAAACTTCTCTTTCGTTCGTTTGACTAAGGCTACATACCAATGCTATCAGTCATGGAGCAACAGCAAGGAGACCCTTGCCAAGGAAAAGCAAATTGAAGCTTCGCAAGAGAAGGTCCGTTTGGTTCAACAGCAATAAGTTCTATATCTCATGTATGTATGGCACAACAAATAGCATTGCCTATATGATGGGTCGTGGTTCTTTCTAACTTATGACAGCACCTGTAGATACACGATCGAAATTAACGATTGAAAAGAAAAAAACATTGATTAAAGAGACTGTATGTTTCAAGAAAATGCGAGTGTTGACAAAAAGGAAAACGTGGTGTTGTGGGATTTCGTCAGGCGATAACAAAGTTATTGTATTAAGGAATGGATATGTAGGAACTAGGTACATGCATGGGAGCAGGAGGGTATCTAAAAAATTGAATATGCAAAGAGAGGCGAATGAAGTCTATGATATACTACAGATGCTGGCAGAGTTTCGGTTAACAGCTTATAAGGGCATAGGTCGTGAGCATTACCGCGACTATTGCTGCTATGCGCTTGTATGCGCCGAGCAACGAGGAGTTGGCAGAAGAAGCGATTTCGAATACTTTCTGTATTCCATCGTTACTCCAATTGCCACTATACAACAAATGAAAGTTGGAAGATGTATCGAGATTATCGAATTGCTGGATGGTCACTGATTCTTCTTCAGCTATTGGAGTACTGGAATTCAAAAGTATATTTCGCAGCTCCGCGGGAGTGTAATTTTTTTCGCCCAAGTACAACGCCATTACCCCTGCCACGACTACTCCCAAAATAAATCATTAGGTGTCAGTAGTTCTTCAGGCCAGCCAAACCGTTTTTGTGAGTCACTTACATGGAGATGCTACCGAGGTACCACTAAGGTTGTTGGTGTCAGTTGCACTATTCTTCCCGGCCGACATGATATGAGTGCCTGGTGCATAGAGATCAACGCACGCGCCATAATTTGAATAAGATGCTACAGTGTCGTTTTTATTGGAGGCACCGACTGTCATGGCATTGGGGGACGATGCTGGTGAGAATGAACAAGCGTTGACGCCGTCATTACCAGCTAATAGGTGCAATTATGGAAGGAAGAGAACTAGGTTAGTGTATGTTGTACAGGACAGCATATTACCTCGTAGTAAACTGTCTTACCGGCTATAGAGAAATGAATCCCAGCATCGATGGCTTCTTGAATGGCGTCATTGGCCGTTTTGCTGTAATTTCCACTCAAAGATAAACTGAAGCAAGTGATATGCCCACCCCGAACGTTAGATTTCTCGGGAAAATTTCGCATATATGCAGCCTCACTGAACTTACTTGACGATACTCCTTGCATTTGCCTTTGATTGATGCCGTTGAACTACCCATTCTAGGGCAAGCAGCACGTTGGCAAGAGTCCCCTCCCCATCGCTAGTGAGAGCCTTTACCGAAATAATATTGGACTTCTTGGCAACCCCATACGTAAGACCTATTGAATAAAAAGCACGTTTTAGAAGCACGAAATGAATTGAACTCAAATCTCGTTACATTTGCTCTTTTATGGGAGGCTTACCACAACATACGCCAGCCACAAAAGTGCCATGTCCGTTGGAATCGGTTGTGTCAGTGGCTTCTCCGATGAACGATGGTGCACTTGTTACTCGACTGACAAGGTCACTGTGATGAGCATATACACCGGTGTCGAGTACATAGACATCGACACCACTTCCAGCTGATGTTGGAAAGCTGAAGAAAGAGTTTTCATCGGTGTGTGTGTCGATTCTAGGAAGCCCCCAGTTCGGTGGATTCGGCTGGATTAACTCCTGGGCTCGAAAAGTTTGGTCTTTGATCAAGTAGTCGACTACATGAGACTGATTCTTTTCTATTTCCTGAACGCCTGTTCCAGACAAATTTGCTGAATAGAAATGCAAATTTCCAATGCGAGAGGTGCGGTTGTTCGGAATAACTGAATGCATTCGAACATCAGATAAGTGTGCTTCGGCCATTTTCGATGTTATGTTCGGTTTGAGTATTACAATATATTTCTCGGATGCAGCGACCAGAAAACATCCAAAGGCCAAGTATAATAGCATAGTGACCAGTGACTTCATTCTGATATCGTATGAAGCTGTATATTTATGACAATGTTGAAAGAAAGAAGTAAAAAAACAGAAAGAGGGACGAAGAAAAAAAAAGAGGGGCTGGGTCGGTCTTCGCGTTCCCTCTTTCAACTACATTCATATCCGAAAAGACTGAGTTTCGATTGACAAGTGAAGGCAAGGTGCCGTTACACAAATCGGCGATATAGTCATTGTTTCAATAGAACGAAATCCATTAATTCGACAGCAATAGTATTAGACACTAACAGAGAGTTTACAAGACTATTCATAACAAAAGTCTAAAAGACTTATTGAGAGATGATGATTATAATACAAAGATGATGAAAGGTGCTGTCAGTTGTGCAACCAAAATGCTGTGGTATGGTAGATCCCAATTCGTTCTGACCAAAAAAAAAAATAGTGACATTACCCGAGGTTGAAATCACGATATTTCTTATAGAGACGGAGTCAAAGTTTGTTGTATGAAAGGAGCTAGATATTTTTGGTGAAACTGCAGAGGACAATGGAGTCGCAAGAGAAATGACTGTCATAGACCGTGATATATACGCTTTGCGTTGTTATCTATTAGCTGTATTGATGCATCCTCGTTTCCTAACATAATTTCAGTAGCATTGACATTTTTAAACATATTACTATAAAGCGGACGATAAATTGTCGGTCTGACGTAGAGGCAGACCAGGTCATGAAAGGAAATGCGTTTTAAGAAACTCAAGTCGGCGAACAAATAACATGCCATTCGCTGTCTCAGACCAATTTTTATGGCGGGAGACAGATTCCTTGCGAAAGACTAAAGCGATTAGATAACTATTGTAAGTGTTTTGTATATACTATACGCTGTTTGAGAGAAATGAATATTTGAACCAACTTCACCGTGATTGCTATTGCGCCGTTTATGAGCTTTGCGTAGAATGCACTACAACTAGTCTCCTCAGTCACCGTTGTGTCAACTTGGTTTTCCTTTATCCATTTCCCATTTTTGCAGATACAACATATCCACATTTGCAAATGCAGTAGATTTGTTGACAAGACCGAAGGCACGAGAATGCTGCCTATACTTAAGCTACGTGACCACTCGTGGTGTGCTTCAAGGCAAGTCACTCGCAAGAAGTATATTATTTTCATGGCTTATTTTCACTACTTATAGAGCCAGAATAATGCGGCGGATGACTGTTGTTTGTTCGTAAGGGGCAATGCTGGGAAAATTTTAAGCAGACAGGCACAAGTTAATTGTTAATGACCAAACGTGTACTCGTTGACGATAATCAATGATATTTATAGATTCTCATAGTTACACGTTACGAAGACTTAATGAGAACGCCAATAGCACACAGTGACTCATTGTAAATACTTCACGTTCTTCGATAACACGGTGGGGTTCGAGTTCCTACGGTTTTTCGACGAAGCGGTGTCAAACTCTTAGCCAACACCTGCAACATATTCATATACTTAATGTTAGGCAGCAAAGCTATGTGCGGATGTTTCCGTTCCTCTTGGTATCTTGCCTTCCTTCACCGTGTTGACCGACCCGATAGAGATGGGACACGTCAATAATAGCAACACTGAGATTCAAAGCTTCGGCCGGAAAAAACAGAAATGGGTATATTTGAACGTTTATGGCCAGGACAATTCTTGTAAGAGTTTCACCAAAGGTGCACATGGATCGGCCGCGAGAAAAAGAACCCAAATTTGAAATGATAAAAAGGGGGCGCATCCCATCATCTTGCTCATTCACATTCCCAATTCGAAATGAACAATTCCCCTGCTACTGAACAACATTACTCCAAGGCTGTTATTGAGGCTGGCTATGATGAAGTAGCGGACGCTTACCTCGCTTGGTCGGCACCTCGGCCAACCTTGACACGCGCAGGCTACGTTGGTAGGCTACTCGAACACCTTCCCAAGGGAGCCAAGGTTCTGGAACTAGGATGTGGAGCTGGCGTTCCTAGTACACAAAAGCTTATTTCCGGTGGTATGTCTGTCACTGGTGTTGATATCTCGGGAGCACAGATAGCACTTGCTCGTAAACATGTGCCCGAGGCTACTTTGATTCATTCTGATATGATGAAGCTTGAGTTCGAGCAGGCTACATTTGATGCCGTTGTTGGATTCTATTCTATTTTCCACTTGCCAAAGAATGAGCAAGGTTTAATGATTGAACGTGTGCAAATGTGGCTTAAAAAGGGTGGCTGGTTTCTCTGCAATTTCAACTCGGAAGAAGGTGAATTTGTGAGGGAAAACTGGTTAGCGCCTGAAGTGACTATGATATCTGCTGGTCTCGGCGTAGAAGGCACGAGAGAAATGTTTCAAAAGCATGGCCAGCTATTGACCATGGTGGAAGATGAAGTGGCTGTCGAAAAGGTCGGCAGTATGGAAGAACATTTCCATTGGATTTTCGCTCAAAAGAGGAGCCACCACCAATAGGCTGATAACAGTTGCATAAAAGCTAAAAAAGAAAGACACCAAAAAAAGGCCTGAGCGCCAAGTCAATGGCTGGGTGGCATAGCAACCTAATATTTGTAATATTTTGTTTCTTTACCATGATTTTTAATGTGGATGGTTGTTTATCCTTCATCTGATTATTGTACTTCGCTTTCATTAGCCGAAGGAAAATTCTCCACACTCTTTGATATAATATATTTTTGGCTCATTGCAGTAAAAAGCACTTCATGGTGTATTCGTTGATGGGAAAAAAAACATAGCCCCTTAGTGTGCACATGGGATGCTTATGTTTGGGGTTGCATGATGATGAATAACATAGCATAATCATGAGTAAAGATTTCATGGTAGAAAGATTTTGTCATTTGTACAGCTGACGAATCCATACGATTTGTCACGCATAGCAACGCAAGTCTACGGAAAAGCGAATAAGGCAACTGCGGAACCAGGTTAGCCAAGACAGTGCTTGGCCCGTCCGTCAAGTGCTTGTGGCGGTGACATCAGCCTGGTCAAAAATAATCGTGAGGGTGAATTGCCGGTCCATGTGGTTTCCGGGATGCCAGACAATTTTTCCGGTCGAGGTTCAGATATAAAAATTATAGCTTTTTTTTGGATTTCTCTCTCCTCATCACTTGTTGATTGAACAAATTTTTTTCTCTGTCCAACCATGCAGACTCTAATGACTGAACCCCTTCACTGCTTCATTACGGAGCTGTATCCTGCCTCCGACAAATCCCCACAGACTGCCATTTGGCACCCCGTCCTTGACCGCCATGGTCAGATTAGCTTTGACCTAACAGAGCCTTCAAAGACAACATCATCCGTGCAGTTCCTGCAACTTACGAGGAACCCTATGCCAAGATCACGGCAGTCCTTCGACTCCAGCATGGCACCAATTCAAGAATCTGATGAAGAGTAGACGGCGACGCAACTGTATCGTAATTCAAAGCGTTTCATCGTGGGATATCCCTCTATATACATTCCCTTTGCATTTTGCACCAACCCATCCCCATCCTTGTAAATATCTGATATCCCATAGGCCCCGCATGAGTGGCCAACTCTGTATACACTTGACTTGCTATTATTCTTGTAATTGAATTCTTTTTGACACATGCTGATGTAAAAATTATCGAAAATACATATTCGCCTTTTTTTTTGGATGATGACACATCGAAATGTAATGACTTTTAGTTGGGTTTTGGCCCTTTTGGTGATTCGGAACAAGCGTCCAAAATTGGACAGTAAGGGTTCTGCTTTCGGGGGGTATCTTGGCTGTCCATATTTGTCACTGATCTCACTGATACCGAAGCTTGGCGATTTCGGCCAATCGCACCGGAGTCATCAAGCAGCATGTTTTCCCCCCAAGGTCAGCTGCTGTGCGTTGACATTCTCTTACTGCGGACTCTCAAATTATTCAGCAGTAAATTCCCATTCATGCATTCAACCTATCGGTCGGAAAGTAGGAAACATACAATGTTCAATTTATGTACTTTTTTGTCTTCACCCGTGTTTCATTCTTCTCCACAACTTCTATCTAAGATTATCTATCAATGATTACAGTTCTTGCTCACGGAAGGTTTCGACCATCGTCATCGTCTTGGAGGACATGTCATTATTGAGAGAATCATCCTCTTCAATCCAAATAGCCAGTAATCGAACGCTGGCAAGGACGACTATGTCATCAAAAATGTCCTGTTGATCCGTTCGTGAGAAAGTGTCATTCAAAAAATCTATTATCGCTTTGAATAGTTCGGTGAGAATCTGCCGTATCTTAAAGATAAGGTCAATGTCCGTGCCCTCTAAAGCAAGGTCATCACTGGTGAGATACAGGATAGCCGATTCGATCATCTGGTAAAACATGGGTAACATCGCCACTGATCGATCCGATGATGGATCTGCCTCTATGGCCTTTACATCTTTTTCGCCACCGAGATCATCTAGAATGAGTCGAATTTCCAAACTTGCTAACTGAATCAATAAGGCTGGAAAACGTGCATCAATACTGGCCTCATCAGAAGCCATTGGTTTCTCCACCGAGGTGGTAGCTGGTCTCTTTTCCGCTTGTCTTGGGGTCGTGGGAGATGGAGATATCGAAGCGCTTTTCTCAAGAGTTGAGAAAAGCCACCGTGGCCCAATATGCCGAAGTAATACTGCAATCAGTGAGAATGCGTGATCCCTTCGATCGGAAACTACTCCCACCGGAAACAAAGACAAACATTAGTCTGTATGCCCATCCCTTCCGTGTCCATAATCGAGGCACTTACCGGTTTTGCTAGTCAAGACCTGGCGTACACCTGATCGGATACTCTCAATCCATATGTCAAACCGCTGTTTCTCTTCTTTTTCCAACTCTTTCACTATATTGGTTGGGCACTCGTTGAAAACACGGTGCAATATATCCACCGCGATGAACTTGCTTGTGTCCTGCCTTACACGTAATGTACTAGATAAGGTGGGTATCAGGCTGTATTTGAGCGACTCTATTAAGCTAGTCTTCAGATCCGTTGAATTTGACTGTTCCAATCTGTTGAATGCTGATCCGTAGACAAGAATAATGATGTGCTTGGCGAGATCCTGTTCCTCCCCTGGACACAATTGAAAGTCAATATTACCATAATTGTCAGAATGAAAAACACTTGGAATGGCAGTAATGCTTACGAGAGGCATCATCTCCTAATAGTATAAGTATCCTAGACAACACTTGCTTATCAAGTATGGCTTGCAGAGCAGAATCTGACTTGGCAAGTCGCATCAGAGTCATGAGTACATCTTTGGTAATATCGGTTGCGTCTCTACAATATATGTGTTCAGTAAGATGAATAAACAAGCGATATGAAAGAAATGAAACATGTCTATGGACCTTGGTTTGATGCATAATGAAAGCGTTGGTATGCGTGCGATTAGTTGTTCAGAAGAGGTCAAAGATTCTACTGTGCTAAAGTATGACAAGATGTTGACCGCAATTTCTTGCATAACTGTCTCAGGCACTTCGGCTGTCTTCTCTAAGATAACAACCCATAAATCAGTACACATCAATTGAATTCAAAAAAGATATCAAATTTCAGAACATACTGGACTTCATGAGACGCTCAATAAATTTAAAGTTCATTTTGTCAAATACTCGTTGAATGGTGGCATGGTCGTTGGAATCCAACAGTCGTGGTAGGATAAGTAAGGCTGTGAACTTGGATTCATCCGAGGAGGAAGGTGATAGAAGATTCAAGCACTGATCTATTTCGGCAGCGCGATTTTCTTTTGACGATGAGACTTGCATGTCGTGAAAGATTTCTGGCTATCAATAAAGCTTTCTTGCCCCGTCATCTGCAATTAACGAGGTCAATGCTCTCGAAAATTTTTGTCAGTCACAATCGCTGGCAAATTGCACACTTGATGGTTTAAAAATCCCATTTTACTTGGCTGTTTGTTGGCGCCTTCCATTATGCAAATGTATCGTTCACTTGCTAGTGCTCGCAATCTCGTAGTAAAATCACCTATTCCATCCAGAACCCCATCTCCCTCTGCGCACTCTGTTATTGATCCATCGCGCTCTCTACACTCTGCGAACTTAACTCATCACTCAGGAGCTCAGCTAAACCAGCCGTTCGGATCGGAAGGCTTTGTCAACGGCTTTGATATTTCGTCTGACATTGTAACAGATGCCGCTGACAAAGTTAACAAATCAGTCGAGCATGCGGAGAAAGCTCATTGTACCTATCCTAAAGACGACGGAACAACTCGGCAAGATATGCATCATCCCTGGCAATATGGACAGATTGAACCATTAACAAAAGAATATGAGGAGAGGACTTTCAAGTTGAAGAAAGACTAACATTATAGTTTCCCCCCTCATGTAGTAACCGTCGTCAACTTGTATATCAAACATTAAACAACGATTTGTGTAGCTGGACGCTTTTTGAGTCAGTTTACTCCAGCGTCAATTCAGTGACGGTGTTTTTTGCTCCGAAATTTGAATTTTTCAATTGATCCTGAAACGTGCTCTATCCATACCCTTTTTAAGTGCAGAATGCTTTCTCGTGCTGCATGCAGACTACGAACTGGAGTCGCGCATCTCCAAAAGCCATCCAGCCTGCAGTACCATGTCAAAGTTCCAACCATTGCTCTAGAATGCAGACCGGTCCGGATAAATACGTTACCGGACCGACTTTTTGTGCGTGGCCTTACAACTCAAGGAGGAGATACCAACACGTCTAAAGATAAAGAAGCCAAGCAAAACACCATATTAACGGAATATGTATCTGGAAGAACTCGTATTTTTACATCAATGCCTACCGGACTTGGCTCTGGAAGAGGCTCTAAGCAATGCATATCCACTCCACTCACGTCACCTTTATCATGGCAATGGCTACAACCTCAGTCAAGCCAAATGGGTCCAAATCACAGCAAGTGGAGCCGCCGACGTCAAAGAATTTTAAGTCTCGGTGCCCTTAGCAGTTTACAACAGAGCATGCGGGAAATGTTTCTGCCCGTTGGGTAAGTTGGCCCCATTTTAGCGTTGACCAGTTACATCCACATAGGATATTGATCACTTGGTCACAGATACCCCGAATCAGTGCACGAATGTTACGCCAAATTTCATGCTTGGCTTTTCTTGGAGACATATGTTGGATCAGCGGTAGGTTTCTTACACATCCCGACAAAGCGTGTCACGTTTTTTCTAACGTTGTATGTAACGCCATTTTATTGATTTAGATTGGTGTTTTGTGCTCACAAGCAATGCTTGCGTCACTCGGACTAGGAGAAGCAGAGGCTGCTGGAGGTGCGGTTGCTATTCAATGGGTATTGAAAGATGGTATCGGAGAGGTTGGCAAATTGTTTTTCATTAAACGATTTGCTAGCTCATTCGACTCGCATCCAAAAACATGGAAAATGGTGAGTTTCTACGAATATAGTACTGGAAAATATACACAATGATTTAAATGCCTTCATCCAGGTCTGCGAATGGCTTTCATCTGTTGGCTCAGCCCTTCAACTATGTACTTCCATTGCATCTCCCAAGCTGTTTTTACCACTTGCTGCCAGTAAGCGTACAACCAAATGGACGGTTTATGGAGGATTCCATAATAATCTTTCTCTTATGTTTAGTGGGAAATATGTTCGAGTTGATTCATTACAGCATTTGGGCGGCTAGCCATATGACATTCACTCGAAACTTTGCTGTAAGTGAACGCGTTTGTACCCACACGCTATCTTATGATTGAACCGCCGCTGACATCTTTTTACAGCTCAGTGGTAATGTCGGAGACATCGTCGCCAAAGATGACTCTCAAATGTCGACTGCTCACTTGCTGGGTATGCTTTCTGGTGTTGGGCTGATTTCCATATCGCACGACCCAGCATTTTTGTTCACTGTATTCGGAATCCTGTCACCGCTCAATATCTATTTCACATACAAGCTCTTAAACACTGCGCAATTCGAAATTCTCAATCAAGCAAAGCTGACACTGCTCAGTCGCTCGTATATTGATACTGAAAAGGTTGTTGACGTTGATGACCTGAAGGATAGAGAATTTCTCTTTGGAGAGTGGATCAAATGGAACAAACCCGGCGGTCCAGTTAGAGTCAATATCAAACTAGGAGCTGGAGCTGACAAAGCTTTTGCAGGCGCCGGTGAAGTGGAAAGAGTGGTCGATACCATGCGCGTAAGTCGAATTAGTACATCAGAAGGTATCATATGTCTTATTCTTACTAACTCATTTACGTATTTTGCTCAGAATGAGAATTACCTACTTAACTATCACAATAACTGCATGTGGGTCATGTTCCATGACGATGCAGAGTCCAACGACGTCATTAAATCCGTTTTACACTCTCTTCGATTTCACGACATTCTCAAACAGCAAGGCATAAAGAAGGAGACGGATTGGGAGCAGTACGATAAAGCGATGCGTGATAGCTTGGAGTTCACGCGAGAAAAGTTCCCAGGATTTGTTGCCAGCCTAGATAGCAAAGACTGGCAATCTGACAGTGTATACTGGAATGATAGGTAAAGTTGTTTTCTTACTTATAGGCAGTCGTAAACTTGAAATGGTATAACTGATGTTATTATGTTAGTGGCGTGCGAGTAAGCTGGGACAGACCAGAGAAAACCGAAACCTTTTGATGCCTCATCGCCAGATAAATGTGTAATTTAGAATCACCTATCCCAAACCCCCGAGTACAATACATAAAGGTGAAGAAATATTGCTAGTACAGTATTAAAACTTTATTTCAACAGTTAATTCCTTTTTGCTTGATATAACCGGGGTATTTGGCTTGAATGGATTCGATAATGTCTTCAACTTGGTGACAAATGCTTTGAATGGCATCGTCCCATTTGACCGCCTCAATCATGGATTGACCTATTCTTTTGGTAGTTATGGCACTCGCACTGACGTTTGACACATTCGATTCAACTTTTTCATCCACTGCTGCACCACCGGATTCGAAAAAAATTAATTGTTCAATCTGATCGATACTTCCGACCATTCTTCCTTCTGCAATCATGCGGCTGGCAACTTGTTCTGCCTGTTCTGGTGATGTATTTAATAGTGCTGCCAATTGGTCGAATCTGATGTTGTTATAGATCTTGGAAGCTGAGAGTAGGTTATGCTCAATGACTGCACGATCTAGAACTGTCGTGTTGTCCGCAAGTTTGGCCAAATGATGTGGTTTAAGTGAGGAAGAGAAATCTGATACCTCAGAAAGTCGGAGAACTCTGTCCAGAAACATTTTCTCTAACACTGAGAACGATGGTAGTTGCTGCGTCCTCTCATCCTTGTAGAGCGTGGCCAAGGCTCGGGATCGTTGGGGTCCGGCACCTGCCAACACAGCACACTGCACTGCGGCTCCTCTGTGAAGACCCCCAAGTTGATGTTAGAAAAGCTGAAGCACATGACCACTACCTGCTCGAATCACTTACAAGCATTGCATTTTTTCTTCATCATCAAGTTCACTAACATAGCTCAATTCATGGTACTTGGAGCAAGCTTCCAAAAACTTTCGCTTTGAATCTAATATCCTCGCCTGTGAAAGCTTGTATGTAAGGTTGGTGACCAAATCTTGACTATTTGGAATGAGGAGAGCCGCTCGATTAAGATAGGTTTCAGCAGCTACAGCTTCGTCTTCTTCGAGCAGTAATCGAACAATTTTGATATATATGTTCAGTTTATAATCATCGGATACGACTCTGAAATGAATGGACATTTAGTGCATTAGACCTAGGCGGGCTGCTTGGTCGTGCATAAACAACTTACCGATGTCCAGAATCCAACGGTATTCCCTGCAGGATTTTGGCCGCCTCCAGATACTCTTCTTCTTGTTCGTACGTAGAAGCAAGTTTCTCTCTCAACGACGACATCTTTTTGCCGAGAACGGAATACCACCATCAGAAAATATAACAGGGTCTCTATCATGATAGAATATCACTGTACCTGCTCTTCGAAAGAGACAACACGAGACTGGATTCTGTTGATCGCAAATTGGAATGCTTCCTTTTTGGTATGAGCATCTTGAACGCGCTCGTCCACAGCCGTTATAAAGTCTGTCAACGCTTGTCGAGACACAACGAGACCAATGTGCTCTTGCAGAATGGCGTCCACGTAAATGTTTAACTTTTGTTCTAATTCATCGATATTGCTCGAAGCAAAAAGTATAGTGTCTAGAATTGACTTGTAAGAGGAGAGTTTGTCTTTTTGCATTGACACATGCTCAACGTCTAATAGCTGAGCATGTAAATCCATGTCGCGAATTGTGGTGTGCAAGACTGAGCTGCAAGTTTCCACTGAAGTTGGTGGTCTGAACCAGAATTTATCAAGTCACACACCGAAAGACAAATCTCATTAAAGCCGCCAGCATTTTCATTTCAATCACTACTCCTGCAAATTCGGATATTTGAGAGAATATCCCTTCACTTCATTATCTATATACCATGAAATTAGTTGGTCGAAATCAATGGCGCAGCTATTGAAATTTCAATAATCAAAGGTGTTGAGCTCGCTTGAACATATGGGGTATAAATACCTTTGGACCTCTACCTCCAATGACCGTTCATGAAATATATTTAGACATATCGCTAATGAAAGCCTTTCAATTCAAGTGTTACAGTCACCATCTTTGATTTACTAAATGTAATTAGATATGCCGTATATATATCTGCAACACTATCACATAGATCTGTAAACGTTTAGTGTTCTTGGCATAGCAACATGAAATGATGAAGTATCAAGACAGGGTATTTAGTCATTTCGAAGTATGAGAGTCGATCTTCATCTTGCATGACGCTATGCCGTTAATCAACACAATATTCGATAGAAGCTAAGTATCGGTAATATCAAACACTCAAAAGATTGAAGTAAGTTGCCCATCGAACAATTTCGTTATACTCGTCATGTCTCTGTCTTTTTCATATCATAACATAATATAGTCTTGGGTATGACAGACGCATTCGCAACTCCACATCTTTGGCATAGATATCTGACATACAGTTGCTAGACTTCACACACCGGTAAAGTTCTGAGCCTTCGATCCATATTCACAGGTACTGTAAAATACAGACACAAAAGATAACTCTGCATTCAAAGTGGTTTCCATTTTGTTTTTGAAAATTCCACCAGTAAGACCTTGCCAAAGTGATAAATATGAAATGGATTACATGTACGTAGCGTTGTACATATCATCGTAACATCCCACGTTGATACGAAATTGCTGTTGCTTGCTTACGGAAGCTAGCGCCACTTGTTTCAATAAAGGATACAGCCATGTGAACTTTTGAGCTGGTAGACCCTGAGTCTGTGAGATGTGGCACAAGAATCCGCCTTGTAAGAAAAACAGTAAATCTAAATCTTACTCTTACTACTACCTATTCATTTAAAGAGTATTGAAGCGAATTCTTAACATGAATTCTGGATCTTGAATAGTTCTAGTTGGAAGCATTGAGTATATGTGCGATATGTTATTTCAAAAAGCTTTTCATCGCATACAATTACCTCTTCCATGTCGTGGGAGTGGTAACATAAGAATCCAAATACCTCTTTGCGGTTCCTGGATAGGAACTTGATAATCGAATGGGATCGCTTTGTTTACGCTGCGTGCTCAACCTTAATGAGAAAATATGGGTAAGTGTCGCTTTCTTCTCCTCCCTTTAGACGCGAACTGGACCCTGAATTCATGCAACTGGTGTCACCTCCTCATAACGATTGTAATTCCGTACTCTTATTAAGGCTATCCCAACTGCGAAAGATTTTCTGAACGCACAAAGTGGATAGTGTGAAACCTCTTGTACACTGCAACACAATCGCCCACCTTGCATGACATAAATACCCATTAATTACAGGAAAAGCCCACCTCAATTCATCTCAAGGGTCCTACTCGTTTCTTTCTCTGCCGACCCCGCTGCCAGAGGTTTTACTTTCCCTTCCTTTTTCAAAGTCTACATCTATCGCTCTTCTCAATGTCCGCAACCGAGGGCAAGGTCGTCAAGGTCGTCAATGCAAGGTTGCTGCTCAACCATGAAATCGTCGAAAACACATATTTATGGTTTAGAGATGGTAAAATTGTGGACCCCCAGGCACTATTTTTCAATGACCATAGAGAACCCGACGAAATCATTGATGCCCACAATGCCATTGTCGTTCCTGGTTATCTTGATGTTCAAATCAATGGTGCATTTGGAATAGATTTTGCTGACGAAAGTTTATCGACGGAAGAAATCGAGAAAAACAGAGATACCGTTGCCCTTGGACTTCTCAAGTATGGATGCACAAGTTTTTGTCCGACTTTAGTGAGCTCTGCCCCTCCGGTATATCACAAGGTAAGATTTTATCAATACTGGGCGTACTCACATGGCTAGGGCCCACAGAAAGTAAGATCTTATTCATTAAGTACTTTTATTCAAGGTATTACCATTGCTTCGTAAGCGTCCTGGTTCAGTGACAAACGGTGCAGGAATCCTAGGTGTTCATATTGAGGGGCCATTTCTGAACCCAGAAAAAAAAGGCGCTCACAAAGAAGAGGTGCTCCGAACGGCCGAACACGGCATTGAGACTTTCGACGAAACCTATGGTCCAGCTCTTGAGCGAGGCGATTCCATCGCTATTCTCACCGTAGCTCCGGAGGTTGACGGTGTTTTGGCTTGTATCCCCAGTTTAGTCACGAGAGGTATTTGCATTAGTATTGGTCATTCCACTGCTACTGTGACCGAAGCAGAACTCGGTGTCAGGGCTGGCGCCACTTGTATTACTCACCTCTTTAATGCCATGCACGCCGTAAGTTTGAACCCTTGAGTTTAGTCACAATCCTCATTGAAGTATATACTAATATTTGTATTTACCAGTTCCATCACCGGTAAGTCGTTGGATACATTTTTGAAAAAAAAAAAAAAAAATTGTGATAAGCGTACGAACATACATACTCACTTTCGTATCAAGTGATGCCGGAATCTGTGGCCTACTTGGTTCTACTACCCTACCAATCCCAAAGTCTCAGAAACAGCACCCAACTCCCTCTGCATCGTCTCCTTCTACTAGAAACCCAGATCCACGCCCATTCTATGGTTTAATTTGTGATGGTATTCATGTGCACCCTAATTCTGTGCGAATAGCTTATCACAGTCACCCGAAAGGTAAATCATAGAACTAAGTGGTACCTGCAGCAATGGAAACATATTTAAATGGTTTGTTTGAATTTTTTTAGGTGTAGTCTTAGTGACAGGTACGTTTTCTTTCCGGTCTCTCTAAAGACGTCCACACTATCACCACTTCACTCACGTCAATGAACTTTAACTCTCGTACAGACGCGCTTAGTTCTATGGGCTTGCCTCCCGGTTGTTACCATCTTGGTGAATATGAAATTGAGGTTAACGGTGATAATGTAGCCTATGTGAAGGGAACTACAACGTTGGCTGGAAGGTAAGAATGACGGCGACACCTCGATACTTCGTGATCCATACTTGACCAATCACTATCTACCCAGCAATATCACAATTGATCGGTGCGTAAAGAACTTCCGTAAATTCACAAAATGCTCCATAGTGGAAGCTGTTGAAGCAGCAACACTTCATCCAGCTCAGTTACTTGGCATTGAAAAGGTTAAAGGCACCCTCTCCCCCGGAGCCGATGCTGATATTCTGTTTTTGAATGACGAACTGGACATTCTACGCGTATTTGTAGCAGGCGAAGAAGTTGAACTAGGCAAATAGCCAGATAATTTTGTAGAATGGTTTTTTATCATTAAGCTAGCAGAAAAATACCCACCATCCCTAATAGCAGAATATACAAAGAGGGTCAAAGTGAATTCATCGTATCGTGAAACGTTTTACTTGCTTAGCTGCTGAAAGTGAGCCCCAGCCAGATTGTAACATAAACTCCGCAGGACGCGAGGAACGGAGCACGCTGGTTGTTTTCCCTATCCCTCATAATGCCAATAGATGACAGGATATATAGAAGGAACTCACGATCGACACAAACAGAACATACAAGTAGTGCAAGAAGCGACTCTACTCAACCAAAACGATCAACATTATTTTCTTCGGTAATCAACTTTGTTACCACTGCCACTGCAACAGCATCGTTAGAATTTGATCGTTTATGCGAATCCATCGGACTGGCAAATAAAGGAGACGAAAGCGAGTACGAGTACGTTACAGAAGAAAGTGAAGAGGAGATAGAAGAGGATGATGAAGAAATAAAGGAAGACACGCGACGGTACGCATATGTCGGCAGTACCTATAACATTTACCAAGATTCAGATGTTGACCAGCTGGAAATCACTACTCCTTCCGCCGTAGGTGTATAATTAAGTTGACAATGATCAATTTGGATAATATGCTTAACTGTTGGGTATTTTCATATCAAAAGTCGAAGATTTTGCATCAACCGAAGTTACCACCAGTAGCGAAGACAACACAGACATCAATACATACTCCAGGGCCGCGACGCTGGACACCCCCTCGAACGGCGCCGTTCACTAAGACAGAAGAATCAAGTTCTGAAGAGGAGCAATGGAAACCACCAGGTATGTGCATAACATGCCGTGCATGTGGAATTATATTAGTAGGTAGTCATACTCAAATTGTTCATGTGAATAGATGTAATGGCTCAAGTCAGGCGGATCAACGAGAAACTAAAACTCAATGGAGTATACGAATTCAAATCACCACTCTCAGCACCTCATTCTCCTTCACCAATATCCCCCTTCCACCGCAAACTACACTTCAACGCTCCCGAACATGAATCAGCAATCACAGCTGATCCAAAAACTTTCCCACAAGCTTCTCCTGAGCGATCACCCAAAGATGCAGTCAGTACCATTAAATCTGAACCAATAGAACCCACACTCGCTAGGGATGATCATGCGTCACAAACAAAAGAGGCACCTGGACAATCATCGCGCAGAGTAACCTTTGCAAGCCCAGATCGGTCTGAAACAGATGAAACTTCGGACACTCCAAGCAGCCAATTGCACCATTATAATTTGCAGTTAGAGAGGGAACGGGTAGAGCGTCTTGAGATGGAATTAGCCTCTGTCAAGGCAAAGGTAATACAGCTATTTATATGTTTTATCCTGGGAGTCCCTGAAAACAGATATCATGCACATATATGGGACACAACACAATAGCAATGCTGGATCAATTTAAACTCAATTTTTCATTCACACTATTTACTAGGTTGAGTCACTAACATCCATAACAACCAAAGCTGATAAGAAGGAAAGCACATTGACGCATGATTCTCATGATAAGCCACCTGAAGACGCACTACCGTCACCTTCTACTTCACCAAGTCGACACCATACCAAGGATAACCAGAATAAGCGATATTCGCCTATTTTAGGACGACCGACGCCTCTTATCCATGTCCCCGCCAAAACCAATGTTCTTGAGCACGTTAACCTTAAATCAATTAATATACAAGACAATGTAAGACTTAGACCAACATGCGCACTGCATTGATGTTCAATTTAACTTACGATCTGTCGACCATTAGAGCCTCCATGATATAGCAATCCCGCCGCCTAATCCAGAGATGCGAAAAGTCCTATCACAAATTCCGCAAGTCAAACTGCGGCAGGCAAATCTGATAAAGTGAGTAACGGTCATATCTGCATTTGTCATCGTGATATGGCTTGACGAAAATTTCTTACGCTATGTAACAGACAAGCTGATGGAACGTACATTGTCAACAAGTTTTGGAATGAAATATACAACAGTGAAGTCGCGCAGTTAAACGAGCATGCTCAGGCCACTCCAGGTACGGCTCAATTAGTCTCCGCGTCAAATTACAAATTGTGATTTGTTACGTTCAAACGAGCTCTAACTTAATATCTCGATTCCACCACCTTAACAGAACCCCTGGTCACCCTTGCTAAACCAAGTAAATGTAACAATACTGCGCAACATATTGAATCGTCTCCGCAGTCCAATCCTCTGAAGCGCAAGTCTTTTGAATACGATGAACATATCAATGGACATGAGGATAGCATTACCAAGGTTGCGAAGCTTTCGTAACTATAGAAAGATGGATAGGATTTATACTAAGGGTATTGGTTTTTGCTCCGAGAAGTCGGACTGGCCTTTCACGATTCCCAGCCTTATCCCAGCTGCCCACAGGTTTTTTTTTTTTTTTTTGTATTTTGAGCCTCCGGTAAAACGTAATTTATATCTCAATCTTATATAAAATCTACCTTTTTATACACCGTTGTTAGCTTCTTCTTTGACTTTACTCTTTCATTTCTCAATTTGACTGGAAATGCAGTGTCATATATTGGTAAGATATCGACCTTAAAATAACGAACGCTTAACAATCGAACTGACTTACCACCGTCAACCTCTTAGCCGATCCTGGCAGACAATGACCTCTCGCCATGCTTTCGTCAAATGTAGGTTCGATCTCTCACCTTTTAATAACCGAGCCTTTTCATCTTGACTGACATTCCTTACAGTGTGATTGATGCAGCAATTCCAGGTGCAGTTGCATTGGTTTCGGCCATTTTGTTATCTGTGACTGTGGTGAGGCACTATCGGAAGCACAATGCTGCTTACGAGCCATTGATAAAATCAGCCACAACTACGTCCTACGGCGCTATGGATTCGTCTAGTCAAACCAGCAACGACATTGATGAAGATGACGAAGACGGAGAATCTGAGGATACCTTGGTATCCAATCTGGAGAATCAGAAATCCTTTACTGTGTTCGATGCCGCTCGATTTTTGGCAATGTTTATGGCTGGTTTGAGCATATACAATTTGGTATTGGTGATCAATGGTCGTTATCAAGTGGATGAGCGTGTAGAGAGCGATAAATTGGCTCTCCTTGTGCAATACGGCGTATCTACTATGGTTTGGGTACGTATTTCCGACAGCTTATTGCTATACAAGGTTACGCCATCTGTGCTTACTTACCCTTTATGATTTCTGATAACAGACTTACTCCACCGTGTTGGCTATTGTGAATGTGGCTATCTCCCGCAAAAACGCAGTAACTGCCTATGGTCTTCGTACTCATCTTAATCTCATCTACTTTGTTACCATGTTGACCAGCGTGGTGGATATCCGGTCATTCTATGTTCTGCATTATACCGACATCCAAGGCCCTGGCTATTTTTATGCTCTTGACACTTTTTTTGTCACTTTTGCTTTAATTTTGGTCATTATTAATGAGCGGTTCGGTGCTCCCTCTGGCCCCATCGTCGCCAAATCGGTATGTTGATCGACATTTCGTAATCTTTATTCTCATTAGTTCCATACCAGTATTGACCACTATGTTATACAGGGAAGAGTTCTTTCAACCGAAACATGGGCATCTCTTTACAGTCAATTTATGTTTAGCTGGCTCAACCCAATGATGACAGAAGGATACAAGAAGACATTGAACGACTCAGATCTCTTGGAACTTCCTCCTCAAAACCGTACCAGTAATGTTTTACGTCATTACAGAAAGAACAAGAAGAAGCACATTGTACTCTCACTTCTTTATGCATTCCGATACGAGCTATCCATTCAGGCCCTCTATGTCCTTGGATGGTCCGTCATTATTTTCGGTCCTCCCTATTTTCTGAATCAAATTATCAAGTATATCGAAAATCCTGCCGCCGAAGGAACGAATGCGTCGTTGACCCCTTTCTTCTTTGTATTGGGTCTTTTCATCACGTCTGTTACACAGTCCTTATTGCTTCAACAAGCTCTGTATATCGGAAGAACATTGGGTATTCGCATTCAATCTATCGTCATTGGTGAAGTATATGCCAAGGCTTTGAAAAGACGTGATACATCTGGAGCATCTGAATCCAGCAGTGATGACGATAAGAAGGATGGCAAGGATGATGACAAGAAGGATGAAAACGATGGAAACAAACAAACCAACGTCAACAACCTTCTATCAGTTGATGCTCAAAAGGCTGCCGAACTTGCTGCATACGTCTTCTACTTGTACAGTCATCCCTTGCAGATCGTCATTTGCATGTGGGGTTTGTACAAACTTCTTGGTGTCTCTGCCTTCGTCGGTGTCATTGTTATGGTTGTCACCTTTCCTGCTCCTCATTATGTCACTAAGAAGTTCGAATCAAGCCACAAAAAGGTTATGGATGCTACCGATCGTCGTCTCAAAGTCATGAACGAATTGCTCGGTGCTATCCGTATCGTCAAGTTCTTTGCCTGGGAAACAGAGTTCAAGAAGAGAGTTGAGGACTCGAGAACCAACGAACTCAAGTTCATTAGAAAGCGTTTGCTCACTTACATGTGGAGCGGAAACGTTTGGTTCATCATCCCCGTCATCATTATGGTCAGCGTCTTCTATGCCTATACTCGCGATCATATCCTAACTGCTTCCACCGCCTTCACCACGGTTGCCCTTTTCCAAAATTTGCGTGGTGTACTCGATGAACTGCCATTTATTATCTCGTTTGCATTCCAAGCCAAGGTTTCTATGGAGAGAGTGGATAAGTTCTTGTCAGAGGACGAAGTCGAAGAAAACCACGTCATCCGTACCAAGGGACCTTTGTTCGTTGGATTCCGTGACGATGCTACTTTCCAATGGTACAACAAGCCTGCTTCTTCTTCGTCTGGTAGTGAAACCCCAGAACGCCAAACCAAATTCACACTCAAGAACTTGAACCTTTCGTTCCCAGCTAACAAGCTTTCTGTTGTCTGTGGCCCAACTGGATCTGGTAAAACAACTCTGCTTGCATCTTTGCTTGGCGAAACTGCTTGCATCCAGGGTGCTGCTGTTCTTCCTCGTAACAAGCGCAAACCTACCAGCCCACTTGGTGGAGCTGAATCTGGCATTGCTTATGTCGCTCAGACTGCATGGTTGCAAAACGCTAGTATCAAGGATAACATTCTTTTTGGACTGCCATTCGATCAAGACCGCTATGATCAGGTGCTGTACATGTGCGCTTTGACCAGAGATCTGGAAATTCTGGAACACGGTGATGCTACTGAAGTTGGTGAAAAGGGTATTACCCTCAGTGGAGGACAAAAGCAAAGGTATGTCACTGCTTCAAACAAAATTTTGATATTTTGATGAATAACTTTTCAGCGATACTCACCCTCTTTCTTTTTTACGTGGGACTACATTAGATTGGCAATTGCACGTGCAGTATATTCTCAAGCTGATATTATCATTTTGGATGATTGTTTGAGTGCCGTTGATGCCCATACCGCCAAGCATCTCTACGACAATTGTATTATGGGTGAATTTATGTCTACCCGTACTCGAATCCTGGTTACTCATCACGTTGGACTTTGCCTCAAAGGTGCCGACTATATCGTTGCTATGCGCAATGGTGAAGTTGCCGGCTCAGGTCATCCCACTGATGTTATCAAGACTGGTGTTTTAGGTGAAGAACTCTCCCAAATTCAAGAAGAACAGGCTGAAATTGCTGAAGGTACTGCCGTTGAAGGCAAGGTTCCTTTGCTTCCCAAGACAGTTACGAAAAAGGACCACAAGGCAGGCGATGGAAAACTCACTCAAGATGAAGTCCGCGCCGAAGGTGGTGTTTCTCTAAAGGTTTGGAAGACGTACTATGATGCTTCAGGAGGTCTTTTCTTCTGGCTCAGTGTTAGTTTTATGTTCTGTTTCTGCCAATTTTTGATTATCGGTCAAGATTACTGGATCAAGGTTTGGGCAAGTGCCTACGATCGAGTTGACAACGCCGTCACCGACTTTGCTTTCCTTACTACTGGAGGAGCTTACCGAGATTTCATCAGCATGGAAATGAATACTCCAGACTACTTTAACCAAATGGTTCAAAGTGTCAATAACTACACAATCAGCAACCCTTCCAAAGTTGATGTCAACTACTATCTTGGTGTCTATTTCTTGATTGGATTGGTCACCATGGTCTTTGCATCGTTGCGCTCCTACGTTCTCTACATGGGCTCACTCAAGGCATCCAAGCGGATTCATTCCCAATTGATCAATAGCATTTTGCGAGCCAAGGTTCGCTTCTTCGATGTTACTCCAATTGGTCGCATTATCAACCGATTCTCATCGGATATGGAAACCATTGATCAAAATGTCGCTCCTGCTGGTTCCTTCTTGCTTACATCCATTGTGGCTACCATGTTTATTGTCCTACTCATCTCGATCATCACTCCATTGTTCTTGATTCCTGGATGCGTCATCGCTGCTATCTTTTGGTTCGTCGGTACCTTCTATCTTGAGTCCTCTCGTGACATGAAGAGATTGAACTCTGTCTCAAGATCTCCCATCTACGTCCAATTCAGTGAAAGTGTCAATGGTGTCTCCACAATCCGTGCTTTCGGTGCACAGAACCGTTTCGTCAACGTCAACATGGAAAAGGTTGACGACAACAACCGACCTTTCCTTTGGATGTGGGCTACTAACCGCTGGTTGCATTGCCGTGTTGATCTTCTTGGCTCCTTTGTTGGATTCTGTACTGGTTTTGTCATCATTTTGGCTTCTTCGTGGATTGACCCCGGTATGGCTGGTCTTTCTCTCAGTTACGCTTTGACCTTCACCCACAATGTACTTTGGGTTGTTCGTATGTACGCTGTCAACGAGATGAACTTGAACGCCGTTGAACGTGTTCAGGAATATCTTGAGATTGATGAGGAACCTGCTGCTATCATTGAAGAACGACGCCCTCGTCCAACATGGCCCGAAACTGGTTCCATCGAAGTAGAAAATCTCGTTATGCAATATGCTCCTGAGAATCCTCCTGTTTTGCGCGACCTTTCCTTCCAAGTTAAGCCTCGTGAAAAAATTGGTATTGTTGGCAGGTAAGAAATCCCCTCTCTTAAACGACTATATACATTTTTCATATTTCAAACATGCTAACCTCGATTTCAATAGAACTGGCTCCGGTAAATCGACCTTTGCTCTGTCCCTGTTCCGATTTATGGAACCCACAAGTGGTTCTATCAAAATTGACGGTGTTGATATCTCTACCATTGGATTGCAAGATTTGAGATCGCGATTGACCATTATTCCTCAAGACCCAGTCTTGTTCACTGGTACCCTTCGAAGTAATCTCGATCCCTTTGGCACCTCTACGGATGAGGAGCTCTGGGCGGCCATCAAGCGCTCTCACTTGGTGGACGAAGGCGAGGAACAAAACGACACCATTAGCTTGGATTCCCCTGTTTCGGAAAATGGAAACAATTGGTCTCAGGGTCAAAGACAACTCATTGCGTTGGCCCGTGCCCTCGTTAAAAAGACGAGTTTGATTGTTCTCGATGAAGCCACCTCCTCTGTCGATTTCGACACTGATCACAAGATTCAGCAAACCATTCGCTCCGAATTTGAAGAAAGTGCATTGCTTTGCATTGCCCATCGTATCAGAACAGTCGCTGATTACGACCGTATTCTTGTTTTGGATCATGGGAAATTGCTAGAATTTGATCACCCATACACTCTTATGACCAAGCAAGATGGTTTCTTCATGCAAATGTGTCAGCGTAGCGGTGAATACAACGACCTCTTGAGCATCGCAAAAGCCAAATGGGACGCAGATCACTAAGCGACACCTTTCAACAACAATGTTTCTTATCATTATTTTTCCCTCGTTTTGCATGCTATATTTGTTCCTTCACACCTTTTGCTTTCTCTTGCTTGAACCATACCCTACCATGTATCTCCTTTTTCATATTTATCCACACCATCTTGTTATCATAAACAATGTTATAGACGGATATTGAGTCCATGTTTATTGTGAGATTTTAACAATGTACTTCGTAAACAGTTGATGCGTTGTGGTAATACTACCGAGCCAGTCATATCGACCTGAAATGGTCAGTAATCTGCTGTACAGTACGTGGCATTATATTTAGTTGAAAATATTATACTCTGGAATCACTGAGCATCGATTTGATTGCTTCAGCCTCAGCTAACCTTAGGTGTAGTGAAGTCGAAATGTATACAAAGCACTTGTATAATGAAGCTATCGGCTCACCTTTCTAAATGTTGAACGAAATTATATCCATTAAACTTACTGTGGTGTAATCAAGGTCCATTATTCAGTCATAGTTGAATTAATAAAAGTGAAACCAAAGTCCTAGGACGTTATACACGACTATAGAGAATTCAGTGCGATGGCTATAGTCTGATGTCAAAGAAGTTGTGCAACTGCAACTCTCTTGATCCTACCTTTACGTGTATTTCATTTCTGCCGTCTTGATCGAACTTTTTCCTTTGTCGGATGTAAGAATGAAGTAGCTGTTCCTTTCATTTGATCAGAGAGTCCTACAGTTGGCTCTTGTCCAAATGTGACCACGAAATTTTTGGAGAAATTGGTCAAAGGAAAAGACAATTTCGAGCCGTTTCTTCTCCGCCTTTTCAACTTTTTTATCAAGCCCTTTTCTCCCTCATTGTCTGCATTCTTCGAAAGGAAGAGAATACCAATCAGCTTAGACATTTTGGAATTGGTTATGCAAAACGGTGATAGCAGGTAAGCAATCACTCATTGTCGGTTCCAGCTTGTAGGGGTAATCGATCTAGTCAGCGAACCCTCACGGTGATCGTAGCGAAATGGGCTTATTGTGCCAAGATCGGTCCATGCGCCAAAAGCCACGATGCTAACGCTTTCCCTAATTGCAGTCAACACTCTGCGACGTATCCCGAATTACAATCCTTGACAACGCTGACCCATTCTGGTAAGTAATCGTGCTGTCGCATTACTATAAGATTCACAATTTGGCAAATGACGTGTGGAATGTGAGCTACGAGCGTTTTGACCAAATGCACTGGGAAGAATCACCTCACTTGTTGTGTTCATGTCTGACTAATCACGTCTCGTTATAGAAGACAGTAACATCGTTAACGGGCGATTTGGTGAACAGCAATCGGAATCGACTTTGCAACAGGCTCCATCTTGGCGAAATCCTGGACAAACTCATGTTGATCCAATGTACGTAGACTCTGGTGTCGGCAAGCATTTTTCATCAGCTTTCGACGGCTCAGGTTCGATAGTAGAGACAAAGAATACGTCTTCTGACGACATGACTACGGTTCCAGTACAGGTCGGGGCTAATGGCAGCAGCGAGTGGAAAGCACCGCCGTCTGAAGCTCCAATTGCAAGCGTTTATACTGCTGTTCCAAGCGATTCTATGATTGCGCCGCAAGACATAAACCCCATAGGTAGCCATTTGAGGAACGGTCATATTTCACCACCACTTCAGCCGTATCACTCGGATCTTGATATCAACAACGACATGAATACGGATATCAAACTGGAAACAACTGGTCAGATGAAGACAGAGTTGGCTCAGTTTGACGCATCAAGCTTATACGCATCATCCAAAACAGAGCTGGAAAACGATGCCCTCGATCAAAGAGATCTGAAGGAGTCGCTCTTGGGTGACTTGATGCCTCCTTCAATTCCCAAAACAGAAAGTTTCAGCGACGATACTATGATCAAACAAGAATCAACGCCTCACTCTGACGACGAGGACAAGCCAGCTTTCGCAGATTACCCCTGTGCAACAGCAGAAGCCATGACCAGGTATCAACACATTACCGCCAATATATACAAGGGCTCAGCAACCGGAAAATCAATAGCGGAAGAGTCAATGCCATGCGAATGCAAATATGAACCAAACTACGATGACTCCAGTGCAGCTTGTGGCGATGACGATATTTGCATCAATCGTATGATGTTTATGGAATGCATGGAAGACGATTGCCCCTGTGGGAGATATTGTCGTAACAGACGCTTCCAACTACAGCAATACTCAAGTGTGGATGTAATTCGAACAGAAAAGAAAGGATATGGTCTGCGAGCCTTAGCCGATCTTGAATGGTAAACATATATTGCGTATAATTTTTGACTCATTACCTCGTGATTTTCTAAAACTTTACCCCAAAAAACTTAGCAATCAATTTATTATGGAATATATTGGAGAAGTTATACCCAACAGCGAATTCATCAGGAGGACGAAGGAATACAATACTGAAGGTGTCAAGCACTTCTACTTTATGACTTTAAAGTCGGACGAGGTTTGAAACATACCTTATATACGTATACGCACTGTATTGCAGCAACAAAGTCTAATGTTTGTTTATATTGTGAATTGTAGATCATCGACGCAACCCGAAAAGGTTGTTTGGCTCGATTCATCAATCATTCCTGCCGCCCAAATTGCGTTACTCAAAAATGGGTCATTGGTAAAACGATGCGTATTGGAATATTTACCTCCAGAAATATCAAAGCTGGTGAAGAGCTTACATTTGATTACAAGTTTGAACGTTATGGGTAAGTTTATCAAGCATAACTCCACACAATGGAAAGATACATGGCTTTTTTTTTTCGCATATTGAAATATTACTTTACAGAGCTGTAGCTCAGCCATGCTACTGTGGCGAGCCAAACTGCAAAGGCGTCATAGGAGGTACCAATCCTAAATTTAGCTTGAGTGATCTAGTCGCTCCGGATTATGAACAATCAGAAGACGAAGCGGAAGCCGATGCTATCGACCTTTCTCCGTCCGCTGCAAAGACCAAGCTTCTCAAAAAGGAACAAATATACGATCGTGCTAAGGTTGTAAATCTGCCTTTGCAAAGTCCAGATGAAGTCCAGATGTTTGTCAAGAAAATGCTTGGTTCAGTTGGCAAGTCGAAGCTTGTACAGAAACTACTTCACAGGTTGGAATTGACAGATGGTCATACATCCAACGGTCGTGAGATCTTGAAAAGATTTGTTCGATTGCACGGCTTGAAAATGCTCAAGTTTTGGCTAGGTGAATGGAAAAACGAACAGGACATTGTTAAAAAGGTTTGACACCCATCTTTTTCAAACAAAATTTGAGGAAAGCAGATACCATAAATGCTAACTTAATTGACCGTAGGTTCTCACAGTCCTCGAACAACTACCATTAGCAAATAGAAATGGACTTGAAGATAGTGATATGTTCGAAGTCATGACGAAGTTCACCGAGTATGGTGACGAAGATATTGAAGAAAGAGCAACGCAACTTCTTCAAGAATGGAGTGACTTGAAGAGTGTTTATCGTATTCCCAAGCGTATATACACGGAGCAACCAAAGGAGATTGTACAGGATGTGAATGGTAAGCTATAGCCCTTTCTCACTCATCTTTTTTGATAAGCACACGTCTCTTACACTCATACTTTCATCCTACCAGAGGAAGTATTTGGAGATAATCACAGTATCACTGAAGGTGACGCATCACAAACGCTGTCGAAAAAACGACGATACTCCTCTAGTCGCGACTTTTATGAACCTCCAGATGACTATTATGAGCATTTGCCGCTAGATATCACCTTAGAGGACATGGAGCGTCGTTTAAAATTTCCACCGGTGGTCGTCATTCCGACTGCGCCAAGAGCTATGTTGGCAGCTGCAGCCGCATCAGCCGCACTCGCATCGCAAGCTGCCGCTGCATACCAAAGCTCTACTGCAGATCAAACTAATGCTTACTATGCTACTTCGGCCGACGTGTATACAGCGGCGAACGAGCAACATGGATACGATACTCCGCGATCAGGAACGGCATTACCACTAGACGATAGCACTTTACCGACGGCACCTGCTGCAATGCAAGCCTATACAGCGTTGAATCGTTCTCAATCGTCTCGCTATTCGTCACCAAGCACCGATATTCCGACGCAACCTGCAGCATTCACCGCTGCGGCATCGGTGGCGGCAGCAGCAGTAGCAGCAGCGGCATCCGCTAGTACTGATCATATCAAATTGCCACCAAACTGGAAAGCAGCCTATTCTGCAGATGGCAGTCTATACTACTACAATATCTTGACCAATCAGTCACAATGGGAACCTCCGGAAGGAAAAGTTAGCTCGATCGAAGGTGTTGATCAAAACCAGATTGAAAACTTGGTTGCGACCGCTATAATGGAAGCGGAGCGAAAAAAGAAGACGACAGTGAACAGTTTCGAAACAGATGTGAAACGCCCATCAAAGTCTAGTACTAAAGCGCATACAATATCGAAATCTGAAAGTACTGTCAAAGCGATGTCAGAAATAGAACTCAAAAAGGAGGTAAGACCAATCTATATTGCAATGCTGTATATGTGAAAATGGTCAATGATATTTAATCGATGTTGCAAATGAATTAATAGGTTGGTAAAGTGGTGACCAAATACTTGAGCTCAAAGCAGAAGTCATTATGGCAAGGTGATAAGGAATTGTTCAAGGAGCTGGCTCGCAAGGTATGTGATACTGCAACCATTCATTACACCCTTGTGTATGATCGTTTTCTAACGCTTTCGACTTCTTGTTCATTTCAGATTACTCACCATATCGTAGATCGAGAATCACAGTCTTCCCGTAAAATTCAGGCGGTCAACGCTGCCCTTCGAACAAAGATTGAAACCTACATAGATTCTCATGGTCATGAAGTGGTGAACAAACTCAAGCGTAAGAGAAAGCGTTCTGACAAAGATGAAAAGGCTCACAATGGTTCCAAGAGATCACACCCAGGTTCGCGATTTGGCGAATCGGACGATCACTCAGAACGGCTAGGGTCCGCATCTATGGACTGCTCCACTCCATCCACATCGCAAGATATCACCCCTATGCAAGAAGGCGAAGATACTTCAACTCTGAGCTCATTACATTCGTCGAACACAAGCCCGCTCGTTTAAAGACCCACTTGCAAATCCGTGCACCATGAGGCAGGGCCTTGAAGACTACTTTTTAAAAAGCTTCACTAACTATTACCAACTTATTTTGCGACCCTATCACGCCACGGCCGTTCCTAGTCTTCTTTCGCGACCTTCCTAATGCTACTAGTCAATTGATCTCAACCGTACATGGTATTCTAAGATATTGCTTCATTTTGCTCTGGATTTATGGTTTGAATTGTAAATATTCTCTTTTCGACTTGTTTTATTCCTTTATGTTCTGCATTTCATTTTCTTCCAGTTTCAATGTAATTTTGTGCAATTTCCTTATCAAAACGCAAGAAAGAAAAAAGAAAGGGAAAAAAAAAAGTTTGGGTGTAGCAAATGCTTAATGTATACGACCCACAACCATCTCAATACATTAGATTGACTTCTGTTTATTTTTTGCTTTCAATTGGTTTTGATGACTAGGGTGAAGTCACCTACAAAGCATATGTATAATTTTTTTCCCAACATTTTCTTTATTCGTAGGAGTTATGTTGATCCTATTTGGAAGACACCTCACGGCGGATGTTTTCGATTTCCTCTTGAAGCTTCTTTGTCGTCTCGCTTTGCTTGTGCAGTAAATCCTTCAAAGCTTTAATCTTTTCAGCGTCCTACAATCACAAACGAATTAGTCAACAAGCAGTCAATGCCACATGGAAGCGTTTCAAGGTGATACCGACGTGCATCTTAGCCCACTGATTCTCTACAGCTCGCTCCTTCTCACCAAAGCCTTTTGAAGTGGCAACAGCTCCAGCGGTAGGACCGCCATGCTCGAATCGCTTAAGGCAAGCGGCCGTGGCTCGTTGGCGGAGCAGGTTGTTACGAATCACAGTTGGAATATACATGTTAGTGAAGGATGTGTTTAGAAAGTAAGTAGCTTGCGTGTGAAAAAAATAATTAATGGGGAGAGAAATATAAAACCTTTAATGAGCGAGGAAAAATTTAGGCGTTTTTCAACCATGGAGTTTGCTGAAACAACAACACAGAGAGGTGCATAACAGCACCACTAACTTTTGATTATTATGCTAAAAAAATCAGCCCATATCATTGTTGACGCCATTTTCTTTCACCTGTTACATCCTTGATGCCACTTTGCTATATCTACTATCCAATTATTAATCAAAAATATTGCAAACTGCACATAACACAATTGTTACAGATCACGATATGAAAGACCTATGCAAGAAAAAAAAAATTTGACGTCGGCGAATAAGCAGGCGACAAAGAAGAAAAAAAAATTGTGTACAAAAAATGAAAAAATAAGTGGAGAAGCCCGGCATCGATCCGGGTGCCTCTCGCATGCTAAGCGAGCGCTCTACCATTTGAGCTACATCCCCTTCCGATATTTTTTGGACCACCAAAAATTAATCATACTATCAACAAAAAGTGTTCAAGATACAAATGAGCATCTATAGTCCAATTTATTTTTCTTACCAGACACTAGTAAGTCGATTTTGCTTTTTGAAGAGATTAAAATTGCACAATATATATTATTGCAGCTCAAGAGGGTGAGATTTCATGGCTCCAGTGGTCAGCATAATCATATATTCGCAAAACGTGATAGACACTTCAGAATGTTCTGCGCCTAAATAAGCGTCCCCGGTGTACAGTAAGACTGTCACTCGGTACTTTTGACATTTAGGACTAGCTTCACATAACAAATTTTTTTTTTGATCCAACATACGCATACATTATCAGTATTCTCTAAAATCTGGAGCTGCTCAGTGTCAAAAAACAATCCATTATTTCTAGCCTTGTGGGAAATACATGCCATTTTTCTGTAGCTAGGCAACTGCTCCTACGGAGATCCACAAACCATATAGTATGGCGTGGAAATTACATCGTGCAGCCTGCATTCTTGGTGTGACTGTGCGGTCAGCCTCATTGTTACACGCACTCTGCTTGGCGCTGCAATGTACACGTTAGCGTTGTCGAAGACAGTTTTATTTTTAAATACTACCTTTTTTATTTTAGAAACGGCACCGAGGGGTCCAATGACAAAAAATATGAAAATGTTCTCACTGTCGACGATCGCCCTCATTAGGCCGAGTGGAATGACACTTGCCTTTCGGTTTAAGATAAATCGTAAGTTTACATCGAAATCTGTCATAATTTATTTCTAACCACAGAGATGTTTTTGCATCGTCAACAGAAATGTAATTTTTTTTATTTTTATTTTTCATCAAAATTCTCAGATGCATTTATCATATGCGTTTCAATTCTGTTGTCAAGCTTTACCAAAGAGATGGTCAACGTAACCCACGGCTAACGACATATGGAGTTAGTGACTTCGATATCGTTAGTGTTCCTGGCATGATGTTTTAAAAAAAATAATTTAGCAAATCCCAAAGATGAATTAACCGTAATTGTAGACACTTTGAAGATTTTCCATCGGCTTTTATTTTTTCATCATGAAGAAAAAAAGTAATGGCATCGTATGATTTTTGGCAACGAGATAAAATTACTTGTGATAATTTTCTTCCATTTCAGGGGTATAACTAATGCCTGCACATCGATGGCTTATGCTTGAAGGTTTCACTCCGCCATTGAATGACTTTGTTGTTGCATGGAATAAAAAAGATATTGAAAACTTCAACGTTGTCACATTACAAATACTCGCTTTACTTCAAGCTGTTCAAACCGGATGAAAGCTCGGTGGCCTTTCCCGGACTTTGAGCTCGGTGAGTGGTAGGAAATGTCTATTTCAGGTCAGGTAGTGGCTAATTGACGTGGCGGTATGAATAATCATTACTGGGCGGCTGTGGAGAGACGAGATATTTAAGCGGACTCAGCAGAAGAAGATATGTAAGCAGGCGTAGCTTATCAATCATACGGATGATGTGCTCAAGAATGATAAGAGAATGAATAGATTGACTGTTACATTCTCGCTTTCCAAATTAGGACTCGCATAAACGCATTTTACCGATGTGACCCATCGACCTGACTTTACATGGAATCGAAGCTCATGAAAAAAATGTTAAGACACATCGGCAGGACCGATGGATCTAAACTCCTTTTGAATTTCTGCCAAGTGTTCTTTAAGTCTGAAGACATTTGGGAAGAAGACGATACCTATGCAGGTGTGTGAAGATAAAAGATGTGTGCGTTGGTATTCGTCATAAAATGGCTGCATTATAATCAGCAGAAGGGGCATGGGGCTAACGTCTCAGTCACACGCTCGCCATTTTTTACCACAGTGCTTGGAAATGCAGGAAAACTTTAAGCACTATGATGTTATTGACCCGACGCATTAACTAAACAATGTTCGGCTTTCACAATTTGTATCGGCCATATTTAGCTCACTCTAATGCCTGCCGCCATTCTACCATAACGAATCCTAGATACGACCCGTTGGAAGTAGCGAGGTGCGTCGGCTTTACGAAAGCCCCAAGATTCGGTTACCTTATTTGGCTAAAGCCAATTTACTGTGAAAGGAAATGTGTCTGACTGATATTGAGGGGAGCTCGCAGGACTTCGCGACAATACACAGAACCAGTCACCAAGCAAGAAATTCCATCATGTCTGCAGCAGACCGTCCGCAGCTGAGACAGGCTAGGTTTTATACCCCAAATTAGGTCAGTAATAGTTTTTGTAGAAGAGTGCAGTCAGTAAAGCAGCGCAGAAAGCCAATGGTTTCGGCGTTGGCTTAAAGAAACTGCGGAGGGCCCAGCTCTTCCTTTCCATATTATTAAAACGATGTATAGAAAACGTGGCGCTGCCTTTGGCACAGCCGAACCTAATTTGTATCTCCACATCCTTCCTGCTGACCTTTCATGCTAGCGCAAACTTATAAAAGGTGACATCCAATTCGCCTCCATTTTTCAGCACTGCCTCAACTTCACTCTTTTTACCATCATTACCTCCATCAAACACACTATGCCTAGCTTCGTCCTCGTGGGTGGAGCCGATAAGAAAATCTCCCTCGAACACCAAGGTCACCCTTGCCCTCGATGCAAATCACACGATTCCGTACAGCTGACTCGATCCGAAACGCAATTTATTGTGTTCAATGTTCGAGTGGGAAAGCCAAACAATATGCGAGTTCGATATGAATGCGCCAATTGCTCATGGAATGGCAAGGTTTTGCCGCTTTATAACGTCATGCTCGAAACTCAAATGATGAAGGACAGCTTGTACTTTGACTACTCCGCCATAGGTACAACTTATTCCCTCTAGAGCCAAATGAAAAGCTCTCACAAATTCCCTTCTCCGAACTCAAGCCTGCACTGCTGGTTTCAGAGCATTAGAGTTCATCGTATACACTATCGGTTTTGTCTATACCGCACTACTTTTTTGTACACACCTAATATGTTACCCTCCTCCTAAATAGATTGTATAGTTGTTCCATTCAGTTCAGTAATATAAAAACAATAAGTTCTAAACATCATAAGTTTTATATATACCCTGGTTTGAATTGAGAGAGATGTCAAAGAATCCCGCAAAGAAAAAAAAATATGAAACCATGAAAGTTACCACGGTGAATGGAAAAAGAAGACTAACAAAAAAAAAAAAAGAAAACTTGCCCGAGTTATATTCTACATCATCTTAGCTAACCATCCATTCACATTACTTTATGCCCGCTTCTTTCTGGTGTCGATGATACCTCCTTTTCTAACAGCCGCATCGTCTTTGCTTGAATCTTCCTTGAGAGTGACGGTTCTATTGAAGACCAATCTCTTGGCAGCATCTCTTACATTGCCTGTCTTGGCAGCATTAATATCCAGCTCGGTATCCTTGTCGAGACAGAAATAGCCGTTTCTGACAAATTGCCATCTAGCGCTCTCCAAATCCTTTCCACCTGTCTTGGCAATCCAATCTTTAAGGTGATCCCACAGACCGATTTCAGCAATAGCACCCGTTTCCAGTGAGATAGAGTTTTCATTGATATCAGAGAGGTATCCTTCAGGAACCAAGGTCTTGTCAGAGGGATTGGCATGATTGAAGAGAATTTCGTACAATCTGATTTCATCCAATTTGATGGGAGATCCATGCTTGGGAGAATCGGCGACCCAGTGGATGTAAGTCTTTGGCTTCTTAACACCTTCGCCGTTTTCATAACGGCAACGAATTTCACTGATATTGCCATTGGCATCCTTCACTACTTCCGTACATGTAATAGGGCACTTGACATGAAGCAAGCCAACAGTCTTTCCAGGAGCAAGACGGTAGTAATCAGGAGAATCCTGTTCACGGAAGTCAGCAGCTTCAATATAAACAGTGTTGGTGAAAGGAACGGTGTGTTCGCCCATGGCAGGATCACGGGGCTTGTTGGGAATGGTCAACATCTCCAAATGATCATTAGGAAGGTTTTCAATGACCACCTTGACTGGCTTGAGGATGGTCATTAATCGAGGAGCAGTGCGATCGAGGTAATCACGAGTATGATTGTCGAGACGGATCACATCGGTCTGAGCATTGTACAATGAGATACCCAATTCAGCAACAAAATTGTTGATAGCTTCCGGAGGAACACCACGTCGTCTGATACCAACAAGAGTGAAGAGTCTTGGATCGTCCCTGTTAATGATGAAAATGGAACAGTGAGTCACCATTTCCACAACATAACACTTTCAGTTCATAGCGAGAAGAGCCCAACTAGCTTACCATCCATTAACATAGTTTTCATTGACCATCTTGAGAATCTTACGCTTGGACATGACGGTATTTGTAACATTCAATCTGGCGTATTCCCACTGGACAGGCTTGTACACTTCAACAGCATCACAAAGCCAGTAGTAGCTTTCTCGGGAGAGACGGAACTCCAAGGTGCAAAGGGAGTGAGTAATGTTTTCGAGCGAATCGACAAGACAGTGCGTAAAGTCGTAAGTAGGATATATGCACCACTGAGAACCAGTGCGGTGATGAGGAGTGTAAAGAATGCGGTAGGCGATCAAATCCCAGAATTGAGGGTTGCCATTTTCCAAATCCATCTTCATACGCAGAGTGATTTCACCTTCCTTGAAACGACCATCCTTCATCATTTGGAACTGTTTAAGGGTCTCCTCGATCGGTCGGTCACGGTGAACACAAGCAGTACGGGGTCCTCTGTTTTCACCTCCACGATGAGCTGCAATCTCGTCTCCAGTACACTGGCAAGTATAAGCCTGCATGAACGAGCATAAGAAATCAGAATGGCACAACGAAGAGCAATATGCGTAAATAAAGAGACAGCAAAACATACCAATCCCTTCTTAATTAGTTTGATAGCTAATTCGTAAAGTTCCTGGAAGTAGTCACTGGAGTAGGTGATCTTGAAGGGCTCGAAACCAAGCCATCTCACAGTGTCCAAAATCGAGGTGAAATATTTCTCTTCTTCAGCCTAATTCCATAAAAGAGCACAATAAGTATTCATCAAAGATAATTAAAAAAAAAATTCATTCATTAAACTGAATAGCAACCGTACCTCTGGGTTGGTGTCATCATATCGCAAATAAGTGATGCCATTGTGAGCTTTTGCATAGCCAAAGTTAACGTTAATGGCTTTAGCATGTCCAATATGGAGATAACCGTTGGGTTCTGGTGGGAACCGAGTCACAACTTTTCCACCAGTGACTTCCAGATGCTTCTTCATCAACTCGGGGTTGATTTGTTTGTTACCACCAGGCTTGTGCAAGTTTGAGATTTCTCCTTCAAAGAACATTTTTTTGACGGTTGCCGCTGGGTCTACTGACTTTGCTGCCTCCTCCACTGTGGACTTTGCTGCTGGGGCTGGCTTGGGTTCCTTCTTTTTCTTCTGAGGAGCGTCTCGCTCATCTTTGGGACCAAGAAGTGCGAGATACTGAGCTTCAAGCTCGGTCTTAACAGCAGCACCATCAGCCCAACGCAATTCGGGGAGCTTCTTGGTTGCCGCCAATGAAGGTCCAAGAGTTCGGTATCTGTTTTCTTCAATGTTGCTCTTATTTTCTGCGATGTATGAGGCGATGACATCCTTGATCTGCTCAGGAGTGACGGTAATACCTGTGATACGATAAGTTCTCGTGTTTAGTGCACCAGCGGGATCAACATCTTTTAGAGGCATGAGCATCAAACGTACCAACACCAGCTTCTTCGTTGAAAGCAGCTTCGTCAATTGGAGGAAGCTTCTCATCCAAGAATGCAATGGCAGCTAATCAGGAAGGAAGGAAGGTGTGAGCGTGATTAGATTCTTTGAACATCTCGGGTTTCTCCCTTACTCGGTTCAATCGACTTACCAGAAACCTGCTCAGTGGTCTTCAAATCGCCAGAGGCAATCTTTCTCGAAAGAAAAGGCAAGTGAACTTCGGCGTCCTTGGTAATCTTGGATGCAAGGAAATACAGCAAATTGCCAGTTTCTTTACTACAGCCGTTCACGCTGCCGGATTCCAAGATAACTCTCTCAAATGTGGGAGCAAGTTTTTTGTTTTTGACAGTATCTTTAGCCTTCTGTTCTGTCAGGCCGACTTTGACAAAAAGTGGAATTAAGTCGTCCATGATTTACGTGTAAAAAAAGGTAACGTTCACGCTCTCGGGTTGCCAAAATATAAAATAAAAAAAATTGGTGGCTCAGCTCATTCTGCTGAAGTTACTGTACTAATTTTGACTCACTCAAAAAATGACAGCTGTTGCTTTTGCCGTGCAAACACGACCAAAAGGACTGAATCGTAGAAGCACAATAAACGTTTCAGCGTACAACCTGCTCAAGTAATTCCTGTGCTATACATTGTGAGAGACTCATATTTCTGAACGTGATACGGAGGTGTTTTATATCCAATTCCACGTGGCTGGCCGGAATGCAGCGTGCCCAGCTACAGATAAAGGGGGTTGTTATCCGCGGTATTGGTTACAAGTTGTAGAAAGCCCTATAGATATGGTGATAAGCACAAAATCACCCATGTTATATTGTCGGAAAACCTGTCTGTCGAGAAATATTGTCTCTGTTACTCTGTGCATGTCAATGCAGTATATACCAGTCGTTATCAGCACAAATGGTATACTGCTATGCCTCCTTTATTTCAATGTTTCCCTTGGCAAATTTGACAGCTATATATATTGGTCAGTTAAGTTTCCCTTCAAGGTATTCTTCTATGTTAAAAGCAAACCTTCTAAATAGATCCATAGTTACAGTTTGCCTTGTGGTGGCATTCAGTATCATCGTTATGTTGGGACCGATGGCACTAATAGCGTTTCTACTTTTGGTTGAAACCAAAGTTGTACAGGTAGATATGAATCCACGAATGGCATGGTTTCTGTTAGATTAACCTCAATATTAGGAGTTGTTCAACTTACCAGCTTGTACACCGGATGGCAAAAGCCTGAAGAAGTACGCTTGGATAAGCTGGTAAAGTGTGACTGAACCATTGTTTTGTACCGACAACATCATCAATGTTTCAGACTCATCGTATTTTTCAGGTATTTTTACATCATTGCAGCACTTTATGTAGTGCCGGATGCCATACTCTCGCACTTCTCAGAAAACAGTATAGGAAATTTAATATCGAACAAAATTTGGCATTGGTACATCTTTACGTTGTATTGTGCATACTGTTATGGTAAAAAATTGTTGGTATATCGGCTTTAATAACCAGCAACCGACAGGCTCATGCTGTTGATATTTTAGGATTTTGCCAATCTGTGCGTGCCATGAATACAGGCTCATGTCAGCTTGAGCTGCAACGATTTTGCTGGGCTCATATGGTTACTCTTTGGACTATTATTCAGACTTACTTTGTGATTCGTAATATTATGGCTGGCTTAGTGTGGTAAGATTTTATCAGTGTTTCCCTATCATATCCATCTTCGATCTAAATTCATTTCAAGGTATGTCTTACCCGTTACACTTGTTGTTTGCAACGATATATCTGCGTATGTGTGCGGGAAGCTGTTCGGAGTCACCCAGCTCTGCAAACTTTCTCCGAAGAAGACATTGGAAGGATTCATAGGCGCAGCCATTATAACACTTGTCTTTTCTGTTCCTGTAAGTACACTGTCATCAACAGAGCCTACAGACTTGTTGCTAATATTAAAGTGATCGATGTAGCTGGCGCATTTGCTAGCACGACATTGGTATCTAATTTGCCCAGTGACGGTGAGGATCTGTTTTATAGTCGAAAATACCGCAAGGGCTTCTAACAAATGCTTTTACAGAGCCTGAAGGTGACAATCTGGCACAAGCCAACGTGTATACCGTCTGCAGTACTCACCCCAAAGGAAATCGAACTACTTCCTGAAATATTGAAGCACAGTATGAATCATATGGTAACTTGAAAAACCACCGTTCGCTTTTCAGTTGCTATACTCTGAACTTTACTTCCTAGTTGAATGTCAACCTATCATTTACAGTGGCCTACAATGACTTCCAAATTCACGCTCTGGTATTTGGCATATTCGCGTCATTTGTTGCTCCATTTGGCGGTTTATTGGCCAGTGCAATTAAGAGGGCCTCCCAAGTCAAGGACTTTGGTAATATACTCGGCGAGCATGGAGGAGTCAGTGATAGAACAGATTGCCACCTTCTAATGGGAGTATTTACCAGGCTATACTACATGGCTATCATTTCCAACTGTGCGTGGTGAACAATAAACAAGTAATAGTTTACTGAATGATTTAAAAGCATAATAACCATAATCATGTATAATGGATGCCAAGAGTTCGCTGCTCGAAGTACAAGCGTTTCATTACTCTGAAATAACTCATCTATATTTACATATTGTCAACGTCTAATAAAAAATTGTCTCTATGAAAAGCTTGCTAATTCACCATTCAAGCATGACAATAAACCTGATGAGACAATCATTCTTCTCGCTTGATCTTGTCAGCTTCAGCCTTAGCGCGTTCCTTCTTCTCCTTTTCGTCGGCGACAATGTCAGGTAGCCACTCCATCAGGTTGCCGCCATGTTCTGAGCCGTCTTCCGCAACGATGACTTTGCGAATGCCTTCTCCTTTCTCCTTCACTAGATCCTCAATTGTTGTTTTGCCGTCTCGAAACCATCCCAAGTTATCAGCAATCAGGTGGCGATTCTGGCAGCCTGGACACTCTATTAAGATGACTCCTTTGGTGTAAGCAAGCTTGGACATAACATGGTGAGAGCGCTCGTTGCACACTTTGCAGGTAAAACCAATGAGCATCTGATGCTTCGGGTCTACTTGTTCCTCGGCGTCTTCAGAGACAACTTCACCTGAAGAAGCTCCCTTGTCTGGTATATCTCTTTGGTTCGAACTCCATGCGTGAAAGAATTGCGCCTGAGGTCTGTAATTAGTACATACTAATTGAGGCAAAACTCCAAGTGGTCGAATAGACGGTGTTTTAGTTATTGCTCGTTGACCTAACGAGAAGAGAAGTCTATTTGCTGGCCGAATGAGTCGTTGCATGTCAAGAAGTGAGTCGAGTCACAATTCGTTGGGAGGGAGCAATTTCAACTGGCGAAGCAAACCAAAAATTGAATACGCATTAAATTTTTTTTTTTTTTCCATAAAAATCTTTCGATTCAATTTCTTGCAGACAACACCAATATGCAAGATCAGTACGATACAAGGGATACCGATGATCGGCAATGGCTGTGAACTGAGAAGTATCATTAGATGTAAGCGCTCACAAAGTGCAATTGAGTAAAAGAAGAGCCCACTATGACTAACACTTTGTATTGAAAGTCTTTTGGCGATTCAATAGATATTAACCATTCTAATGTACATACGTACCAATTTTTTTTGTATGGAAGGGGTAATCGCATCTTCTTTGTCCGTCGCAAGACTGCTTTTGATTTTAAAACTCGCTGATGAAGCAACACCCGCGAGAGAGTCCAGTATGTTCACTTCTATGTGATGACGCGAGCGTGTCGGCTTTTGAATACAAAATTTTGTATATTTTTCAAAGGAAAATTTTTCCAAGCTGGAAGTACGGTTTGTTTTGCTTTTGCTTTTCTGGTATTATTCTAAGGAAACTATGAAGAAGGAGTCTCGCTCAGTTGCAGTCTTTGCAAAAGGAGTTGCGGCATGTTCTCATCAAGCTAAAACATACGGTCAATGCATTACTGCTCGTTACACCGATGTTCATCGTGATGTTTGTGCCAAAGAGTTTCAAGCTTTCAAAAACTGTGTACAGCAGTCTCTGAAAAAGGCGTGGTAACGGCTGTTGAACGTTTTGGGAACATTTCCTCTACAAGAAAATAGCGTTGCCATGTCACGCGATCCGTAACTGGTAAGCACGTAATCTTTATGTTATCTCTTCTTCATTGGGGGCTGTTATGATGATTTCAAAAAGACAATTTGCACGTCAGTCAGAACACTCATGTAGACTACCAAATATCTATACCCAAATTACTGATCGCAGCCCTCTATAATACCCATTTTATCCGTTGGCAATGTTCTTCATCCTTTTATTAACACGATATCCCTCTTTTCCAGATATCATTGGCTACGCGTAACATTTGGTGCAAATCTCCACTTTAGGGTGTTGAGGAATTTGGTGCTGAAATCATAGGATGAAAGGCTATGTATGGTCTTGTTGAGGTCCGTCTGGTCTTCTCGTTGACCATTTTAGCTCTCATTTTTAGTTTCGTGACGTACCGAGACTTGTTTTGGATATCCGTGTCATCATCATGGGAGGGCACTAAAATTTTATATAAATTTTTAAATAAACGGGCTCTTTTGCCTATACATTTTATCACGAACCTTTTATTTCCCACTTCACAAAAGATGTAAGAGAAAGGGTCTATCAAAGCTCTTCGAACTCTATGAAATAGTAACCTTGTCTATGTGTAGGTCAGAACCTTATGACCCGTACGTTCCCACCGCCGCTAGCCCACCAGGCGCTACAAATGCAAAAACCACCAAAGTGAGACAAGAAGTCGACCAGGTTATCAATATTATGCAAGATAACATTGACAGAGTGGTGGATAGAGGCGCCAACATAGCACAACTGCAAAGCAAAACTGGTAAATGTTTAGGCCGTTGAGATAATTTACGACTTGCGAGAATATCGCTGATCAGCCACTTTGTTGCACAGATGATCTACAGGCAACCAGTGGCCAGTTCAAACGCTCAGCTAACCAAGTTCGAAAGAGAATGTACGTGTAATGAAAAGATACAGAAAGACGAACATGAGCTGAATAATAACGAAATTGCCATAGGTGGTGGAAGGACATGAAATGGAGAATCGTTATCTTGGTGACAGTACTTATTATCATTGGAATCATTGTAGGCAAGTATCTTAGATGATAATATGTATGATGGGATAAGGTTGAATGTAACTAATTGGAGCTGTTGACAACAGGTGCTGTGGTTGGCTCACAAAAGAGCAAAGGCAATTAATTGGTGATTTGATAACACTTATCTATCTTGTATAAAATATTTAAACCTTTGTACTTATAAAAGCTTATGTATATTTTAACTGGCAAACAATCACCAAAAAAAAGGAAGCTTCTCTGCTCTAGGAGCATGTATACACGTTTTGGCGAAGACGAGTCTCCCAATGTGGTACAGCTCTCTGAGGCGCGCTTTATTTTTTTCTTTACTAATATGAACAATAATAGGTCCCTTCCCTTAGAACTTTCAAGCTAAGCATAAGCTTGATTTTCTCGGTTGGAACTTGTAGATGAAATCTCTTCTAGAGCAAGCTTCTGTACCAAGGGCGGGAATGTACCACATTTCAGACTCGTCGTCGCTAAACTGGCGTATTTGATTTGGGAACCCTACTCCACATTTTTCGTTTAGAAAGTGAAAATTTTCCCCCTTTTCGCTTCAACGCCAATCTGATTGGTGTCAACATGAAGCAATACAAAAAGTACCTGCTTTTAGCGGTGCTGATATCCATGACCATGATGAGCTCACTCTTAATTTCCCAGCGGAATTTCTCTATTGAATCGATCATCCCATCTGGATTACGCGCGCACCGCCTGGGTTTCAGTTCAATTTACGTCATCAATTTGCCCGGCCGGACCGACAGACGAGTGAGAATGCAAGAGCTGGCGTCCTTTCTAGGTCTCAATTTCGTCTTTCATGATGCAGTCTCATTTCTGGACGTCGATTTTCCAATGCGACGGAATACGAGTGGAACGACTGTCAATCTCATGAAAAATGCCACGCTTGCTTGCTTTTTCAGCCACAGAGAGGTGTACGAGCAGATTATTCAACGCGGTGACAAATATGCGCTGATATTGGAAGACGACATTGATATGGAATTCGATATTCGAGAGCGAATGAACTCTTTTTGGAATATTACACTACCCAGTGAATGGCATCTCGTCTACTTTGGCCATTGTAATTCTCCACGCAGCAATCCACACCAGGTTGAATCTTTCGGAGAAACAATTGATTCATCAACGGGATTGCGACGGTCTGTAAATCCATATTGCACACACGGTTATGCCGTTAGTCAAAAGGGCGCTCAGATTTTGCTAGATCAGGTTGTTCGTGAGCCTCGCTCAGCAATCGACGTGCAGATTGCTTGGGCAATCAGAAAGGGACAGCTTCAAAGTTATTCGGTTGTCCCGCCTTGGATTGTGCAGTCGAGGGATACACCAAGCGACATCAGTAAGAACTGGAAGGAGCTCCCCCAGCAACCGTTGAACAAATCTGTGCTACATCGTCTCGAAACGCAAGCTCAAAAGTAAATGGTGTAATGGACCGGATGAACAAAAATATCATTTTAGCAAGACTTGTTGGCCACTACGGATTCACATGTATTGCCGTCCGAGGCAGTTTGCAATCGGTCATGGGCTATCTTTGACAGAATAGCCGCTTCAAAAACTACAGAGTAGTGAAAGTTGAATGAAAAATACCAGAGATTGTAAAACCTCGTCTGATTTTCGCTTACTTAGTCATTTACCGAGTTTATTGTCTGTTTGTTTTCATGGCGGTAATCCAGGGCAGCTAAATTGCTTTGATCTCAATGTCCTTGATGGATAAAATGTCAGGAAGTTCGCCAAGATCACTGTCGCTGCTGAAAAAAACCCACTTTTGTAATCGCCCGGGAACACAGACTCGATGTTGGCATTTAAGTAGCCGAGTTTAATTGGATTGACCTCCTCGTACGGAAGACGAAGCTCACAGGCCATTGAATTCAGTGCAGCGGTGATTCCGCCATTTTCGCAGACAATCAGGATGTCTACATGTTGCCACTTGTTCAACGAGAACGGTTGACGACCCAATCTCCTATCGATATGTCCGCTGTGAAGTCTTCAGATTCACAAGTGTAAATGTAATCCTCTGGGTCCACACGCAAGTTGTATTGACGACTGTTATCAACTGACAGTAAATCGAGCGTAAATGGGGGAAGAGTCGATTCTTCCAGGCTCTTCTGAAAAAATGCCGTCAGATACCACGAGCGGGAGACAAAGCGTTTTTTCCATGCTCGCTTCTGAAAGAATCCCCAGCCTAGCCTTTCGAGTTGATCTGGAAGGCAATTTCGACCTTCCATTCTATATTACGGTATGACGTAGGCATCTACAAAAGTTTCGAGTTTGAGACAGTGTTCCATTGGGTTGTTGAGATATTATTTTTTAAATACCCGGTATATTCAGCAAAGTGTTTTATCACTACCTAGGAACACAGAAGCGTACTTGAGTCACCTATAAGTGGATGTATCTCTTTCGCTCCAAGCCTTTTCGCAAGCTTGCAGACGAAGAAGGATCTACTGTTCTTTTTGAGACTGATGCAGACGGAATTGAACTTGATGACGACCCTGGCACATCAACTCATCGCTTGGTCATGTCAGATGATGACAGTGAAGAAGAGCTAGGCCATCATAATCAAGGCACCGCTGGTGGCCGTACTGCATCCATTGGTGGCAATTCTGCCGCGTGGGCTTCTATATCCAACCTGACAAGCGACAGACCAGCCAGAGACAACAGAAGACAAAGTTACACGGTGCAAGACATTCGCAATCCATTGAAAAGAACGCTATTTAAACTTTTAGAAGACCCTTCAAGCAGTTCAGCAGCGTTCTGGACAAACGTCTTTGTATCAATGCTTATTGTCATCAGTGCTGTCACGACGACCATTGAAACTATACCGACATTCCGATCAGCTGAAAGCAACAAGGCTTGGTAAGTTGGGTTTATGCGGAAATAATCGTAAGTTTTAGACGTGCCTGACGGCTGTGTAGGTTCAATGTGGAGACTGTCATGGTTGTCTTATTCACCTTGGAATATCTGCTACGCTTTTTTGCCCATTCGGATTCCTTTAAAATGCTTTGGCGATTTCTTATTGGTAAGTGGTATAGTATTTGAACACTCACTGATGTTGTCAATCGCATTAACCTTCTTGTCTAGCTCCATTGTCAATTATTGACTTTGTTTCCATTGTGCCATATTATATCGAGTTGCTGGCTAAACGAGATACGGTAGGAACTCCGCAGCATTGCCATGCCTTGCTATGCAATGACTTCCATTAGAGTATACTGACCTCTTTGTTTAAATGCCACTAGACATATGAGTTTCGGTTCACCATTCTGCGACTGTTTCGTCTACTTCGACTATTCAAGAGCTATAAATATAGCAATACCATTGTTATGACCATTGAAGTTATGATGGTTGCTTTGCGACGTTCAGGAGATGCTCTTTCCGCGCTCTTTTTCTTTTTGGTGACAAGCCTGGTACTTTTCTCTACATTACTGTATTTTGCTGAGAGAGGAATCTGGGATGTCACTTTGGAAACGTTTGTCGATGCATCTGGGAACCCTAGGTACGATATCGCAGTGTGTGATGGCTGATTCATAATCGGTCTTGTTCTTAATGGCAACTTGCTTGCATTTAGCTCTTTCGACAGCATCCCGGCAGCTTTCTGGTTCGTGTTGGTTACCATTACTACAACTGGTTATGGTACGTGTGATCCATGGCTGGGAAGACACAAGTAAGGTGAAATGTCTAAACTGTTTTTTATAGGCGATATGGTGCCAACAACATTTATTGGCAAGTTGATCACTTTTCCAGCCATGATGTTTGGAGTGCTGGTAAGTAGATAGCTTGTTCGCGGATACAGTAGCAGGATGTTGTCTGACTTCTTTGCAGCTTATTGCATTGCCATCCATTATCATCGGCAGAAATTTCACAATAGTATGGGAGGCGATGAGGAACTACCAGATGACACATAACGGCGAACTACCAGCGTCTATGGAAAGCCCAAGAGCGAACGGCACACTATCCCCTGAACGTCGGGATTCCTTTATAGAGGACATACCGCACTTTCCATCTGTATCTTATGTGCCCAGACGCGACGATAACAGCCGTGACCGCCTAGCTGAACAGGTATCAGCTTTAAGTGAAATGACACGACAAAATCAGCTGGCCATTGAAAGAATACTTCGAATACTTGAGACATCTCAAGCTGCAAATAGAGGAGACACAGGGCCGAAATCGGATTATTCCAAACCTGCTATTGCCAACGGTCTGGAACCAAAACCGAAACAAACAGATGAAGTCGAGCCTTTAGACAAAGAATTTACCTGAAGCTAGTGGACTGTTATCTTTATCACAATTTTTTTTTTTAATTTAAGAAAGCATACAATATAGATTTAAATGGGATGATGAAGAGCGTACAAATGCCATACTAAATGCGATGAATTGTTAGCTCTCAAAACGTTATGACTGCATAATGGTGACAATGTCGGAGATGTACTTAAGAGCGATTCATAGCTTCGTAGTTCATTGGGATAGGAACGACTACATCACAAAGCGCAAGAAATAATATGAGACGATATGGCTCAAAACCAAAGGATGTATTTGTGTTTTTTCAATTATCAAAATGCAAAAGGTTTAAAGGGCTGGGGTGATAAACATGAAACATGAAAATGGTAATATAGTAGAAGCAAGTGGGCGAATGGAAATAAAGCAAATGCAAAAGAGGGAAGGGAATACAAAAAGGACAAAAAGTCTAAAACTAACCAAAGTTAAATAACAATGGCCATGTTGTCTCTATTTATGACATAATCAGAGTCTTCATAACCCAAAATCTTGGAGACGTCTTCAGGGTCACAGCGCATAATGCGTTCGATTTCTTGGCTGGAATAGTTTACGATTCCTTTAGCAACCGTAACTTCTTCCAATTCACCGTCAGAGTTCATTCTCTCAACGACAATATTTGCCGATTGATTGGAGACGAAATGTCCAGCCACTTTGACAACGCCTGCAGCAGTGAGACTTGAGTTCTTACTGCCGATAATGTCTTTGGCAGCGGGTTCCTCAACGTAGATGGTTCCGGCGGTATGGAGACCATGGAGAATCCACCATTTGCGGTCCATCAATGGAGTCTTCTTGGCAACGAAGCGTGTATGGAGAGGAGCATTATCCGCATCGGAAATGATTTGGGTGATGTTATCGGGCTTGGAACCACGGGTGATGATGGTGGTTACTCCAGCAGCAGTAGCAAGATCAGCAGCAATAAGTTTGGTAACCATGCCGCCAGTACCCAGAGAAGAACCAGGAGACGTAACAGTGATGCTTTCTCTTAAACCCTCAATGTCGTCACAGACTCTGACAGGAGCAGCTTGAGGATTTGTTCTAGGGTTATCGGAGTAGAGGCAATCTACGTCCGTCATGAGGAAAAGGTAATCAGCCTTGACCATTCCTGCAGTAATAGCGGAGAGGGTATCATTGTCACCGAAACGAATTTCCTATAATAGCCAAACAAATTCATCGATTAGAGGAGCTGACATAATAAGGTATTAGAAAAACTTTTTTTTTTTTTGTTCAACTTACGGATACAGAAATAGTATCGTTTTCATTGACGATGGGAACTACTCCCATATCAAGAAGTTCTTCCAGGCAATTGACTGCATTTAGATATTGAGAGCGCTAGACCGTGATCGTGTTAGTGGGCTTGTGCTGTATTGAAGTGCGGACTTTTTTAAACATGACATCACTTACGTCGGCCAAATCATTTCTGGTCAATAGAATCTGAGCAACGGCTTGGTTGAATTGTCCGAAGAGATCATCGTAGATTGCCATAAGACGGCCTTGGCCTACAGCAGCGATGGCCTGAATAAAGGGAGAAAGAGAAAAGTAAGTTTTAATGTTGTTCATTTCATTGGTAAGGGGACCGGATTGGCCACGCGAGCAGCCGGCCTCCGTTTCCCATTTATGGGCCATTTGCCCGGCTGTCTCTCTCCAGTTACCAAGCGGAAGATGTGCTCACATGCTTTACCTGAACTGAAGCCAACTTGGAAGGCTTAGAAGGCATATTAAGTCTTCGAAGACCGGTACCTACGGCTGCGCTGGTAACAAGGACCACGCGATGACCAAGGCTCTTGAGCTTGATGATGGTTTCCACGATCATTGACAAATTTCCAAGAAGTGGGAAATGGGTTTTTTCGTCACAGATGGATGATGTGCCAACCTTGATGACCAAAGTCAATGAAGACTTGGTGGGACGGTGGGTGTTCTGAACATTACGGTGCACCATTTTTTTGAAATTTGTAAAATTTAAGCAGAGATGAAGACTATGGAACCCTGAATGCGTACGGCAAAGCTTGTTGCTCTAGTAAAAAGGTGTATGAAGCTCGAGAGTGGTATTCGCCTGCCAGCGTATCGATGCGATATGAATTAAAGTGGGTAAAAGTCGATTGGAGAAGGAGGTCAAGTCTATGATTCCTTCACAAAGAAATTTGTGATATATCGGCTTTAAGCTAGAAAGTGAATTGATGTGGGGCACCGCATAGAGCAACACTTCCTTTATATCAGTTTTTTCCAGTGAGTTTCGGTTTCGGATTGAGATATATTCGATTGCCCTGTAGCACGCGCACGAAAAGCGTTGTTTTGTGGTTCCTGTCATCTGTTTGGCTGGTTTGGAAGAAGATGCGATCGTTCTTCGAATTTTTTTTGGTCTTGACCACATTTGCATCTATTCGCATCCTGATTCGATGATTCCAAAGATAACGATTAAAATATAAGCTTCCAAAGAAGATAAAATTCTCGCAAAGTTACCCTTGAAATGGTCGGATGGAAACCTCCTATACTATAATTATAATATGTCATCATCTTCCGACGATGACATAGCGTTTCCTAAATACCTCCTAGCTATGTTTGTCAAAAAAACCGTCAGCTGTAGGCATGTGAATGGATGGTAAAATTCATAAAGTTATTAGGGGTCAAGGTAGAATAAAAGAAATGAAGTGGAGTGAGGGTGGGCGTCGTTTTTGACCAAAGTGGCATGATGAAATCTGCATAATTTTCACTCCAAGTGAACAGGGGTCTAAGATATCACAGGGACAAGGGCCGAAAAGCAGAATCCCATCACGTCAGATGTAATATTGTGTGCACCGAGCCCTAAACTGCACGCTAATTTGGAATCCCAATGAATATTCGAAAGAAGGTAAACTCGAAGCGTACTACCGCGCTGGTACTTTTTGCACGGTGCGTGAGTGAAGGGCATGCCTATGGCCTGTGCGGGATTTATGCTTTCAGCAATTTCACGCATGCAAAGTTCCCGTATTGACTTTTTCAGCAGGCTATAACTTCTCAATATAGAAAGGTCATGAGCGGGTTATATCTATGAGCAATTGCCTTCCATCGATATGATCTTACGAATTTCCCAAACTAATAGTACTTCATCCCGCCACCATGAGGCTGGGGTTGAGGCGCTGGGCCGAACAGAATAAAAAAGGTGTCTAAGACACTTTTGGGTCTGGAACGCTAGACATCCATGAAAGACAAGGGGAATTTCGAGATTGATCTCATCACAGACGCTCACAAGATATCGAATAAATACAATATTAAAAAGAGAAATAGCGTATTTTTTTGTTGTGGGGTGCTTTGGAAGGAGTTTCAATGACCCAATGTCATTTGAGCGGGAACAATTCAGTCAGCTGGGTTTCAAAAAAAGGAAGCAGAGACCACGTTAAGTGTGCATGTGGAGGGAATGGTGCGGCTTAAAGTAAACTGTAAAAAATATTTGTTATAGGATTTAAACTTAGTTCTGAAAAATAATAATAGTAGTGGTGCCTTAATATTGGAAACAGAGTGTATGTCTCTCTGAATCTTAAGTCTCAGGCATCATGGAAGAGAAAATATGAACATTGTTGGTAACACTGTCAGACCGACGTCAATAAGGAGACAGTAAGAACGAGAAATGCTAGGGATGTCACAAATTTCTATTAGCGTACATTTTGCTTGCCTTGAATGTTCCTCTGTGAACCTATTTTCAAAGACGCATAGTTAATTTATCTGTTTTCTTATGATATATTGATGCTGTACAAGTTTTGAAATATGGATGGTCATGAACAACCGCAAGCAAAATGATTATATTTAAAGCCATCAGTGCAAAGCAGTTTTTATATTTCAAATTGCAAGTAATTTTTTCCTGGTCAGCTAGGGCTTTTATTTTTTCCTCCACATAATTTTTCTATCAAGTTCAGCATATTCCTCTCTGTGATCCATCATGTTAGATATCCGAAGAGCGTCAATGCTATGTATAGCTTCACTGCTCTCATTGACAGCAATAACAGCAGTTTCTGCCAGCGTCAATCCAATTGTGATCAAAGGAAGCAAACTGTTTGATTCAGTCACAAAGGAACAATTCTTCATAAAAGGGTGGGTTGACATACAGCATGCATGCAACTAAACTTGCATCAGTTCTCAAGTTAACACTTTCTCTCACCATCGTAGTGTTGCATATCAGCCACGAGGAGGTCTCTTAACAGGAACCGACCCGCTTGCAAACGAGAGTACCTGCGTAAAAGATGCTGAATTGATGAAAGCCTTGGGTGTGAATACTGTTCGAGTATACGAGGTAATGCATTGCTGTGCTTTATATATATATACCACTTGATGTAGAGTGACTGACAAGCAAATCTATCTTAAAACCCCCATCAGATTGATCCTAGCAAAAATCATGATGCCTGTATGAACGCTTTTGCGTCTGCAGGAATTTACCTGCTTTTGGACATTGCAACCCCGAAGCATTCCATCAATCGTCAGACTCCTGAATACGATCTCAATCTATATCTTAGCTTTGCGGCAGCAATTGATGCATTTGCTGGTTACTCCAACACTCTTGGATTTGTTGCTGGAAATGAAGTGTCTAACGACAAAACAACCTCTGCAGCATCAGCCTTCGTCAAAGCAGCCCTGCGTGATGCGAAGCAATACATCAAATCCACGAAGTCAAGGTATATTCCGGTTGGTTATGCTAGTAATGATGATCAGTACATACGAGACGCCATCAAAGACTACTTTAATTGTGGCGATGATTCGTCCAGGGTAGGTGAACTGTTGTAATATGGACGAACATATGGGGACATCTAACTAATGAATACGTCGATTTCCAAAGGCTGATTTCTTTGGTGTTAATTTATACGAATGGTGTGGAAACAGCACCTTTCAAAAATCTGGCTATTCAGAGCGTACCAAAGAATTCGAGAATTACAGCATTCCTGTCTTCCTCTCTGAATACGGATGCAATCTTATGACACCACGTCCTTTCACTGAAGTGGAAGCTATCTACGGGCCTGATATGACTGGTATATGGTCCGGTGGAATTGTATACGAGTGGTCTCAACAGGACAATAGCTATGGTCTGGTCCAAATTGACGCAAGTGGAAACGTCACACCACTACCCGACTATCAGAACTTGAAGACTGAGCTTGCAAAGGTATCGCCTAAAGGTGTCTCTATGGACTCGTACAGTTCAAATACCCAAGCATCTCAATGCCCAGCCCAAAACGAAAACTGGCTAGCTTCCAGCAACCTGCCACCAACGCCATCTGAAGGAGGATGCAAATGCATGACTGATAGCTTAACATGTACCGCCAACACGAACACCTTTTCAGCCGGAGGAAATGACACTGCGATAGGAGATCAGCTGAACTACCTTTGCAGTAATTACAACTGTAGCGACATATCTGCCGATGGTTCCAAGGGTGTCTATGGTGCTTTCTCATTCTGTGCACCGGAGGACAAGCTCAAATACATGTACAACTTTGCCAGCGCTGGGGATAGCTCCAAGTGCACTTTCGATGGACATGCTATGGCCGCCCAGCCTTCGCAGAGTGATTTACAGTCTTGCTCAAAAATCAAGGCTACATCTCCCAACACTGGCATCAATGGTGGCAAGGTCAATTCAAGCTCTACATCAGCATCAACCTCCATCTTTGGTCAGCTTAACTTCAGCATTTTGGCTGCCTTATCCTCTGCACCCCTGATATTGAACGCTGCCCAGAACTTTATGTAAACAGAATCCCCCCCATGGAAAAGTAGGAAGGCTCGCATCATAGTCATTTACATAGCCGCTGACTAGATGAACTCCTGGTCAGCACAGGTAATCAGCTTCAACCAGTGAACGTTCATCATCATTAAATTTGCATATAACAGTACATTTCATTGCTTGCGAATAGAACTTTTTTAAATAAAACCCCACTCGCATACCTTAGTAATTCACTGCTCTCTCATTGATTGGAATACGGTGTGGGAATATCTCATGGCGTGATCGTTGCTCTTTAAAAACCATGTATAGCAGCGACGATGATGTACTTCCGGTCAAATTTATGTTTCCGACGACATCGGAACTCAATGTTATCGATCTTGACTACTTTGTTCTAGAAGTATTATGTAAGAAGCAAACGCAACACAAGAAAGGAAATACGGTTGTAAAGCATTCTATGAAAATATTTGGTAACATTACTAAACGATTTCGAATAAATTACAATGGGGGGTGGGTCATTTAATGAAATAGTACTAATTTCCATAGACTATCTACAGTATATGACGTCTATATTCCCATCACCTCATGCAACTAGATCATCATAGCCCTTCTGCTTTAAGGCGACGACTGTGTTTGCGTTGACAACATTGCTCTGTCTCGACAAGCCTTCGGCAACAAAGATCGCTCGTAAAGCTCGAATTTCGTCGTCTTGGAGCTCATACTTCTTGACGTACCCCTCCGCTCCACCATACTTGTTATCCAAGTACTTGAGGGTGTCAACGATGACTTGTTCTGGCGCATCGCTAAACGTCGCATCCAGACCAGTCTTCGCCATCTCTTGCACCATGACTTCTCTTTGGGCCTCCAAACCTTTTTGTGTCTTGACATAATCCTGTATAATCAATGGGCGTGGCACATCGCATAATGAGAGAACAATGGCTATGACCAATCCGGTTCTATCTTTCCCTTGAGTGCAATGAATGAGGATGGGGTATGTTGCACTAGCTATCATGATTCGAATCACTTGGATGATTTGCTCCCCGCAGTAGTCCAGAAAATCATAGTTGAGGCCTTGAAGTCCCTTTGGTTGTAAAACTTGGGATCCTACCGCTCGAATGGCACGATCTTTACGACCGATCATCATCCAGCCTATCAGTTTTCTGGAACAGCATAGAACGGGTTTTTAGTACTGTATTCCCCACCCCACAGTTTGACCATCACAATTGACCTTACAATTTTAGTGCAAATGGGCATGGCTTTATAACACAGTAATATCTGTATTTTGAACCAGCAAAGTTCACAAAATAGGTGGTACGTGTGGTTAAACCACCCTGCTTTGATTTTGATAGCTCCTTTTTCAAATCGTCCATGGCCACTACCGTTGATCTCTTGCGAGCAAGGCGAGTGTCGGTGGGCGATTTCCGCTGTCCTGTAACTACCGTTTCACTAGCAACCGATACGTGTTTTGCGTTGAGTTTGCTCAATCTATCTTCAACGTGTGGTGGTAAAACTTGTGACATCATATCAGTAGGCTTGACAGCCGCTATAGCTCCGGCTGGAAAGGTGTTTGCCAACATACTGCCAATTTTACCCTCTGTCCTGTTTCACCAAATATGGCGTCAATTTTCACTGCCAATATCTCGGATTTTCAAAATGCCATGGACTACACAACGAAGGAAAAATCAACGTACTCTGATCGAAGATCGACGATGGTTCTGATATTATAGGTAGCGGTAAGAGTTTCAAGGTCGCTCGTTGATGCGTCGTCCAGTCTCCCTGATCTGAACAGAATGCCGTGCTTGATATATCTATGATATAGCACGCGTTAGTACCAAAGCATAGAAAAAGCTTTAAGAGAGTACGATAGTTACTGTCGAACACCCTGATCAGTCTTCACACTAGTGCTGGCTCCCACGTCTCGAAAATTGACGATATTTTCGAACGAGTGCGATTCTACCTTGAGATTGTGGGCACTCTCTGCAGGTGCCGGTGCACCTGGCTTTTCTGAAAGTACATTTGGGATACTATTGACCGGTATAGGGTCAGTATGGCCGTTTGAAATAGTGTCGGCAGCCATGGTATAATGAAGTTGATACAGAAAAGGAAAGAAGAAAAATAGATGTCGAGAAACAATCGTCATACTGAAGCTTTTATACCTGTCGGAGATGGAAACATTTTGCTTGCCTATTTTCCTACTGATCACTTCACCTTTGTATTTGATGGGTGGTATGAACGAATAATTTATATATAGAAAAAAAAAAGATGTGGTTGGTTCGGATAACCTATGTAATTAAATGTGAAAAAAAAACTCTTCTGTACAAAAGTGCTACATGGCGACTGATGGCCATTAAGCATGATAAACTCCTGGTCTATGTCGATTGATGGGAGGGTGACCTAAGGTTCTGCTTTTAAGGACATGTCGCTCTTCGTTGGAACCATACTGTCCATAATAAGAGTCATGCCTTGCATAAATAGATGAGACGTTTGAATGATCTTGATGACTTCTATCAAATGATGGTGATGGGCGAGTCGTAAACGAGTCCACTGATTCAACCGGGTTGGTGTAATGTGATTGTTGTTGTTGTTGGTACAAAGTGTGTGAACTGGAGCTTAACATGGGCTCTTGATTATAGGCATAATCGCTGTACGAAACTTGCTGATGGGTTGGACCAAAGTGCGAATACTCTCTACGGCTAGTGGATGAAACGGAAGATTGACTGCGGTGACTAGGTGAACTTGACCGGCTACCAAATAGCGAAGATTGGTCTTCGAAATCCAGCTTGCTTGACGTATCGCTTATGGTTTTCTTGGGAGTCGTAGGCGTCGACAGCGAAATGCCACCGCAATTATTCTCCCAGCGTTCTGAGCCTCCTGTCCAGTTGCGCATTAACTCCAAAAACCGCAACTGCTCAGCTCTCGAATAGACAGGTTCAGATTCTAGTTGCTCACTTTGATACTCCTTCAAATATGCTGTAGTCTCGGAACGAGATTGCTGGATACTTGTAGATACATTATCTACCTGTGGGCTATAGGTGATACCGTAATCCACAGACGATAACTGCCAGTCGTCATTTGATTTTTGGGACAGATCGTCCGCATAGATATGATCACTATGGGACTTGTCGTATAAATCACTTTGATGGCTCATAACACCGGTGTCCACACGTTGATCATCCATCGATAGACCTTGGTCAAGTTTTTTGGAGTCCGAATTGGTTGGACTAGACAATCCCTTCGTCTCTACCGGTGATATCTGGCGAACGTGAGATGATCGAAACACGGCAAGTTTTTTAGGTGTGGCAGGGGTTGAGCTGGCCGATAGTGGTGGGGAGGAGATCGCTGACACAGACTTTGGTGAAACAGTGGACGTACTTCGACTGAATTGAGCTGGTAAGGACAAAGTACGACCGGGATGCATATTCGGTTTTGGTCTTGAAGAGGACGTGCGCTTTTTTGTTTCCAATTTGGGTACAAGCGCTTTCAGTTTTGCCAATTGAACATTGTGTTCGCTTATTTGCTTGTTACCCTGATAAGTTCCTTCCTCAAGGGACGAGCGACTTGATATTACTTTTTCCTTTGTGAGATTGCGATTAGCCCATACCGAACCTGCAGAAGAATGCTTATCTTCGGCAGAGTTAGCCGCCAACGTCGGAAAGTTCTTTTCAAACGTATTTGTGCCATCACGAGTGGGTTTAAGTTGAGACAGTGAGCGAACTAGGAATAAAAAAGTTTTAATGACTGAGCAACAATTACTACTGACCAGAGAAATTGCATTTAATTTGCTCACCTTGGGAATCCATGGTTTCTGGCTGGTTGCTGCTTGAGCTATCGCCCGATATAGAATCTATCAACAGAATGTGTTAGAGAACCATCATAATGAAAAAATAAATCGTACATAAAGAGATGAGTACCTGACGGCTGAAGCCCTCTCGTGTTGAGAGATCTCATTGGCGAGCTTCCTGTGGTATTATTCAGCCAACTTGGTGAAAAGGCGTACGCCGATGGTTTTTCAACATGCGAACCATTCGACTCTGAGGCAGAGCTGTATGTATTCGATGTTGAGTCGAGGGCTTTAGCGTAGGCCGCAGGAGCCATGTGTTTTGGTGAGGGTGGCAGCCTCTAAGAGGTGCTGGGGGTTAAAATACAGCGAGCTGACGATACCAGCTATAAATAGCGACTACTACGAAGGGAAGGCTTTTATATATGGGATCGCAGGCGAAAGCAATTTAAAAAGTCAAATGGTTGATGTAAGTTTGTGAAGGAAAGATGCAGTAATTGAGCTGAATGTTGAAAACAAAAGAGGTTGAGGAGGGATGTAAAAATAAAGCACTATGCCGGATATGGAATCCCAACGAAGCGATGGTATGGTATGTGAGTATGTACAAAAGGTTGAGAGCTCAGTTGCTTGGATAAATGTCCAATGAACGAGGAAGGTGTTGGCTTGGGGAGGAATACGTGAAAGTGCGTGTGTGAGTTTGAAAATCTCACTGTTCTGTTTGAAAAAAAAAAGACCCTCTGAGAAATCCTCCTCCCCCCAGCGTTGATTTTTACACGTGACTGAAGAATTGGCTTTCCCAAAGTTTTTGCTTACGGTGCCACCTGGCATTTTGCTTCAAATCTATTCACACATGGCAACTGGATTGGTCTCTTTGCGACACTTGGCGACTCGCACTTCAGCAATTACAGCAAAGCCTGTATTCGTTGGAGCAGGTGTAAGCATTCGAAGCTTCGCCACCTCTCAGCCACAGGATCGCAAGCAGGCACCTCAAGCCATTCAGAACTGGGACGATTACTTCAAGCTTCGAGCGAAGCGAAGAAACTATGAACGTATTTGCTGCATTCCTAGCTCCATCACTGCTCTAGGTGCTGCAGGTACCTATTTTACCCAGTTGGAAATCGATCCCCTACACACCGTCTTTGGAATGGAAGCACTTCCCGTGTATGGAATGGCTACCGTACTTGCAGTATGTTACAGGTCACTTGGTCAGCCTTATTTGGCATGTTAAAGTTAACCAAATGTTATTTTTCAGGGTTTTGGTGGTTTCCTAGCCGGTCCTTTCATTGGTAGTGGTGTCTTCAAGTTGATGAACCGGGGTGCTACTCGTTCCATGGACCATTTGGACAGAGTATTTTACGAACATATTAAGAAGAACAGAGCGGATGCTCGACTCAACTCTATTCGTAACCCTGTTCCTGATTACTATGGCGAGAAAATCAAAAGCGTCTCAGATTATAGATCGTGGTTGAGAAAGCAGCGCGAACATTACAGAAAGGGCGTTTTCGGCGGCAAGCTTGATGAAGACTAAAAGGTACGGCTTGCGAGTTTGTTGGCAAGCAACTATTATAGAAAACGCGCAAAACGTTTACATGGCATATAGAAACCTAACTTGGCTAATGCAAGCTCCTCTCACATTCCCCCAACTTCATTAAATACGTTTGTAAAATAAGTCTTCTTATAGAGAGACAATAAAAATTTGGTGTTCAAAAGTAGTCTGTTGCAATCATTTGCTAATGGGTTAAGTTGAAACTTTTTTAATTTGGTCCTTTTCTACAAATATCAGACTATTTAAGCGCGGAGACGAGATTGACGAGCGAGTTGACGAGCGTTAAGCTTGGCAACCTTCTTACCGTCCTCCTTCTGAACAGTCTCTCCCTTCTCGGAGAGGACAACCTCAATGTGGCAAGGGTGGGAGAGGTAAGGGTTGATACGACCGTGAGCGCGGAAAGTTCTGCGGCGCTGCTTGGGGGCCTGGTTGACAACAATGTTGGCAACGTAAAGGTCCTCGACGCTAAGACCCTTGGCCTAAAGAGAAACCAATATTTTTTAGCTTCCACTTCCAGGTACTAACATAATAATAAAATACTAACCTCGGCGTTGCTCTCAGCGTTCTTCAACAAGTCAACGACGAACTTGCAGGACTTGACGGGCCAGCGAGCTTGTGTGGTCTTGAAAGGCTTGGCTTGAGCAGTGCGGCCAACACCACCGTTGAAACGACGGAAAGGAATGGCTTGCTTGTGCTCTTGGACATCACCAAGGTAGGTCAAAGCCTTGGAAAGCTTCATGCCAGTGACGGCAACGGCGACCTCATGGGTGTTCTTGAACTAAAAAGAGTAAATAAAACATGAGTGGGAATGTTGAGTAGAAGTCGGTTAAGCTCGATTGAGCATGCTGGTTGAGAATACATACGTGAACACGGAGGTAAGAACCACGGGAGAGGGAGGCTGTAAATTCAAAAGACAATCAAGTCAATTTAAACGTCTAGTTTGTTGCAAAGCGACGATCGCTAACACTTACACTTGGCAGGGTTGGACGGAGTGGCAGCGTATCTGACCATTTCTACGAAAGTCTGCGGAAGATTGAAAAAATAATGTTCAGCTCATCTGCATTTTCAATGTTGGGTAATTTTATGAAATCAAATGGGATGCGTGGGTGAATATGAGGTATCGTCGTATCGACTTCGTAAAACCATGCGCTATTCTGATTCATAATCTTTCGTAGCTGTCTGTGTACCGCCTCGATGGATAGATGGTTGACATAGGTGGATGGAAGGATCGTAGTTGCTCATCCATCCATATTGGCGTATTTTCGATTCGAATTTGGAGCATCGATCACGGTGTGCATCCATACATCACTATCTGCATCTATCGTAATAACATAGAGAAATCATGACATTGGGGATCATATATACCTCGAGTGGAAAAAAGAAGGAAGCTAGGCGAGGTTGCTCAGATTCTCAACTTGGGTGCGCTCGAAAGCCAGCTCAGCCACTAATGGAGTTGTCGGACTGTAAATAAATCGTTGGTAGGCCAAGAGCGTCAGTGTCGCCCAAAATTATTCACGGCTTGCAAGCCAAGATATTTAGCTCGAGCTTCACGGTCCAAACAATGTTTCTAAGGTAATTTAAATGCACAATGAGTTTTATATCTCGCCTTATATTCTTCTATATATTTAGGAACGAACGACAGCTCTGATATGATATACGGCCTTTGACTCGCAAACTAAGAAGTGAGGCTTTTTGATCTGCTACTTGATCTAATTTGAACAACCTGTATTCAACGCTGAATGAATAAGAGACTTTTCATTCCTACAGAATATGTATTGCCTTTTTTTCCTTGCGGAGATATTATTGCGGCTATCAGCCGCCTCAACGATGCAGATACCCGTCAAATGTTTGCGGCTATGCTGCGATTGTGCATGATCTAATCGCTCCGGATCGTAATCAAGGTTGAAGCATAGTAAATAGCTCAAGAAATTTTCCATGAAAGAAGCTAGCAGTGGAGCTAATATAGCTAAAAATATGCAGCAACTCGTAAATGCTATCGCACACTTTGTCGGACTTTCAATTTCATACTCTCAAGCTTTTCTATGCACCGTCATGTCAAACGTAAATGTATAACAATGCTTCTGCAATTACCCAAGAGCACTTGCCAGAGTTCTGCAAAAACATAAGGCTGTCAAGTCGAGGTGAAGTTATGACCGCGAAGTTTACCGAAAGAAAGCGAAGCCAGCCACGATATGTCAGAAACGTGCTAACCTGACAGTGCGCACAACTACGTCCTTTTCAAATAGATCTTCTGTCATGTTCGCACAGCTTTTTATATAATGGCTACAAATTGGCCTTCGACTGTTTTCGTTTGTGTTCTTGCCAGAGACATATAAGGTATGTACTAAGGTATCTATAAAATTTAAACATAGCGAATTAATTTGATCCACTTTTTGGAAATGTGACGTGTTAGAATCTGTCCACTCAATCAAACAGTGTTAAATTGAGTGATTACTGTTATCAGCGGCACTACTGTGGGTCACTGGGGCGAACTTAGTCATTCAGCTTCAACTGAAGAGTTGGATTTGTTGGTGGAGTCTACAGCCCAGCCAACCATATCTCAGGTTAAATTTGATTGGCTGAGTAAACCTAGATTTTGACAAATAGCACCAGCGACTTTCTCAGGCCAAAAAAGCTCGTCGGAACTTCCGCCACCTTATAAAAGACCAGCTTTATCACCTTTTGTACCTATCTTTCCGTCGATTGCTCTTTAAACTATAATGGCTGCCGAAACTCAAGCTGATATTCAAACCATCAAGACCCAGTCTGGTCAAACTCTCGAAGGTAAGAGTCCATCCCTCAGGCGTTGTTTCGTATTTTCTGAGGACACCGGATTAACTTGTTCGGAATCGTAATAGTCCATACCCACCTCTTCATCAACAACGAGTTCGTTGCCGGTCATGGTCCCCTTATTGAGACCATCAACCCCACCACTGAAGAGGTTATTTGCAAGGTCCACAGTGCTACCGAGGAAGATGTTAACGCTGCCGTTGAAGCCGCCTATGCCTCTTACAAGAACGTCTGGTCCAAGGTCACTCCCGCTGACCGTGGTATTTTAATCAACAAGTTGGCTGATCTCATGGAGCGTGATCAGGATGAACTTGCCGCTCTCGAAGCCATCGACAATGGAAAGGCCTTTTCCGTTGCCAGAGACGATGATATCGCAGGATGCATTGGCTGTTACCGTTACTTTGCCGGTTGGGCTGACAAGATCCACGGAAAGGTCATTGACACTTCCCCTGACCAACTCGTCTACACCCGTCACGAAGCCCTTGGCGTTGTCGGTGCCATCATCCCCTGGAACTACCCTCTCATGATGGCTGCTTGGAAGTTCGCTCCTGCCCTTGCTGCTGGTAACTCCAGTAAGTATAACACTCCGATACCCCGACGGGAAAGCGGACTTTGGAAATCTCTAATCTTGTCTCATTTGTAGTTGTCATGAAGACTTCAGAACTCACTCCTTTGTCTGCATACAAGTTTGCCGCACTAGTTAAGGAAGCTGGCTTCCCCGCTGTAAGTACACATTGAAGAATGAAGTAGTTTGTTCGAGAGTTTTGTAATAACAGAGTGAACTATGTAGGGTGTCGTCAACATCATCACCGGTTACGGTCACATCACTGGTAGCGCTCTTGCTAGCCACCGCCGCGTCTCTAAGATGGCTTTCACTGGATCCACCGTTACTGGCCGTAGAATCATGGAGAGCTCCAGCTCCTCTAACCTCAAGAAGTTGCAGCTTGAACTCGGTGGCAAGTCTGCCCAGATTGTCTGCGCTGATGCTGATTTGAAGAACGCTGCCAAGCACGCCGCTGCTGGTATCTTCAACAACCACGGTCAAAGCTGCAATGCTGGATCTCGTATCTTTGTTCAAGAATCCGTTGCTAAGGAGTTCATTGATCTCTTCACTGAGCAAGCTAAGGCCATCGTTGTTGGATGCCCCTTCAAGGATGAAACCAACCAAGGTCCTCAAGTCTCCAAGGGACAATTTGACAAGATCATGAACTACATCAAGATTGGTCAAGAGGAAGGCGCTACTCTTCACTTTGGTGGTGAGCGTGTTGGTGACAAGGGTTACTTCATTACTCCCACTGTTTTCACCAACTGCAAGAACGATATGACCATTATGCGCGAAGAAATCTTCGGTCCCGTGGTTGCCATCGGAACCTTCACTGACGTTGAGGAAGCCATCGAGCTTGCCAACGACAACGAGTATGGTCTTGCTGCTGGTGTCTACACTAGCAACCACTCCACTGCCATCAAGGTTTCCAATGCACTCTTGGCTGGTTCCGTTTGGGTTAACTGCTACGATCTTTTCAACAACAGCGTTCCATGTAAGTGTGACCTTATGTTGAATCAACATGCATGCAAAGTAGTTGGCGTTTCTAACTAATCACGTTTATAATAGTCGGTGGTTACAAGCAGAGTGGCTTCGGAAAGGAGCTTGGTAAATATGCTTTGGTGAGTTCCGTCTCTGAGTCTCAATAGTTACCATTATCCTCATTCAATACTAACATCATCTTTTTTTTTAAACTTGTTAGTTGGAGTACACTCAAGTCAAGTCTGTCATCACTCTTGTCGATTTTTAAATGCTTGGCTTCTACCTAACACCCGTTGTATAATACATATAAATAAAATTGAAGTTGAAATCTGCAACTTGTTCTTTTGATTGGAATTGTGTTTCTAAATCGTCTCGTTATGAAAAACATTACCCACAGCCATCAATATCAACAATACAATTTTCTCATCACGCCAATGCCTTAAGGCTTTGTGATTTTTCTCAAAGTTGAACGGAACTCATGGCCTTAAAAGCGCCAGCTTGGTGATACAAGGCAGAAGATGGTGCTTCCACGGAGTGAGGCAAGTATTGGTATATGGCATTGTATGGTATCATACAATCGATATTGCGTGAGGGGAGGATGAATTGACTGTATACCTAATGACTAGCCTCTTCATATAGTTTATTGTTGCTTTTGCTATAGGCTCTCCTCGTTTTCCGCTTCGACACCTTTCAAATATTACCCACAAACAATCGGGAGTCACTTGGCTTCGCCAGGAAATTCATATGTTTCTATGTCACATTACTCAAGCCAATAGCAAAGTACATCTACTGAATAAATACAACCTCTCCCGCGTCCTGCAGTACTCAGATTAACATGTACTGTGACTGTGACCTTGATATGCTCGCCTTGGCGGTTCTCTCCGATACGGCAGTGAAAAATGCTGTGATTCACGTGAAAGACCGGAGTGATGACATCAGCAGAAACGAAAGGCTCACCACAGGGGCTTCATTGAGCGTTGCAAAGACCTTGAATCGCAAACTACCCCACTCTTCAGTTCCAAATGTCAGCCGCCATTCGTCAACATGCTGTCCGTGGCCTCATGAGAGCAAGACCCATGACCATTTCTAGAATTCACACCAGTACGAGCCATTTTTTCGCGTGTACACCGTCAAATGTCGACCATGCAGACTAAAATATATTCATTTTTCAATTGACAGCTGCCGCGGTTTCCCAGGTTGGCACAACTCACGCCCCTGATCGTGTACACGGTTCTTATCATTGGGATGTTGAGCGTGCTGCTTCAGCTGCCCTCGTACCTCTCATGGCTGCTCAGCTGGCTGTTGGAGCTAACCCCGTCACCGATGTCTTACTTGGTGTCGTTCTTCCAGTTCATCTTCACATCGGTATGTACAGCGTAATCATGTGTAGGGCAGTTATGTACCACTCATGCTAATTGGTCATTTTATCCATAGGTTTCGACGCATGCATAACTGGTAAGTTCCTTTCATTTTAAGAAATTGAACGATAGCTTGAAATGGACAACCGAGATCGCATTGGGAATAATGAAGTTGTCGTAATATCTCGATGGAACGAGTGCTCTCACTAATACATACTTACCTTGGACAGATTATTATCCCAAACACAAATCCCCCGTCATGAACAGACTCATGACATACACTTTGACTACCGCTACTGCTGGTATTCTCATCGGATGCTTTCAGTTCAATATGCATGATGTTGGTATCACAGAGTTTATCGCTCGCAGTTGGACCGCTTAGTGGTTGATCCTCGGTACACCAAAAATAATAAAAATAAAAAAGATCATCTCAACGATTTCATGGACCCGTTTTTAATTCTTAGCTTAAACTCGCCACCCTCAGGTGATCATTGGCTTTCCCGTAGAGGCGTCATTTGAATGATGGGCCATGCCGATTTTTGTGAATTTGTATCTTTTTGCTATCTGTGGCAAGGAAAATGGTTGCTTCTATTATGTTTATCCACTTGTAGGCATCAGTAATAGCTTTCCAGTTGGTTTTTTTTTTTTTCCATTTCATCTTAATGCCATGTGGAGCAGGAACTCTTATCTATGTGATATTATTGTAGTGCGCACCGAACATTAAAATTAAACTGGTATTAAGCTCCAAGGTGTATCTGTGGTGACCATACTTGGATTTTCTTACCATAAGAAGCAGCTAATGAAAGTACTTTGCTTGGAAACAACGAGTAATGTGGCTTGCAGCTTGTCTCTCACGATATGCTTACCACAATAGCAAGATGCAAAATTAAATTCTCGGGAGCTTTGTGGCGTGCTGATCTTGATAATTCTTGTTGGTCGTCTTTTTTGTTTTTACTTGTTTTGGGGCAAATAAAATGAACGCGTCGAATTCAGTTGAATAAAATAGTTTGTAGAAGTACATGCCATCCGTAAAAATAATGACTATAGATAAGAAGCGTGTAGCATCTGTATTGTAAGACGGTTCGCTCACTGGATATGGTGTGCTCGCTGGACATGCAGTTTGCCGTACCTCCGTGACGCTGTTACACACTATCAAGACATTACCCAAGAGCCAAAGAGACTGTCACCAAATTGAGCACAGAGTTAGTCGAACCCAGGATATGCGTCCTCATGTGTACCCTCAAACCTCAAATGGTTGAAAATCTCTTTTATGGATGTCATGCGTTACATGCTTCACGTACGGTGAATGCGTTTTGCACAACCAGATGCCTCCAATGATACTAATCGATCGACCAACCTGCCTGAGGACGTGATTGCTTTCAGTCTAATAGGGGAATTTCAGGTATTACGACAGCGAAATAAGCGAACAAACCCTCTTTGGGATCGAATGGCCGCTACTCGTAGGCCTGCCTCCTATGGTTAAGTTGATGAAGCCGATTATCCTGTCTTGAAGCGTTCAAAGATGAAAACGGTAAGAACGCATTCAATGAGGAAATACCTTCCACAAACCGTTCACTTCATTTAGGAACTTTTCAACTAAGTTGAACATACCGTTGTACAATTTCATGCGATCATTCGCATCGATTTCATTGCCTGGACGATCGGTCAATTTGTATATAAATGCTGTTTGCAATGTCCTTCTTTCATATCTTCATCCAAACAAATTTTCAAGATGCTCTTCAAGTCTATCGCTGCTGCTACTGCTGTTCTCGGTTTCGTTGCCTCTAGCTTGGCAGCTCCCGCCGTTGTCCCCACTCCTTTCTCCGGTATCCACAACAAGAAGGGTATTGCTGGTCTTCGCCCTGCCAATGTTACCACCACTCCCACTGGAAGAGCTTCCGTTCAGATCACTTATCATGGCGGTCCTATTATGACTGGTACCATCAAAGGTTAGTAGTCTCATTATGTTGTGTATCCGGGAATACATTTCCAAACTCAGAATTTATTGTTACTTAAACTTTGTTGTTCCCGTCAGTCTACCCCATTTTCTACGGTACATGGACTGCTGCTCAAAAGACTATTGTCAACACCTTTATCAGCGGTGTTAGCTCTTCCACCTGGTGGAACATCGAAAAGACTTACCACGATAACTCTGGTAACTATGTTACTGGACCAGTTACTCTCGGTACTGCCTATGCCGACAACTACTCTCAAGGCAAGAGCTTGAGCGACAACTCCATCGAGACCATTGTCTCTCACGCTATCAGTGCAGGTGGTCTTCCCGTTGATGCTAACGGTATCTACGCTGTTCTCACTGCTGGTGATGTTTCTGAGACCTCTGGTTTCTGCTCCCAATACTGTGGCTGGCACACAGATGGTAAGTGATGCTGGAATTCGGATTGTCAGTCGTTGAAGACACACGTGTTGATAAGTATCGGATTTCTAGGAACCATCTCAGGAAAGGATCTCAAGTACTTGTTTGCTGGTCTTGCTACCGCCTGCCCCAGTGGCTGCATTGCCCCCAACAACCAGAAGACCTCTCCCAACGGTGACGTTGCCGTCGATGGAATGATTTCCGTCCTTGCTCACGAAATTGTCGAAGCTGCCTCCGACCCCGACTTGAACGCCTGGTATGATGCCTCTGGCCAAGAGAATGCCGATAAGTGTGCCTGGACTTTCGGTACCACCAAGACTGCCTCCAACGGTGCTGCATACAACGTTGTCGTCGGTGGAAAGGACTACTTGATCCAGCAAAACTGGAACGCTGCTACCCAAGCCTGCGCTCTGTCTGCTTAAGTTGTAGGCTATATTTAACTATCAGTACACTTTTCTAAGTTATGAAAATAAACGTAACAATTGTCATATGTATCATTGAGAATTCTTACAAATAGCATTGGGATAAGTGCCTTCGGTGCTGACAATGCTTGAAATGGACACCGCAAATTTTGGCTGTTAAAAAAAACTGGCAAAATGATCAGGCGAAGCCACAACCTGCCAGCTTGAAACTTGAGTCGATCGATGAGTACTTCGACAATTGCTGAATGGTACGTGATTCTACAATTATGTCCCTTTAGTTTCCTTCACACTTACTTCTCTATCACCATTATCAGCATTACTAGGTGGAAAAAATCCTCAGGGCGTGGATCAGACATTTTACGGACAGCCGCCGCTCAACGAGATGGTAAGCTGCCAGCAATGCCGGTAACCAGCAGCGTAGCAGGTGATAATTTAAGTTTATTAGGTTCTTTCAACTATATCCAAGACCTTTCGGAAGTTGTAAATGAATGTAAGCATATACAGCATTGTGTTTTGTCGTATACATTTGACTGACCTGGACACAAGTGAGAGGGTATCTCGATGATATGTACGTTCTTTTCGACGAACATTTGCAAGAAAAGCAGATGGCTTTTCAAATCCAAGCGGAGAAAGGGGATGAAGGAGGTGTGGATAACTTTACATGCCTTTACAAGACATGTTTGGACATGTTGGATCAAGACTATATTATGAAGGTGATCATCAGTGGTTATGTTTATGCCTGCTCTTGTTTAGACGCAAACTTATATTCAATCCATTTAAGCAAACGATACAGGCGGTATTAAATGCACCTGAAGGATCAGCACATCCACAGCATTTGATCGGATTTTCAAGCGTATGGGCATGTGAGCCGTATGTTGACAACGAGCAGATTGATGCCTTGTTGCAACAAGCAGCATGATCTTCTTAAGACGAGAAAGACAAAAATACTTATTGCGTTAGCACGCGACAAGGAACACACGGACAGCCGGTTTGCTATATAAGAACTTCTTCGCAATGGGCAAACAATGTCATGTCATTGCATATTACGTTATCCGGCTTGGACACCACTTTACGGGGCGAATTAGAAACGTATCTACTTGGAGCAGGATTTCCAATTCAGTTGGACATGTATATAAAAAGTCAATGGTTATATCAAGGTTAATTATGTAACAAGCAATCAAATGTTGGTACAGGAAGCTGTGAAAACGTTTATGTGCAAGCAGAATGTACAATGGTATATAATAAATAATAATCATCGCTTCGTTCTAAGTCTTGGCTTGTCAACATAGGCTTGTTCTACGTATGGCATTTTCTGTATTTCTTCCAGGACGCGATCGGCTTCAGCTGATGGCACATTGCATAGACGGAATTTGTGCCATTCCTTCATTTCTGGTAACCGTGAAAGGAACTCAAGGCGAATGTTCTCTCCGGTATCAGAACTTAAGGAAATGTCTTCCGAAAGGTCCTTCTTGCTTTTAATGTTTATGATTGAATTTGAGCTGGGTTCCATATCAAGCTTTATGGATATTGACTCCAAATTTCGCTCTACAGATCAACGCGGTAACTCCGCCAACACAACTTGCGCTGGTTTTTGGCAGTATGGTTATGTCTCATTGTATTGGTAGAGAAGAAAGTCCTGTTCCTTAAAGAAAAGAAAAGAGCGATAACCCATTTTTACCATGTTTATCGTGTTGTCTTCATACTTGTTTCATTGCAAGGTGATGAACTTCGTTACTAACTTATTACTGATAGATGGCACTCAGAACTGTGATCATGACGTAGATGAGGCAAGAACTTGTCCTTAAGTGATTGCAAGGCTTTCAGCCTGGAAACAAGGAAATTGTGTATGGACCTCCACGGACCCTAACGGGTATGTTTTCCTGCGGCTTTGTTGGGGTAGAGATCTGCATGACTTGAGAGCGCTGAAATTTTCAGCGGTGCATTGCATTTACAAGCAAAAAGCTTCTGCTCCAACGTTATGAGTAATCTTTGCATTCTAGTCATTTACTACCGCAACCTTTTCAAACTTACAAAATAGTCAAAAACTTGGGCTGGCAGAGATTACAAAAGGGCGGGTTCTTTGGAAGATCATATTCCTTAGATGGTAACAGCGAGCCACGAACCAGTTGGCTCCACACCGAATCAGGAACGTGGTGAAGGAAAAATAAAGCAAGGCTGCCGGGTATAACTGCTCCCTTTTCCCTCCCTTTTTACTCTTTCATTCTCCCGTCTTTTACTTCTTCTTATCCCTGTATTCGCTACATGTTCAAGTGTTGATGGATTTTTTACAAGCTGTCACAGAAAATAAACTAGTTGACGTCCGTGGCCTCTTACAAGCCGGGTTCGATGTCAACAGTTTAATTGCATGGAATGCTAAACGCACGTTTACGCCATTGATATCAAAGCGCATCGTCAATCAACCCGAGCTTCTCAAGAAGATACAGATCGATGAAGAGTATTACGCCCACCCACTGAATTTGGCTGTTATTGGTGGTCATGAGGATATGGTACGATTGCTTTTGAGCGCCGGTGCTGATATTAACCTGAAAGATGGGAGAGGACGGTGAGTAGTCATTATAGCTCTTCATTCTGTACAACGGCTAGTGAGTTGACCGATGCTTTGAATTTAGCACTGCCATAATGTGTGCCATCTATGGTCTTGACTTAGACAGCAGCTGCATTAATGGAGCGAACGCACCTCTTATTGCACAGACTCACCCAGCTCATCTGAATATCATGCGCAACTGCTTACTTGGACATCACAATTTACATGTCGCTACCTTAGATTCAGCTCAAAATGACGCAAACGGTATTACACCACTGTGTATGGCAAGTTATCTTGGAAAGACAGAGATTATGACCCTTTTGTTGGAAGACGGCAGGGTGAACGTTGACGGAGCAGACAACAAAAACGCCACGCCTTTGATGTATGCCGGTTAGTAGCACTGTTATTGTATTACCAGTAAATGAGTAGAAGTGTACTAAGCAATACGGTAGCTCGAGATGGCAATGCGACAAACGTAAAACTTTTGCTCCAATACGACGCGTCCCCAGACGTGACAGATGATCATGGCTGGTCAGCGCTACAGTGGGGAGCAAGGAATCAGGAAATTATTTTGTTATGTGAGGAAGCGTTAAGGAGTAGAAGACCTGAAGTACCAGTAAGTTTTTCAGAGCCTATGACATTAGGGAGGAATGATTGTCTTGCAAACAGGTGGATAATCTTTTGTTTTTTTTTTCTTTATACAGGTTCTCAGCACTTCCTCACAATATGTGAAATACCCAACGAATTACACACGGTTGTTTTCCCTCATTAATTCTTTACCTCCATTTTCATCGTCTCTCTCTCACCTTCAACTGAACCCATTGCCATCACCAACTGAGGATGTACATGAGGCTTTGGATTCTTCATTTGACTTGCAAAAAGCACAAGCTGCTTTGCTTGTAGCCATAAAAGCGCATGATCATCTATCCATTCAATCATTGCTTTTGACTCCGCCAATTCCAGCATCAGCAAATCAACAAACCTACAATACGACGATTTTGGTCAATCACCATGATGCAAAAACTGGCTTGACTCCTCTCCATCATGCTATACGTAGTAAGCCATTACCGTCACTTGAAACGGTTACTATGCTGTTTCAGGCTGGAGCCGATATCAACGCACAAAGTGCCTATGGGCGCACAGCACTTCATCATCTATGTCGCTTCGGAGTCGATAAAGAAAATAATGTATGGGGAATACAAAAAGGTGCACAAAGTGGTAGAGCAGATTCCAAACGAGGAAGAAGACCTCAAATTGAATGTGTAGGGACACCTACTCCAAGCGTATCCACTCAAGCAAGAAGTACAGAGGAAGAGGGTGACGGGAAATCCCAATTCGATGAAAGCTATCGGTTAAGTATGCAAAGCGGTACATCCTCTAGATCATCGGCATCTGAAGGAAGGTTGTCGTATGCCTCAAATGAGAGCTTGAGGAATTCCGAAGCTCCTTTCGGTACCTATGAAAACAACCTAGAGTTGAACTCTACCGCAAACGCTTGTCGTCATCTGGCACGGTGCGCTTCTCTGCTTATCCGTTTAGGAGCATTGGTCAATCATCCTGATCCTACAGGAAACACTCCACTACATTTCGCAGCAGAGTTTGGAGGTGTTGTGGAAGTCATCGAAGTACTAGTCCGTGAAGGTAATGCAAATATTACTTACAAGAACAAGAGAGGGTTTACACCGCTTGAAGTGGTGAAATCGGAAGCAGCGAAAAAGACTCTGGAAGGTATGGAAAAAAGCAGTGGGGAAAAAGTTTAAATAGGTAACGTTGTAATCTTATATTAACCATTCAACAGTCCTTTTAAAAGAAGCTGCTCAAGACAAGATTACACCATTAAACGGTGTACATGCAACAAGTATTCATAATGACCATGCAGCATCCTTGTTGAATCGATCAACATTACGGACCAGCACTAGAAGCGCATTCCAGCGCCAAAGCTCCATCATCTCTCCAACAGAAAGCTTGCCTCCCTCAAGACATTTAAAGACATTGATTGTCGGCAGTCCACCCACTAAGTTAGATCACGTTATACAAATCCCTCAGACTCTGGAAGAGCTACGCGAGCAATTTATACAGATCCTAAGCAACATTTTCTTCTATCTCACGACTGGATCAAAGTCCATCGAATGCTTATTAGCCAAGATAACTAATATGGTATTACGGCCGGCAAATCTGGACTCTGATCAGCAGAGGAGACATTTTGCACAGCTAAGAGCGTCCATTGACGGTCTTCGAACCCAGCTTGAGCAAACCTATGCACTGTTTGATATTACGGATGAACAATATCAAAGCGTTGTAGTTTGGTACCAACAAGACATGGACGGAATTGAAGCTTTCAATATGGAGCTCTGGGAAAGATGTGAAGTGGAAAGAGAAAACATTGAAGCCGTATATGAAGCTTACGAAAAGCTCTGTGATCGAGTCAAAGATCTAGAATGCGACAATGATCAACTTGCCCGAAAGGTGGAAGCACTCCGGCGTAAAGGAAACAGAGTGCTGGAAAAAGCATGCAAGTCAGTTTCTGATCTCGACAGTACAAATGAAAGCGAGCGTTCGTCGATGGAAAACATTCAGTTCATTATGGAGGCAATCATGTTTTTGGAATCAGACAGTCGCCGGCATCCTTCAAACGCAAAACGCATTCAGCAGCAAAAAATGATGGAGGAGTTCGACAGTCTCATAATGGAGCACTCCGAACAAGTAGAAAAAGAGATTGCAGACATCAACATGAATAGCCTGAAAAATTCAAAAACTCTTAATAATCCAGAAAGCAAGACCATTATGGATGATATAGAGTACTCTAGAAGACTTCGTGAGGCCCAAACTATTCTGCTTAACCGATGGAACGCTTCCAAAGAACGAATCGAGAAGAATACTGAAAATGGTGAAGATGCTGAGCAACAACAAGAAGATGTGACCGACTTTCCATCAAATGACCAGGCATTGGATTCCGTCGAGACCTCCATTCGCTTCAAGCAACAAGGCAGCGTGTCTTCTATGGGAAAAACAGAAGAATCAGTGAGAGAACTTAGCATTTCACCATCTTCCACAAAGGAACGGTCTTCGTTGATGCGTTCTGAAAAACCGCAAAGGTTAAACCATCTGGAGTTAACATTTGATATATTGATGTCTAACCTTCATGAAATTGAGAAGGATATTTATGAAGCGGACAAGCGCATACATCAGATCTTGAGCTCAAAGCGCAACATGTATGAGAACCGGTTGGACCTTGAAGATCAGCTGAATTCCATAGATAAGGTGCACAGCCCAGAACAGTTAACTCAACGAGTAGAGGAGCTTCGTGTGGGTAGAAACGATGGTCCCATGGACGACGGTTCGAGCTTGGATGGATCGAATGAAAATCGACAGCAAGTCAGTACAGAGCTTAGTGCTATCATGGATCAAACAGCACAGCTATTTGAGGAGCAGCAACGCCTCATATCTGAGAGGGCAACATTAGACAACGAGCATCAGGAAAAGCGTGCCGAAATTGAAGATATCAAATCGGAAATCAGTCAGGTTCGCCCTGCCGAACTATTGTCTGGGCTGCTGGAGCGACTTGAAACTGAAGAGCCCAACCTTGTCATTATCCAAAAGGACTGGAAAGAAGATGTAGAATGCGTCAGTGAAGTAGTCTTTGATGATGATGTGGACTGCAACGCCAGTCCAGACAACGACATTTCTTTTGGCAAAGGTAGCATAGAAATACGCTGCCGTTTGGTCAAGCTGGAATCCAGTCTCCATACACTCAAGATATCATGTGAATCCCAGCTACAATCCTTGAAATCCAAACTTTCCGAGTCTCAAGCTGTATTATTACAATCTGAAAGAGAGCTCTCACAAGGTCGAGATAGGTTAAACTATATGTGCGATGACTTGAGCGACATTCAGCGACAGGTGTTTTTTTTGAAGCGAGAACTTGAAATCGTCATCCAACACCGTAAAGAAGAAATAATCAAGGTCTGGGAGGTTGTGAACGATGTACGAGATGGAGTTTTGATGAATTATCCTGCCAACGGCTCAATTCCCAATGGAATGAAAGGAGATTCTTCCCTAATATCACAGGAGAGCAATGATGAAGCACAAGACCAAGAACAGCAAGATCTTATTCTCAACGAATTAGAGCAATATCACATTGTTCATGAAAGCCTTCTCAGTGCACTAGAACAGCAACGCAAAGATCAAACCAAGATATCCTCGCAGACTCTACCAAATATTATCGCTACCCTACAATCCCAACAAGAAGCATTGTTGGCAAGTGACGAGCCAAGCATTATGGAGTCAACTCTAGTTCTGGGAGACTTGATTGACAGCGTACGAAAACGTGAGCTTGAAAGTTCGGCCATGTTTTCTCATCTTGGTGCGGAAAACCAGACTATTCGTTCTTCGCTCGCAATGCTTAAGAGAGCGACAACTTCTTCGGTTCGATCCAATTCCACACTCATGGAGGACCAATCTGAAGGACTAGGGTCACAGAGACTTCCACGTCAATATAACTCCGTTCGTCGAAGTGCACGAGGTGGATTTGGTTTACCTCTAAGCACCAAGAGCAGAAGTTCAATTCGAAGGATGTCCAACCTACGTAGTTCACTGCTATCCGATGCACAAACATTGTCCACTCTGGCATCCGGAGAAGTTAATTCAGCTATGAATCGTCCCACTAGTGGCATTCGCCGTAGCCGTCCTGATAGCCAGTACCCACGATCTCTCGTTTCGCCGGATAACTCTATTATTATGTCACCTACGCTGACATCCAGTTTGAGACAAGACGGCACCAGGGCATCCTTGATTTCCAATTCTTCCATATCCAGTCTTTCTTCTCTACACCAAGCTAACATGCTTCAAAAAGCGTCCAGATTGAAGGCAGCCAATGCCAGCAAGCGGACCCACCATGGAAATTCCATTTGAGCTTGACGCGTTTATTTTATTTTCGTACTTTTGTAATACTACAGTCCTTTTAGCGCTTCTCATAAACATTCAAACTCCGTATCAAACGTTGGTCTGAGGGCCATTAACACCCATTGCTGATAAGAAAGAAGATGATGTGATTGATCAATGAAGAACGAGCAAATCAGCCGATAAATTTATCCTTTATTCTACAGGCTATCTCATTAGTATTCCCCAAACTTGGGAAAAAGGCGGCCAGGTGGTCACAGCCAATAAATTTTAACCTTTATTCTGCAGGCTATCCTCATTAGTATTCCCCAAACCTAGGAAAACGGCGGCCGGGTGGTCACAGCCAGGAACAGTCTCTATATTACAGAGAGATTGTCTGTAGCAGAATTGCCGGAGATGTGCATTTTGGGATTTATACCTGATTGTTACTAGTATCAATGGTAGAGATACGAACAGAATAGTAGCCAAGGTCACGAAATAGATGGGGATTAAATATCGGGGTAAACTCACCTTGGCGAGAGTGCCTCACTCTTCGGTCCATGTATCTCGGTGAAGAGCAGGTAACGGGTGGATACGATACAGTATTTATTTCAACGTCAAATGATACTCCAATATGCGAGCCAATTGATATTATATTTGGTACATTATTTGCTCTCATTTTCTTTTATTTCTCTACCGGCCGTTATGAACTGGATGGATGAAGAAGACTGCCATGAAAACCCAATTTCGGAAATCGCTAGTGGCAATTCTCTTTGTCAATGGAAATTGTGTCACAATGCATGTGTTGTCATAGAGATGCTTTTCAACCTCACGTCGGAAGGAACCATCTTGCTCATCTTGCTACAGCATTTACCCTGATTTCAGTCCTGTTCA